GGGTAATGTAAGGTTACCTCCTAATCTTGAGAGGATAATGTAAGGTTACTTCGTAGTCTTGAGAGGGTAATGTAAGGTTACCTCCTAATCTTGAGAGGGTAATGTAAGGTTACTTCGTAGTCTTGAGAGGGTAATATAAGGTTACCTCCTAATCTTGAGAGGGTAATGTAAGGTTACTTCGTAGTCTTGAGAGGGTAATATAAGGTTACCTCCTAATCTTGAGAGGGTAATGTAAGGTTACTTAGTAGTGTACGCTCGCCTCCTCACTGTTCACCTTCACCTTGTGCAAGTGGCAGCCACATTTCAAGTTACTGTAACCACCCATTGCTCGCTGCCAACTTTATCACTATGAACCTTCGCTACACACACTTAAGTACTCAAATAATGAGTCATTTCATGCTTAACTATCAAGTACCAGCCGCGCTTAATGTTTTCTGAGCCGCATCATCATCAATCCAAACACTAAGCAATTAATTAATGGAAAACGAATGTGTATCTTTCATAACATTTTGCAGCAGTAACGAGGTGGGAAACGAGCAGCTGCTCTTACACTGACGGTGGTCAGTATATTTATTCTTAAAGTCGTATAAGTCAAGCCAAGAGCGGAGGCGATGTGTCTTTGAGGAGTCAAATTGATTTAACACTCATTTTTATATCTATACTCACGGTTTCCAGTCTCTCTCTTGTGCTACGCGGCGCCACAATCACTTGACGAACGCGCTACACTCGGATGTAAAGATAGTTACTGCGTTATACAGTCGTAAAGGCCAATTATGTCCATTTGGCGGGCGCGCGCGGCCTCACTCGCCGCGGCCACAGGAACACTGAGGGCGGCCGCGTGTAGCACGCCGCGTCGTGAGCAAGGCGGGAAAAATCAGTTTCATAATTATTATTATTATTTATTTTATATTTCACAAATCTATATTAAAAAATGGGCATAATTCAGATTGAAGTGATGTAAATCGAAATTAGGTCATCGTTATCGTTCATTTGCAAAGATCGGTAAGTTACAAATCCACTATTATTAATATAATTATATAGCCTAATATTTAATTATCACATATATCATAGTTTTCAAATTAATTTGGATGAAACATTTTTTTTTTACATTAGATAAAATCGTCATAAGTATCTGTATAAGTAAAGATGCTCATTTGAACGCGTGAAGTTGTGGGCGGAGCTTTTAGCAGATTCCTTCTTGTGATTGGCTCTTGTGGTGAACGTCACCAGAACTTCTACCAATCAAATGCTAGCGCGGTAATGTGCCCTTTAGCGTGTCAACCCGCCTTATGGACTGTGTTGACCGTTGACTGTCATTTACCTAGATGCCAACAGCTGTAGTCATGATACTCATCTTAGAATTATAGGTCTAAAAAACACTGATGGAAAAGTCAGTATATAGCTGGGGGGGGGGGGGGGTGATGGCTCAGTAAGCCAAATATAGCTAAGACAACAGTAAGTTACATATAGTTGGGTCCACCCACTTCTCCTTTCCCATTAAAAGTGACAGAATAGTATCGGTGTATATCAGAGTTACAAGATTATCGCGAATAACCGAACTCAATTACGGGCTCGCCATAGCCCGTGCTACATGAACATTTCGTTCTAAGTAACTAAATCTAAAACAGCAACAACATGTCGGTGAAGAGCGTTTCGCTGTGTCAAACCGTTCTTATAAACAAAGGCCAAAGTCCATTACATGCACTTTATAAAGGCCAAAGTCCATTACATACACTTGCCAAACCATCTGTTTATGAATGAAAAACGGTGTACACAAGACTCACAACTGATTACGTCCGAACACTTCCAGGACAAGTGCTTTGCTGACGACTTTTGTTCGAACCACGACGCTGTAAATGCTTCACCCACGTACTGTACTACTAATACAAATAATTGTCAACAGAACCTAAACACTTAACCTAACCTAACCAATGTTTAAATATGCACAATATGCTAATATATAATAATTTTAATTTATATTTGAGAAAATTCCTGTTTTGAATGAACAGCATGTTAAAATGGCTGAATGCTTCTTTGGGATCGACCGCTGGATGGAATGGACTTAGTCTGAAGACGGGTTGCTCGTGTTTACCATAAATTACTCTGAATCTGCCGGCATCCAAGTGGCATAAATCGATTACTATTTAGCCCACATGATGGCTCTCGTAAATCCTTCCCGCCTGCACTTAACGTTAAGATAGCGTCGAGCGCCGCTACCTACGCCCAAGAGCGACACCCATGCGAGAGCAACTCTCCCTCCACGACTCTTGATGTTGATAAGGCAGGTTCTGGACGCGTCTCTCGTGATTATTTTAAATAGTTTTTTTTGAAGATATATATCGATTCGGCAGACCCACAGTCCCTGCCTTCGAACCATCAGCCCCCCTGTGCAGGCGATGAGTCACAATAACGTGGCTAAAGTATGTTGACCAGACCACACACTAGGAGTTGAAGGGACGACGACGTTTCGGTCCGTCCTGGACCATTCTCAATCGACTTGAGAATGGTCCAGGACGGAACGAAACGTCGTCGTCCCTTCAACTTCTAGTGTGTGGTCTGGTCAACATCAGCCCCCCTTTTCCCTAACACCATCACCTCATTTATTTCTACCATCCTACACATCGTCAGCTCCTCCCTCCAAACCCTTCACACCATCTCAGTACGAATGATAATTAATCACTGCCTCGAGGGGTTCTGGGAAGCAACAAGGGTAGAATATTTCGCAACAAAAGTTACATTGATTCTCTTCAACACACTTAAGGCACTACCAAACATCTGGGTCAGGATTCATTAGCATTTAAGTGGCCACTTACAAAACCTGTACATATTTCTTCGAGCACTGTGACTTAAGTCTGCATTTATTAAACTATAAGATCTTCGTAACTTCGAAACCTAAGGTCATTAGTGTTACAGAAAATCCTGAAGCGCTTTTGAGCTCATAAAGGGTTTAAAAATGTAAACAAAGCCATGATTAACGTAAGGTGGAAATCATGAAGACATCTTTCCATGATGAAGAAAAGATGAAGAGGTTTCGTAAGTGGACAGTCAAATGTTTGACGAATCCTGGCCTGGACACTGAGAAGTTTCGTTGATGTTGTTTCTTCCTGGTACACTGTCCTCTTGGGACCGATAGAGCGTTAAGCTTGAAATTTCAAGTTTAGGTTACATATATATATGAATGAGTTTATGTGGATAGGAGCTGTCTCGTATAAAGTAATTATCAAGAGAAAGCGCCAAGCCATTACAACTATATAGCACTTGGAAAGGATGAGGATGAGATGAGATTTGGGATTGGACAAAGGAAAGGAATGGTGCCCAATCACCTAGACGGTCGGGGATTAAACGCCGACCTCTAAAAAGCGAGACCGTTGCTCTACCGTCCATTACATGTCTCGTATGAGCCAATAGATCTTCTACAGTTTTCTTTATTTTGATGTTATCTTATGTGTATATACTCCCTCTGCTTCTTGAAGTGTCCTGGAGTTTGTGTCAAGATTTTCGTAGCCTCATGCTGGGAAGCTCCATGAATTGTGCTCAAAGAATATTAAACAACTTTTATTTATCAAAATTATATTTAACAAAGTCCATAAAATACACATTTAAATTTGTTTGTTTACTGAAGAGGATAAAAGTTTAAAAGATTGCATGTCTAAGACCACCAAAAGTACTTTTTAGACAAATGTATACCTGTAAAATTAAATAAAGGTAGAAACGTCATTGGGGTTTAATTCAATCCAAGGATTCCTAAATCCCAAATTCCATGAAGAGTATCCGAAGTACTGAAGGAAGTTACCACTATTGAAGGTAACAGTTAAACAATAAAAACTAAACAAAAATGTTCAAGTATTGAAAACGACACATGTTACACAAACCATCGTCTTCACTTATAATTAAGTATATTAACTTTGTTCACGAAGGCATATAACTTTATCCAAGTAATCCACAAACGAACCTTGTAATTTACATACAATATTGTAATCCAGACAAAAACTTGGCAATCCACAAATAAACCTAGTAATCTTCACACAAACATCCTAATCTTCATACAAATCTGCTAATCCACACACAAACCTGGTTATCTCCACTCAAATCCGATAAATCACAAAGCTAGTAATCCAAATACACACCTAGGAATTCCCACACAGCCCAGGTAAATCCATAACAAGCCTGACAATCCGTCCAAACCTGGTAATCGACACATAAACCTGGTAAACCACCCAAAATCCTGGTAAATCTCAGACAAACCTGGGAAACATTACCAACCTGGTAATCCTCGCACAATCCTCGTAAACCCACATAAGCCTCCTGGTGATGTGTTCCAATTATCTATAGGTTCAGTTTGCCAATCTTCAAAGACATTTTCACGCTTACATATAAGGAGAACAAATATTACCGAACTTGCATATTTTTGGTATACAAATATATCGATCTTGATCACACACACTGATGCAGCTGAGACAGTCAGCCATTCAGGACGACAGAAATAATCCCAGAACTACGACGACTTACATACCAGGAAAGGTTGAGGGTCACAGGACTAACAACACACCAACTCAGACATGACAAGGTGGATCTCACATAAACTTTTAAAATACTGAACAAATTAGAGGATATTAATCCAGACCATGTCACATTACACTGCACTTTTCACATTACACTGCACATTGTGAGTTTCTTCACTGTGTCACTGACATGATCAGAGCGACCTACTGTACACTCATCTAATATTATCGGAGAACTGCTATAGATTTTAAACCAAACACACTCTCAATACCCAGCTGCTGAAACTCACGAAAAACAGTTCACGGTCATAAACCAAGCTAATACTAAAAAAAAACTCATGCAAACCCTGCGTCACACACTAAAATGTCCACTCACACTCCAAACCCAACTCACACAGTGAAGAGTCAGTACTTGAGCCACTCAACGCACTTTCCAGCTGGGTCCCGCCGAATGCAGGAGCCTTCTTCACCAATGTTGGTCTCGGGGTTTGCGGGTAGTTCCTCGGCCGCGTACTGCTCCTGGAGGTCAGAGTTGGTGGGTGGGTGTGAGAGTGTGAGAGAGTGAGAGTGAGAGTGAGAGAGAGAGAGAGAGAGAGTGAGAGTGAGAGAGAGAGATAAGTTGGTCTCTACGAGTAGGTTTCAACTGAGCTGGATTAGGATTACAGCTCTTGCTTGCAGTTTCACCAGGTTCTTTATATAATAGTTCCATATGTGATACTTTCAAAGTACATTATCATGAATTAAATGAATCTCTAGGAGCCGGCTTCAGATGAGTTGAGGTAGGATAGCGACTCTAGCTTGCAGTTTCACTAGGCACGCCATTTGACAGCCCTTATAAACCCTAGTTTTAATTTTAAACAATATATATATATATATATATATATATATATATATATATATATATATATATATATATATATATATATATATATAAAAGGGGTACCTCCTATGTATGTATATATGTAAGTATGTGTGTACGTATGTTTGTATGCATGTTATCCTTTTTACTCACTACGAACGAAGTCCGGAAACTACAAAAGTTTTCAGTCAAATTTCCTGGACTGAGGGGTGCCAGCAGATTCTCTAAGCCGCCTCCTATCCTCACAGCATTCCATTTCATCCTCTAGTTTCGAACTAAACAGTTTATTTCCCCATTACTGTGTCCTTGACCGACTCTACTTCCTGACAGCCATTACTAACTTACTATGGGATACTTACGAGGATGGAGATGTGTCCATTGTTCCAGTTGTCACAGTGGACGCTGGCGGCTCCGTCAGGAGTGGTGGGGACGCACACGCACCGCTTGCGCTCCTGCGGGAGGGCCGTCAGTGCAACCCGCTGACCGAACACGGTAGCCAGCTTAATGACTTTCTTCTTCTCCTTCCCTGGAGAGCGTCTCTTCGGGATCATGAAGGACGAGAACGTGAAGATGGTTCCTGCATGAGGACACGGATATATGAACACTTTATTCTTCCCACACACACATCATGAAAAGTTTTTCGTTATTATTAATAGTATCCTATTAATTGTATAATTGAAAACTAATTCATTTATTATTTTTATATAGCAAACTCTGAAGTATGAGATAACCTGACTTTTATATACTGTACAATGCTCTATCTCTCTCCCATATATATATTCTATCTATCTAAATGATAGATGACATAATAAGTGCGACTGGGTGGTCCTGTTAAGCCACAGGGTTCTATCCCCTCCACTCTGCTGTTGGAGATCAAGACTGATGGTAATACTAGCCCACATTAGTAGTGCTCCTCGAGAAGCCTCCACCGTGAAGTTAAAGGAATTCAACAATAACTCTTTGATGGCACCGTCGCCGGGGAATTGAATTTATACAATGCTGATGACCTTGTTGTTGCTGCCCCACCAAAAAACTAATTATAATTAATCAATTACATTAACACACAAACACAAAATAATCCGTAAACACACAATAACACACAAATACATAATAAAATACAACAGAAGCACTCACAACAACCCACACAAACACTTCTAACAACCCACACAAACACTTCTAACAACCTACACAAACACTTCTAACAACCCACACAAACACTTCTAACAACCCACACAAACACTTCTAACAACCCACACAAACACTTCTAACAACCCACACAAACACTTCTAACAACCTACACAAACACTTCTAACAACCTACACAAACACTTCTAACAACCTACACAAACACTCGTAACAACCCACACAAACACTTCTAACAACCCACACAAACACTTCTAACAACCCACACAAACACTTCTAACAACCCACACAAACACTTCTAACAACCTACACAAACACTTCTAACAACCTACACAAACACTCGTAACAACCCACACAAACACTTCTAACAACCTACACAAACACTCGTAACAACCTACACAAACACTTCTAACAACCTACACAAACACTTCTAACAACCTACACAAACACTTCTAACGACCTACACAAACACTTCTAACAACCTACACAAACACTTCTAACAACCTACACAAACACTTCTAACAACCTACACAAACACTTCTAACAACCTACACAAACACTTCTAACAACCTACACAAACACTTCTAACAACCTACACAAACACTTCTAACAACCCACACAAACACTTCTCCCATTGTCAACACCAGCCTGGGGCTCCCGTAGCATCCATGCATATTCATTACTAATTTTCGCAATGGTTCCACTGTTTTTTAATGTTCATTACAGAGCCAACCTTTAAAATAAATATGCTTGGATAATTAGAATGTTGGCTTAGCCTACAATTATCGTTCTGAATCCTCCAAGCACACCCCACCTTCCTAATTTTAGAACTGAGGCAAGTATTGTACTTCATTCGACTTTACTTTTGCTCTGAAACAGTTTTCCCACAGAGCAGTAAATTATAGAGTGGACTGCCAGCTTCAGGTAAGTCAGATTCTAAGACATATATAGTATGACACTTCCTCTTGAGCTACGTTTTATACCAGAAGCAGTTCAGAGTGTAAATACCAGTATGGATATGCTGACACAAGGAATTTCTAGTAACTTTGGAGAAGGGATTCCACCGAACTACTAAAGATTTCTAGAACTATTACAGATTCAAGAATCACTAATCGCCTCGAGAACTACTTTAGAGTTCAAATTCTTCATTTGATTTTGAGTACCATTGAAAATTCCTGACTCACGATTCACCACGAGAATTATTGAGATTCCATTGGAACTATCTGAGTCACTGCAGAATCAATGCTCACCATTCATCTGGAGTACCAGTGCCTCTTTCTAACTCACCATTGGTCTCGAGGGCGAGAGGGGCACAGAAGCCAAGCTTGTCCTTGGGAATAGTAACTTGGCGTCTGATCACCGGGTCGCCCTTCAGTACAACTGCTCTCCCGCGGTTCTTGGCATCCTTGAGAGTGTAGGCGTTGCTGCTGTCAATACCTGCGAGAACAAGCACACATTACACAACCTGAGGAGGGGTGAACAGGGAAGGCATCAGCATGCTACTGTTCACACGCCACAGTATCTCTACACCTGCACACAAAGTTACACTTAAAACACCACAAAATCTATACACTTAAACATTAAAGTATCTCTACACTTACACACCACAATGGTTCTTAACAATCACATCCCATAATTCTCAACACTCACACGCACATTTCTCAATAATCACACCCAATAATTCTCAACAATCACACCCCATAATTCTTAACACTCATATTTCCAGCTCATTTAAGCAGCATTTATTTTGTATCTCAGTGGTTGTATGTAATGAAGGAACAATGATTATCAGTTCTTGTTAGTAATAAAGGAACAATTGACCACTGGTGTGAAACAAGTGTAAGTAGAGAGTCTCACCCAGTATCTTCTTTTTCTCCTTCTCCTTCGGGATGTCGAAGAGCTCCTGATTGAAGACGTGGAGGTTGATTGAGTACTCCAGGAGGATGTGGTACATGGTACTGTAGTCCATCTGTAGCAACACACGAGGACATTAAAACTTAAGTACAGGATGAGAGCTTCGCTTTTTGTGTCCTGTCTTTCCAGTACTCTGTCATGTGACGCTTTGAAACTACTGACGGTCTTGGCCTCCACCACCTTCTCACTTAACTTGTTCCAACCGTCTACCACTTTGTTTGCAAAAGTGAACTTTCTAATATTTTTGGCACTTTTGTTTCATTAGCTTGACTCCTGTTGTTCAAGTTCCAGGTTTCAAGATTTCTTCTTTGTGTATGTAGGTGTGTGGCAACATAGGCGTCTGTACGTGTAGATGTGTGAATGTGTGGATCTGTGTATTTCATGTGTAGATGTGCGTGCTTGTAAGTGTATATATAGGAGTACTCATATATGCGAGTAAGTAGTAAGTAATTATCAAAAGAAGGCACTAAGCCGGATGTAGCACCATCAAGTATGCGAATAGTGAAGGCATGAAAAGAAACACAACCCAGCAGGAAGGGCGGGCGGGTGTCTCTGGCTATACTCACAGAAGGAACGGCTGGGAGACAAGACTCGCAGGGGAAGTGGACGAAGGTGATGGTGACGCCAGCGCGGAAGTTGAGCTTGGCAGCCACAGTGAAGGCGTCGAAGGCGTCAGGAGAGAGGTACCCGTACGCCTCATCCGTCTCATTCACTGCCAAACACAGGTTAATAAAACACAGATTAATAATAACACAACACCAGCTGCAGGCGGTGAGTCACAATAACGTGGCTGAAGTATGTTGACCAGACCACACACTAGAAGTTGAAGGGACGACGATGTTTCGGTCCGTCCTGGACCATTCTCAAGTCGATTTGTGATATCAAATCGACTTGAGAATGGTCCAGGACGGACCGAAACGTCGTCGTTCCTTCAACCTCTAGTGTGTGGTCTGGTCAACTACACCAGCTTTTTTTGGTTTTAAGACCAACTATCAAACTAATTTTGGGGTAAATTAACCGAATTGAATATTCATGAATATACAGATAATTACATTTATACAATTTGAAAAAAACAATTATTCATAAACTGGTTGTACATTTGTAATTAACTTATTTTACACTTTTTCAAGATCATTTATCCAAAAATAAGTCAAATTAATAGCCTAGCACTGATTATTATAATTCTAAATATTATACTGTATTATCAACCAAACGACCCGACCTCTCCGGCCAGCTACAGTAATGTGAAACACAGCCACCCACAACTGTCATATTATTTCAACAGCATTAAAATCACTTCTCAACAACCCATCCATTTATGTCTAACTTATTAACCAGTAATTAATAATTTGAAAATTCAAAAATAATTCAGCAAGTAGTTTTCAAAAGAAGAATAACACAGTAATTAAAGAATAATTCATTAATTAAAAATAATCCTGTGATTCAAGAATAATCAGTAAACTAAGAATAATCAGTAAAGAAGGAAGAATGATTCAGTAGCCTAGTGTAATGGCCATACTGTTTTAAAATCTTCTTATTGTGTATTAATATAGATCTATTCTGCCTTTGTGACATTGTGAGTTATTCTTCTATATATATATTTTTACGTCTAAGAGTCCATTAGCAGTGCTAAGTCCTGAGTAATAAGAGTCCATTACAAAATTAATGTCAATCAGTATTTATATTTGACATGTGGACGAATCTGTCCCTCATGACATTATTTTTTATAGATACTGTATTTGGTTACCTGTAAGATGATGAATTATATATGAATGTGATATGACCAATTGATCGACTAGCCAAACATTTCTTGGAGTTCAAACTCATTATTGCACATTTAACAAGTTTGTGAAGTATTTAATTTTATTTTGCTCTTTTGATACGATTTATAACTTTCATGAAGAAAGCTATGCTTAGTTCCACGTCGACAAGAGATTTTAAAGCCAATTTTGTAAAATTTCACGAGCTCACTGTAGTGAACATCATTACAAAATGAAGGGAAATAAATTTTCTGCGCCAAGAAACTGATTCTGTCGACTCGGTTTTTATCCTAGGGGATGTTATTGCCGTCTTCCATGTTCCTACGTCACCACTTTGATGGTGTGGGAGATGTGCTAAGGTGTATTAGAGTGTGCAGGAGGGTATCAGGTTGTAGTGGTGTGGGTGATAGTGTGATGGGGAGCATCAGGGTGTAATGGTGTGGGTTAGGGTGTGGTGGTGATGTGTATTAGGGGTGGTGATATGTCTTAAGGTGCAGTTAAGGATATTAAGGTGTGATGAAGTACATGAAGGTGTGGTAGAGTGTGTAAGTAAGGATGGAGTGCATCAGGGTAGCAACCCGTTCTCGCAAATTCGTAAAGTCAATATTGACTTATTAAATAAGTGCATAGGTGACATACTAAACATAATAGATACCCTTAAAAAGCTTCATAGAAAACACCGACCTTACCTAACCTTGTTAGTATCTTAAGATAAGCATCTTATAGCTTCGTAATTACAATTGTTACTGAACCTATTATAGGTATAGGTTAAGTAATAATTGTAATTACGAAGCAATAAGATGCTTATCTTAAGATACTAACAAGGTTAGGTAAGGTCGGTGTTTTCTATGAAGCTTTTTGAGGGTATCTATTATGTTTAGTATATCACCTATGCACGTAGGTAATAAGTCAATATTGACTTTACGAATTTGCGAGAACGGGTTGCAGGGTATAGTAGTGTGAGTTGCGGTGTGTGTGTGTGAAAGAGAGAGAGAGAGAGAGAGAGAGAGAGAGAGAGAGAGAGAGAGAGAGAGACAGAGAGCACCGTGTTCTAGCACTTACAGAACACGACGTGGTCGAGGGCTCTGTGGATGTTGGCAGCATCGACAAAGATCTGGTTGTCAACAGTGGACACAGTCGGCTGAGTAAACATTCCACTGTCAGAGCCGTACACCACCATAGCGTACCTGCGGGGGTGGGGACAAGCTCTTCACACTACTTTGCTAAAAATATTATTAAAGTAAAACTAGTCTAATGGGACTACGAGCCTTACATGTTATTACTAATCAACAATGAAAAATACAAAATATAAATAACTATTCTTCAATTACTTAGAATAAAGTTTTTATTTAGTTTTATATCATCGCAGTTTTGTTTATATAACTATTACATCAAGTTATAGTGTAAGGTTATACTAGTATTGCATTGATAATAGTATATTACTTTATGCTCATGTTGTATAAGTTTATAACAGTATTGTAATATACACAATACTAATACTGTATTAGTATATAGCAGTATTGTATTAGTTTATACAGTATTAATACTGTATTAGCATATAATAACATTGTATTAGTTTATACTAATAGTGTAGTAGTTTATATTAGTATTGCATTAACTTAATTTAATATATATGTTTTGGATGGTATATTAATAAAATGATTTTGAGTTATAATTACATGATAAATTAGTGGTATTACTACATTAAAATAACGGGAATTACCAGTTTATAAATTCTCTAGATAGCTTATTTTACATTACATTACTATAGTGCTACTTGTGTATGCCCCAACATGCCTATACCTTCTGCAGGAGCCTCGAGTATGATTACTGACCTCACACTGTACCTGGTCCTGGTATCTGATGACAAACTTTACCTGGCCGGGCTAGTTGTCACCTGGTACTCCAGTGTCATCTGGACCTTCATGTATTGTCACCTTACCCTCCATGTATTAACACATATATTGTATAGTTATAACTTCAAATAAACAAAAACCATTTTCACTTTAAAATGCAACGGAGTCCTCACCTCACAAGACGAAAACCATTCGTCTCTAACTCCTCGTTCATGACATGAATGAAGGCATCGAAGCGGTTGAGCGGTTTTTTCTCCGCGAGGGCCAGGTTGCAGGCTCTGGCCTCCACCAGGAGCACCACGTCTGTAGATCTGAGGATCTCGTCTCTCTCCAGCATGACTGACGTGCCCTCCTCCAGCGTCTTCGTCTGCCCGTCGTTAGTCATGTATTCACACCTGGGGCACGGAGGTGGGGTGTAAAGAGATCGATCTCACTCGCCCATAGTCACTGATGAAGATTAAACCGCCCAAGAGGTGGCACGGGCATGAATAGCCCGTAAGCCAGTCAATGACAGGCAAGCACTGATAGGTAAATACAGGTCAAATGTTTGCATGCAGCGAGGTGTACCCCGCTTCTCACTGTGTATGCACTCAAGAGTTTACTTTAGTCCTGGACAATGTTGAGAACTAAAGTGTACTTGATAGTTGGTCAGTAGACTATAGTTGTAGCCTTAATAACCCTCCAGAAGTTGATAGGTCTTAAGGAAGAAATACACTCTCTTGTCCTACATATACAAATTCAACAATTGGTTGACTCGTAAATTATTTCCTGTGTATGGACGGTGGGGTAATTTTATTATATATTATATAAAGCAAAATATTATATAAAGTGTTATTATAAACAAAGTTTATTTCTTTAAACATAGTCAAACTATGACAATATTTTGACAGTACAATGACCAATGTTCAGGCAGATGATAATAGAAGTATAACAAAACTCAAGCACTATGAAACGTGGAGGAAAATGGAATTGGAAAAAAATAGTGCATAAACTTACTGGACGCAGAAAACGGGAATCTTGACGGGAATGCTCTTAGTGGAACAGGCCTCCGTGTAGGCTGTAGCTGCTGTACACGTGTCACGCTCCTGGCCCCGGTAGTCCACCAGACACATGTCCAGGTATGGCCTCGGGTCCACCTTGCAATACATAGTAGATGGACAGTCTCTTACACCCACAATGGAGAGTAACAAAATTATTTCAAATTTCCACTCATATTCATTATCTACAAGAAACCAGCCTACCTGGAAGAAACAGTGCTTGAAGGGAGAGATGTTAGCCTGGAAGAGGAACGTACAGGCGCCTATAGGCACCTTGGAGCGACCTCTGGCGATGTTTCCGCTGGAGAGGCACTGTCTGCGGCTCACGTCCCATCCCTCGGCCAGCACCCCCACCACAGGTGCCAGAGTGCCGTCGGGGAGCTGGAAGTCGTCGTAAGGCTCGTTGTTGTACACACCCAATAGCCCGCCAGTTTTGTTGAAGTACAGACCTTAAATACAAAGATTATTGAGTGTTTGTCAGTCATTCAAACCTTGCAGCCTGACCTCATCGACATTTGATTAATTCATATAAATATACACTGATCAAAACTAGCTACCGACATTATTTACATGCAGCGAACATAAATTGAACGACTAAAGACTTTCGTCGGAATTCGGTGGACCAAAGCAAGCACAAGCAGCCTCTCTGGCCTAGTCCGATCGTGAGAAAATATTTTAAAGTGAGTCTATGTGACCACACTTCCACATTCTTCAACCAGAGAGGGAGAGAGTGTTACACATAAATATACGATTACACAATACCATAGACGGATACAGCAACAACGTCGTGAGCCTGGTTCCAGGTGACGGAGAATTCGTAGTCAGTGTAGACGTGGATCTTATTGAGCCACCTGTGCACGGTTGCTGAAGGAAGCCCCGCTGGAAGCTCCGTTGGACGTCTGTTGATTGTCACCTGCAATCACAACAACCATCAGCTCAATACACACACATAAACACACACAATAAAAAGTTTCTATCTCGCAGGACTGTTAGTCATCCAGGAGCAAGCGATCAGAACTGAAAGGTAATAGTTACGGAGAAAACTATGGAATAAAACCTCCCATTGCTGGTAGTGTGAAGAAACTTGGAACGCGTGAACACAATATACAAGATACTGGCCTCCCAGTATCTTGTTAATTGTGTTCATGTATTCCAAGTTTCTTCACACTACCAGCAATGGGAGGTTTTATTCCATAGTTTTCTCCGTTTTTTCTTCTTGTTCCTACAAGAAATACAAGAACCAACTACTTAGCATAAGTAGCAGCACAAGAACAAGGAGATTTAAGTGGAAATTAAATACTTTACCCGCCAGAGTAACAGCAGATGTTGGAGAAATACAAAAATAAGATGTAATAAGAAGTGATGTGGAGATGGAGGCAGACTCGATATATAGCTTCGTATAAATATATGACAGAACAAAGGGTTTTAGAAACGGTGCACCATGTTCTACCAGAGTAGAACCACCACTTACAAACCCAAAAACTTGCTTACCCTGAATTCACTGGCCAGTTCTATTTCGCTATTGTCGATGTATATGATGATGGTGCGTGATGAGTGGCTGTGGTAGTTGACGGTCACCGCCCACCTCCCGCCCACCATATCGGCCGCCAGAAGGTGCTGACACCGTCCCTTGAACTCCAGGTGGCGGCCGTCGAAGGTCATGAAGTGCTGCTCCCCGATCATGTACCCCGTCGCTGCAGGAGAAGACTCTAGTCATTAACCATTTATTTAGTCTAACTGCTTGACAATTACGTCATAATAATTATTACTAAATATATATAGGTACTTAAAGGGATGTGAAACATGATAAACTAACCCGGTGAGGGAAGGATCCACGATATGGGCTTCAAGCTGAGGTCGAGGTTGAGGTATTTGTACCATACCTCGTGGAAGGTGAAGTTCATGGAGGAGAAGAAGGTATCACGCACCCACTGGATGTTCTTGTACTCTGGCAGGTCCTGTTAGAATGCCGTGAATGTGAGTCTAAAGGGTTCAGGACAACCAAAACATACGACGTCTTATGAAAAATACACACCAACTCCTCACACAATACGCTGGATAAGCTGCTTTCCTCCCATCCCTCCTGCTTCATCAATCAATATCCCTCTCTCTCTCTCTCTCTCTCTCTCTCTTGCATGTCAATGCCCTCTTAAGGCCAGTTACTGTGCGAACTATCGTACAGACGGTAACAATTATTAGTCTTCCCTGTCTATACATCTTGCCTTCTCTGATCAAATGTCTGAAGGCCAGATTAACGAAAAACGTTTTTAATAGCCGAGCCTATAAACATTACAGACTGAGTAAATGTTAACGTCACTATATTTCAGTATTTTAAGACTTACACAGATAGCAAAATAGCGTCAGGTTTTGGTCACAAGTCGTCTCTATCTGCACACCTGCAGTTCATTCCTTCAACACACCTGCAGCTCATTCCCTAAACACACCTGCAGCTCACTCCCACCCTCATCATTAATATAGAATTATCAGTCTCATTCCCTCGTGAATTGGAAACATCACAAACTCATGCATATAAAAGAAGACACTCAAATGTCATTTTTGTTTCGTACTTTTCATATCAACTCTCATACCCACCATTCGCTCTTCATAATTCTATTTACATGTTGTAACAATTCCATTCCTGCGTGTGTCTCCACAATTCACAATTCTACTGTCTGTTTACAGCGAGGTCAAACACACTACTACGAAGACTGACCCGCCAGTTGGGCTTGTGGTCGAAAGAATGCCAGTCGATGGGCAACTTCTGCACCAATTCCATCTCTCCTTCTTCTGGGATGAAACTGAACTTCGTCTTGGCCAAGATGTGTCTAGAGAGGAGATATAAGTTAGTTACGTCTTTAGTTAAGCAATTTATCATCACTCTTTAGTCCTACCGTGACTACACTGTCTGCTGTATTAAGGAATACTACATAATATTCGTGTACTTTACTATTCTGAATTACTGCCGTTGTCGTATTATACACGACAACGTCCTGAACATTACGTTAAACTACAGTACCACTATTCAATAAACCTGTACTATACAATATTATAACAATACTTTTAATATTTATACTACATTTTCTTCATAACATTGTGTGCGAAGATACATCATCTGTGTCCATGAGCTTGAGAGCGTTCAACACAATACTCACCCAACGCACGCCTCGCATGTCTCATGGTAGCGTGTGTATAATACCGCATTGTGTAGTGAATGAGACAGCGGGACGCACACGGAACAACTAATTTCTTTCCTCTAATCACGTCACAAGAACAGAGTGTGAGGTTACCACCTGACATTCTGTCAAGGAGGGGGTTGAAGCTAGCAGTTTGAGGCAGTCACAGGACAATGTTTGATCCTCTTCAAAGCAGAGAAAATAAACATTTCTTTCCTCTGTCAGCCTAAAAGGAGAATATATTTACCTCGTCCTACTTTGAAAAAGTAGGAAATGGGAAATGTTTAAATAATCCTTTCTCATTGCTAAGAGATTCTGTTTTATCTGGTAAAAATATCTTATTTATTTATTTATTTATTTATTTATATATATACAAGAAGGTACATTGGGATTGTGAGGATACATAGGATAGTAATTACAATCTTGTAAAGTCACTAGTACGCGCAGCGTTTCGGGCAGAAAATCTAGGGGATCTATCTAGGAAAAAAATCTAGGAAAAAATCTAGGAAAAATTATGAATCTAAGGGGCACGTAAGAAATTAAAATAAAACGGCACCAATCTGGGAAGACAATGTGACACATGTAAGAGAGGAGAGGTGGCTTACTTCTGGGAGGCCTGGACGCTGGTCTGGGAGACGATAGTGTAGCCGTGCTCGAGGGTGAAGACCAAGGCGTCCACCACGTGGCCCCGCACGTCAACATACCTCACCGTCCACAACACCTGCTCCAACACACGCACCTCTTATTCCTTAATTACATACAAATTATATATAAACATTTCCCTAATAGGCTACCTGAGAGGTATTAAAAGCAGTCAGTATTACACTGGAAATTATACAAATATATGTATTGAACAGGATATTATTAACTGAATCAGGCCATCCTTAACCAAATAGGGAATCCTTAACCGGAGAGAACACCTTTAACAGGCATCCTCTACCAGATAGAGAATCCTTAACAGGAGAGAGCATCCTTAATCAAACAGAACTTCCTCAAATGAGCAAAATATCCTTAAGTGATACTTAATAAAGCTGCAGCTAATGTGCAGTCACCAGAGACGTGAAAATAGAGTGTAAGTCGTTAAAACGACGTCACGAAAAACACGACACAGAAATAAACTTTAATTTTTGTCTCGCTGAAAGCCACAACTTTAAAGAAATCTTGACGGAGAAAACTCGGTTACTGGAAATACAGTATGATAAAATAATCCTTGTCAGAGCTTCGTAAATGGAGCTTCCTGTGATGTACACACAAATTTCAAACATAAAAATAAAGTAACCTCCAGAATCCCTACTGACTCACGCGAGGCGCTCCAGTTTATTCCCACCCAGACTCATTCATATATATGTCTAGCTTTCGCTTGAAACAATCCAGCACTCCCACGCCCATTATGTTACCTGGTAATTTGCTCCATAAATCGACAATCCTGGGTGATAATCCTGGATTCACCCAGGTCCTTCCTTATTATAATATTATCCAATTTGGACCCATTGCTTCGGGTTCTCTAAGTATCTTGATGTATACAAAAGAGGAGATACCTGCGGCCCTCAGCCATCAACTAAAGGCAATATCCACCTTGAATAACCTGCGGTGGCAGGTTATATCTGCTGCTTTACTAGAGCAGGCAACGCCTGATTATTGAGACACGCGTGAGGACTGACGGAAGTGACTGATATGAATATTGTATTGTGTGTTGATGACTGACGACCATGAAGAACTACGTGTTGAACCGTAAACAAGGTAGTCGAGAAACTTGCAGCGTGAAGGCGCATCTCATACTTGACAGCAGTGTTGAAAAACATTATACAAAACATTGTCTCGCAGTAGTCTTGAGTATACAGCAGCCTTATGGCCTGCTACTATATCTTTTACCAGGTGAAGGTTTTACCACAATGTACAAAAACGAAGTCCTCCACGTTCCCACCTGACCCAGTCTTGTGGACAACCCGAACACGTCTTTTATACCACAAGATAGCCATCCATCAGCAGCCAAGAAACGGGTATTATATCAAAAGAGGGTCAGCCATACCAGTTTTACAGTGGGTGTGCCAGGCTCAGGGATCTCACTCCGGCCGTGATCCGATACTCACCTCACCCACACACGGAACATGTTTTCACAGCAAACACCTCAATATATTTTCGATAAATCAGAACAAACTGACCGAATAAAAAGCTCTTGCTCACATTTTGCGCCACTTTCACCCTGCTTCCAATGTGAATGCTACATTTCACGAAATATAATATTTATACCTCTATAAAATTCGCTATATAAATAAATCACATGTCAGGGCTAGGTTTTAAATCATGCTTTCATATTGTCATTAAAAAAACATTTAAACATTTGAATTAAAAAAAAAACGCTTATTTTTTGTAATTTTAACAATAAAAGCAAGATGAGGAAGAGGACAGCAACACCCACCTTGTCGGCAGCAGCGAGGAGGGTCAGCTGCAGTTGTCTTACAGGTCGGTACTGTAGAAGTTGCTCCCATGCTTTCCGTAGCTCGCCCACCCAATCCTCCACGAACGGTGCCACTACGGGAAGAGAGAGAGACATGCAGAGACAGGGTTACGCCATTCAAGTATGCATTTATACGGATTAATGGAAGAGAATCTCGAGCGAATACGAGAATAGAATTGTAGTTAGTAATTATATATATTTTTTTAGCATGGCTTATCAAGGGAGGCGTCCCAGGCTCCCAAGACAAGCATATCTCACAAAAAATATTATTAACAAATATTATTATTAATATTCTTTCAAAAATATATCCCCTCAACTATATTTAAAGTTGATATAAATAAAAAAAACATCATTATCTTCATTGTATGATAACAATTTCTGCCAGTTTCAAGTCAATACGATGAAGCTTTCTTAGTATTTATCACGTGGAAACAAGAACAAAATATGCCACTGGATTACATTCTTAAATTTCAATAAAAGACGTTTGATCACACTATTATGAGTTCCAAGACAAAACGATGACCCGCTAACCATTGTATTCTCTCATCTTGCCACACACACAAAAGCAACTATATTTGTTTTCGTCAATTTCCGTAATATACATTTTCTATACAGGGTTATAAGAATGTTTATCCAAGACGAGATTGCTTTGGTGTTGGGCCTAAGGCGCCTCAACGTCTGGAGGGTTATTAAGACCACAATAGTTTACTGGCCATCCAACAAGAGTACTTAAGTCCTGCACTAAGTACACGACCAGAGTACACTCGCATTCTACGCATACAAGAATCAGGGTACACCTCTGGGTATATGTATATGTATACATATATGTAAATCAATTAGATGTAACGTAGGAATTCCTCACTGATAGGTAGTCAGTGAGACCATGTAGATCACATACTGTAGATAATATAATTAATATTAACAAAGGGGAATTACAGACGAGTACAGAATCGTCTGTAATTCCCCTTTGGAGGGAAATATGAAGAGAATAATATTTCTATAAAAAAAAAGATTGTAAAAAAAATTGATCGTGAAAGATGTATACAAATCGTTCTTCTTGAAATCCCAATGAAGCTGGTTTGCAAATGTTAATGAGTCCTTTTACAACGGAGCTGAAGGTTCCTTTTATCAGGAGCTAAGCCAGAATATTTGCAAGTTAACAAAAATCAACACTCACATGTTAGGAGTATTACAAAGATAGTTCCCGCGTAGAAAGAGGTTGTATGAAGGCAGCACTTCACTAAAGTGAAGTGCTGCCCCGTCGTCGTCCCTTCAACTTCTAGTGTGTGGTCTGGTCAACATACTTCACTAAAGTTGTCATGTTTCAACGTTCGCCACAGACAACCCTTGACTCGTTGGAACAGGCTTAGTAAGGTGAGAGAACTCCATCGCAGATTGCTTACCTCTCATCATGAGGACTCTAACTCCGTTTTTAACCATTTCGACCATCATGTTGTAGTACTTCTCCAGGTTCTCACGCTTCGAGTTCTCGGTGAAGTCTCTATAGATGTCTTCCAAGTACTCGACCATTTCCTGGATGCGCCGGTAGGTAGCTGAGGATTTGATTTCCAGGCCCAGCTTCTGCAGCCACTCTGTCAGGAACACACGTGTCAGTACCTCCGTCCTGAACCCCACGAGGAGCTTTGATACTGCTACTTAACCTAGAGGCGCGAGTACATGTCACATACGTGTGTGACATGTACTCGCATGTACACACAATCAAACATGTGCGTATGCTTGTGTGTGTATGTTTGTGTGTGCGTATCTGAATAACAACCATCCCTGAACATTGTGGGTGCAAGGTGTGAGACTCTGAACTAACCAATAAGGTTCTCGGCGAAGATCCAGGCGTTGGTCTCCACGTCATCGAATGTCCTGAGGATGTGGGGCTTGTAGTTGTCGTAGACGGCCCTCCACTTGCGCCGCAGCCACTCCCCCACCCGGTCCGTGAACCCCTGGACAGCTTTGCTCATCCACAGGTACAGGCGCTTCGCCATCTGCACAAGAGAGAGAGAGAAGAGTGCTCTCGGTACTGCGTTAATTAGCCAACTTCACCTCCGACCAGTCAGTCAGTATAACTTACCAGGATGTTGTCAAAGCTTACCAGATTGCTATGATAGCTTTTCAGGTTGCTGTCAGAGCTTACCATGATGCTGCTCTAACTTACCATGTCTATACCATCCTGTAATCTTTTACAAGCAAAAAAATAATAATAAAAAATGAATAAAGTTCATTTCGTTGTTCAAATACATTCCACAAAATCATTCGTCCAGTTCATCATTGACGCTGTGGTTGTTTGCGTGTTGTACCTGGTGACTCCCGAAGGTGACTGGCAACCAAGAGGATTATTATTATTATTATTATTATTATTAATTAATTATTCACAAGAGATTATTAATTACCCTGTCACAAGGGATTATTAATTAATAATCCCTTGTGACAGAGGCACGTGAAGCAGGCTATTGGTCATCACATGTGTTGATCACAAGAATATTAACACAATTATTCCCTAATCAGAAAAAATCATTGCTTGGTGAGATTGGCCTTGTTTGTAGAGCTTGACTCTGTCCTGTTAAGCTTGGCGTAGTTTCTTGATCTTAACGTTGCTCGTACAACTTGTCAAGCTCGACGTTGCTTCTTAAGCTTGATGATCTCTTTAGCGTGTGCCATTCCTTATCGAGCTTGTTGGCTCATAAGCTTGACGTTACGTGTAGAGCTTTCAGTACCTTATTGAGCTTACTGCTGCTTACTGAGCAGCAGGTATTGTAACTGAGGTATTGTAAGGCGCAATTCGTCTTAATGTATCGTACTAAAGATCTGGGCACTTAAACCAGAAAAGGAAAAAAATAGTGCCACTAATATTGATAATTTCTTAAAGAAATCTGCTCTTTGGGGCGAAAAATTAATGGATGAACCATTATTGCTTCCATGGTTACTTTCGTCACGCTAAGCTGTTTTGTCTAGTACACTTTTGTACATTCCGCTTTTGTAGAGTGCACTTTTGTACGGTATACTTTTGTACAGTGTGCTTTAGGAGAGGACCCAACCGTGACACTAATAACACCTGAGAATACATATAGCGTAAGCATGTACATGTGAGAGTGAGAGGGACGTGGAAGCGACAAACCTGGTCATGCATCTCAGCGAAGGTGGACAGCAGCGAACTCAACTTCTCCTTCAGCCCTGGTCCAGACGGCTCCTGCAGGAGGGCAAGAGGCACGAGTGAGTGTCTGCTTTAACACATAAACAGAAGAAGATATTTATATATGAGATAAACAGTGGGTAGGAGAAGACTCACTAAGAAGAGCTGAAGGTAGAAGCCTCGGAGCTTGTCGAGAATGGTCTTGAGGGCGCCACGCAGCACCCCGCTTTCCAGGCGGGCCTTCAGGCGCTGGACGGCTGGTCTACCATAACATTTGTGCCACACATCAGAAAGTAAGTCAAGTGATGATGTTTCCGTCCATTCTGCACCCTTATCAAGTTGTCTTGTGTGATAAGGGTCCAGGACGGACCTAATCGTATGAAACTTTCCTTTCATATGTGTGAGTTGGGTTATTAATTTCCAGCCACGTTATTGTGACATTCTCTGCATAACATTAGTATAAATAACGAATACAATCATATTGTTGTCACTAACGATAAATTCCGATATAAGATTCTTTTATATAAACGTTACCTTAAGCAACACATATAATGGAAGTGTATTCATTGTATAAGCTAAATCTAAAATAATTCTTCAAACAATTTAAAACATGGAATAGTTGGTTAGTGGAGATCAGTGAACCATTTAGGGGCTACAGAGCCACAACTGTGTACAATTATTCACTTCAGCCACAACTGTAATGATTCCTTATTTTGACTTTCTCTTAACATGTAAATAATATATCGAAATTTTGTGCAAACTATTTAAATTTTACAACCGTTTATTAATGAAATGTTTAATTTGGTTTAACTGGGTGTTGAGAACCTACATTTCCTCCAGGGTCACCATGACGCTGCTGACGACGAACCTAACAGACTCCAGAATCTGCAGCTCCATCGCCGTCGAGTTGATGTTGTTGTAGAGAAGCCACAGGTCCGCTACGAACTCCCGGGACTCATTCCTGACGGAGGCACGACGCTGCTCTTTATATCAACACCGGGTATATCGAGTGGCACTCTCTGCACTTATTATCACAATTAATAAACAATTAATATATTTGGTCCGTATGGGGTGACGTCCCGAGAGAGCAAAATTTAGGGGTCTGTAAGAGGAAGGAAACATTCTAAGGAGAGTTCACGCCGCATTTGACTATCTCGCCCGTAAGAATTGCCGGTGGAGATAATTGAGACGGAAGATGAGGATATAACATCAGCCAGAGAGGAGTCGCCATGTTGTTGTTGTTGTTAGATTCAGCTTCTCGAAACAAAAGTTGCAAGTAGCACTGGCTATGGCGAACCCGTGCAGGAATAACCAGGAACCTCGAAATAACTGCTCGAAGTGTATATATCTTTAGATTATACAAACCTTGGGAATTCCATAGCATGGCGTAGCTCACTAAACCATGGAAAAGAAGTCTCTCACGTACAATCCAAAGGATTTGGTATGTCGAATATATTCTATCTATATATGGGTATGTGGGCCTGCGGGCCGCTCCAAGCAACAGCCTGGTGGACCAAACTCTCACAAGTCAAGCCTGGCCTCGGGCAGGGCTTGGGGAGTAGAAGAACTCCCAGAACCCCATCAACCAGGTATCTAGCTACTAAATCTGTTCAATATTCAGTGTTATTTGTTACGCAATAAAGTATTTAAATATCTGGAGATTCAAAGGTTGTTTCAAGATTGAATGAAGAAGGTAGGTGGCTCCTCCCCCTTCGCGGTTAGGATAGTGTAGTACAGTTTACACCGAAGACAGTGTAAACCTCCCCCGTGGCCTATGGTTTATGCAGGTCACCACTTTTGGCACACGTAGCCAACAGCTCCCATTATTCAGCTCGACACCGGGATGGAACTAGTGTCTGCAGTGTTGCAAGTTCAGAGCGGCTGCAAGATGCAATTTGGTTTTGCTGATGTTTAGATAATAAATCCACGAGAGTTCCCCCTCATAGTAAACTTTTAGAACATGATGTTATGTACATTTACGTGTTACCATTGTTTCCTTAATATTAATTAATATATTCTAGTTATCAGTTTCTGAAAACTGTAGAGGATGACTTATGATTTAATTTATTCAAATTATTTCCCTTTAGTGAGCCCAAGAACGCACCTGAAGTCCAGAAGAAGTGGTCTGACAACTTTGACCAAGTCCTTGAGGATGGGTTGGGCACGGATGAGGACCTCGTCTGCAGCCACCTCCAGGGAGCCCATCACCCAGTCCTCCAAGTTCTGGCGCAGGTCGTGCGACGCACCGATCACCTCCGCAACTTCGTTCTTCAGGGAAAGGATAAGCATGAACATTTTTGTGAACATCAAGAGAGGTAATAATAATTTATTTTTAATTCAGAAATATTAAGGCACTTCTGTATACATCACAAATGTTCGCCCATGTTCACTTATTGTTCGTGAAACTCGCATCTCAACACACTCTTCCACATGCACTAACCTTCTACACTGCGGTAGTGGTCAATCTCTCTCGTAACCCACTAACCCCTAAGTGTAAATAACTAGCAGAGATTGCCGGCATTGCCCGAGAGAAGATTGTATCGTCGTCCGCGTGACGATTTTCATTATTCACGATTTTCGCTAAACGGGATCCTAACAATAGATGACATTAAAAATCAAGGCTTTCTGTACACGAGCTGCATTACAAACGATGTTCATTATTAACGATATTTGCTACAATTTTCAATAAACAGAATCCTCACTACAAACTATCTACAATATGCACGTTCCCTTTTACCCGGTCTTCCTCGATATGTGACAGATTCATTCTTAACCTTCCAAGCTTTGTTATGCTCCCAATGATATCGCACGCCTAAGAGAACTTAAGAGGTGTGTGTGCCATCCACAGACATACGAAGATCTTACCATCAGCTCAAGCTTCATCTCGGGTCTCCAGGAAAGGCGCGAGGTGAGGAGCCGGGAATGGTTCAGACGGAAGAAGAAGTTTGCATCAGAAATCCACTCGGACACCTCGGCCGCCTCTCCTCTGAGCCACGCGGGCTGCAAGTGCTTCATAGAGAAGCGAGCATTGCGGTGATCCTCTATACCGCCTTCAATCACCACTTGTTCCGCAATATCTGACCAGAGAAAACCTTGATGAAGCGAAAGGTAACATCTAGTTACATTGCCCACCCTTCGAGAGGGGCAACTAACAGTTGTCTCACTAACTCAGCCCACAACTCACATCTCCCATTAATATCATATCCACGGTCTGTTCATGTGCCAAAGCCGACCACTTACACCTGGGGAACGAAGTGTCGTAGGTGGTGTCATTAGAGAGGAGGTTGTCGAAGGTGATGGTGAGGACGGGATGGGCGGGATGCACCTGCAGGTAGGTCAAGAGGGGCGCCTGGCCAGGGGAGCTAGTCGTTGCCACCTTCCACCGGCCCTGGTTGTCCTGCTCCACCTCCATCTCGATGTCCACCAGCTTCCTCCACGTTTCCAGCTAAGCAATTGAGAAATTTGTGTGTAAATAAGTGTTTTAATGCGAAAATATTGAGGGAATGCGAAAGGATCGAACTTGCGCCCGAACAATCTCTTCTCAAACACACACATCCCCAAGACTTCTCCATTATATTGCCTCAACACTTTCTCGCAATGATACATGCGTTGTAGTGACCTCAGAGTATTGTAGTGTAATAAATTAAATTACATAGTTTTGTCATAAATTCTAATATTAGACCATAAAGCTACTTTCCTCTCTCCTTTTACAGTCACTCACATATATATGAAAAATAGTATTCCCTTCTGGTATGTCACAAGTAGACATTTTATACAATCTTGTGAGTCTTACCAGTTACATATTCCTGTAACCTCTACCACAATTATATTCCTGTCACTCCTAAAAGTTAAACAAAAGTTACACATTCCTGACACCCCTACAAGTTATTCATACACCCATATAGCATTATAATTATCATAAAAATATTCTTACGTTTGTCTTAATTCTTAATTGAGTTGAATGTCTACCGTCTACTGCGTATGTTTATGTCATACTCTGTTCTGTTTAGCTTTCATCCTTGTTGTGTGTGGTGGCTTTAAATCCACCTACTAAATTGTCTCACTCCTTTCTTTCTTTACCCAATTTTCTAGAGTACCTTGGCACTGAATGCCTACAAGATCATCCTCAGGTGCTGATTCGTGTAGCTGATCAACCCGTTATCTTAAGATGATTTCGGGGCTTGGCGTCCCCGTGGCCCGGTCCTCGACCAGGCCTCCTTTTTTGTTACACAACCCCAGGAAGCAGCCCGTAGCTGCTGTCTAACTCCCAGGTACTTATTTACTGCTAGGTGAACAGGGCCCATCAGGGTGAAAGAAACTCTGCCCATTTGTTTCCGCCTCCACCGGGGATCGAACCCGGAACCTCAGGACTACGAATCCGAAGCTGTCCACTTAGTTGTCAGAGGGCAAATCACAATACCCGTGTTGTGATTTGAGAATAATTACATTATCTAATTAAGCCAAACTGTAATTAGGTTATCCGTCTCCCAAAACACGCACTCGCCTAGATAGCTGCTGGTTACGATGTCTAGCACTTATTATACCGCTGGTTACGATACCCAGCACTTATTGTACCGCTGGTTACGATATCTAGCACTTATTGTACTGCTGGTTACGATACCCAGCACTTATTGTACCGCTGGTTACGATACCCAGCACTTATTGTACCGCTGGTTACGATACCCAGCACTTATTGTACAGCTGGTTACGATACCCAGCACTTATTGTACAGCTCGTTACGATACCTAGCACTTATTGTACTACTGGTTACGATACCTAAACCTCTATGACTATTAGTTACAATACCTGACCCTCCGCGCCATGTTGGTTACAATAGCTCCATGTATCTGAGAGATAGATACAAGAGAAACTCACTAAGAGTCATCAGAGGCAACTCATTAATAAAGAGAATGTCACCGCGTGCAGGAGGCATCATTAGAGGTCTTCATAAAGTGGTGTCAGTGCCATTCAAAGCGGTGAACAGTGTAGGAAGTGTAGCAAGCGAATGAACCATAGGGGGATCGAACGCCGAGCTTGCAGGAAGGAAGCCCGTGGCTGTATGGAGCATTCCTTGTTGATGAAGTCCATGTGTAAGGAGAGCCTCACCGAGATGTGAAGGGTCTTCTGGAGAGGGTGGAGCGTGGTGAGGAGGTGCGCGGTGTGCTGGTGACCGGTGAGGTTGGTGTAGCTCAGGTCCTGCTCCAGACCGTATCTGGCTGACCCGAAACTCACTGTCCCGTTGGTCTCCACACTCAAGCTAAGCCAGGCAAACCGAAAAGAAATTAACACGCATAAACCATTAATAAATATACAAGCGTAAGCTATGAACGGATAAGCGGTCAGTTAAATATAAAAAATCATTATCAAAAGGTTGATAAGGGGCTTACTTGGAAGCCGGGTGAAGGAGGGAGGTGGTGCCGGTAAAGACGAGTGCTCCATCGTGCGCCGTGTCTTTCGTCACCACCAGCGTCGCCGTCAGATCATCCTGGGAACCCTGCGAGTACTCCAGCTTCACATCCGCCGCGATCAACTCCCGGGCATTCTGACGTAGTTCTCCCGCTAGCTTCACGTCCTGATGGTATAATACACGTCTTGGTGATATAATACACGTCCTAGTGGTATGTTGGTCATGTTGATGGAGGGTGTTTCACTACACATGAGTGAAACATGAGTATCACTAGCCATGAGCAGGGATGGTATATGCAATGTGAGTAACGCTAACATGAGATACTGACCTCCTGTAGGAGCGGGTGTGTGAGACTGATCAGGCCCTTGTGAAGCCGGTTCCCTGTCGTGCTCTCGTCCGCCCATGTCAACCGACCGGTCACCTCGCTGTCAACACAACCACGCAAGAAAAGTTAAAAGCGGCCATTATAATGAGTCGCAATGTTAATTTAACCATAAATAAAGACAGGTGTTGCCACTTCGCCACCTGCAACATCCTTATGACATTCAGCTGACCCCCAAAGAAATCGAAATTTCAGGGTTATTAGTATGCTGGTGCGGCTCCAAGAGTTCCCCCCCAGACCCAATGGTCTCAGCACTCGGGTTTCTGTTATTAAGACATAACTTAATGGGGCTCGAGGCAAGGGAACTGCTACATAAGCTTCCAACATGGCAACTGTTTCAACCAATATGAAGGCTCAGTCCAATATATTGTTCTAATGGCATGATAAAGCTTTCCATTATATTGACCAGACCACACATTAGAAGGTGAGGGGACGTCGTCGTCCCTTCACCTTCTAGTGTGTGTTCTGGTCAACATACTTTAGCCACGTTATTGTGACTCATCGCCTGCTTTCCATTATATTATACTGTATATGATTTTAAAGTTTTTGAGTTCAAACTAACATAGAAATGTTATCAAACCTAACGTAACTAAGTCAGTAATTCATGTTCTTAATATAATAAAAAATATTACCCTAAATAAATGAATTTGAAAAAGACATACAGTATTTGAAAATAACAAATATCACTCTGCCTATTAAGCAAATCGGTCATTACATACTAGGTCAAGTAGTGCGTTCTGGCTATTAGGTAAGACATCATCTATTTATATATAGTAAATTGATAACCGCGAGATTGTCATTTGTTGTTGTCAGACCACGAAGGAAAAACTGAAACAGGAATTTCCTTAAGTACTTACAGATTTAATAATACATCTTTAGAAGGATCCTTCTGAAGATGTAATATTAAATACGAAAGTACTTAAGGAAATTCCAGTTTCAATTCTTCCTTCGTGGTCTGACACTGTCACATTTTGTGATTTATACACACACACATCATATTACATATATATATATATATATATATATATATATATATATATATATATATATATATATATATATATATATATATATATATATATATATATATATATATATATATATATACATACAACAAATGACTATCTCCCGGTTATCAATTTACTACTAGGTGAACAGACGCATTAAGTGAAAGAAAACTTGCCTAACCATTTCTGTCCCTCCAGGTATTCGAACCCGGGATCCCCGATTATGATTAGAGAACGAACCCAACTGTACTATCGAAGCCACAACATGCTGACAACGGTGTCGAGAACCACCAAGTTGTGTGCAGACTTTATGTGAAGATGACGTTTTGCGAATGACTTGATCCAATATAACTGATAAAGACCTAACTGATAAAGACCTTCCAGGCGAAACTTTTCATCTACAAAGCAGGTTTACTTTCCTCTTGGCCTTGCTCTACATATACAACAGTGGTACATACCTGGGTGTTATTAGTTTTTACATGTAGTTGGTACAGATAATTAGGGATTCTTACTGTTCTTTCCCCACTTACATACACCAATCGCTCGCTAGTCTTCTCTCGTGAATATATATTTCATTATACAGTGAGATCTTGCCTGGATTTGCGGTTGAGATCTCACCTGGGATCATCGCTGTCGTCGACGTCCCAGTTGAAGGTGATGTAGGCGTTGATGTTCCTGGAGGAGCGCTTGTAGAACCCGTCGAGCAGCACAGTGCGGTAAGGTTGCGAGAATTTTCCCCTCAAAATGTGCTCCTTGGTGAACCCCTGGAGGGTGAACAGGTACATCAGAGAAACAAGGCAGGGTCATAACAGGTCATAACATAACATAATTGTTTATACATCTGAACGAGAGAAAGAGAGAGAGAGAGAGTACTCACCTAGTTATTTATTATTATTAGTGTGTGTGTGTGTGTGTGTGTGTGTGTGTGTGTGTGTGTGTGTGTGTGTGTGTGTGTGTGTGTGTGTGCGTGTGTGTGTGAGTGTGTGTGTGTGTAATTACCTAAGTGTAGTTACAGGATGAGAGCTACGCTCGTGGTGTCCCGTCTTCCCAGCACTCTTTGTCATATAACGCTTTGAAACTACTGCGGTCTTGGCCTCCACCAAGTGTGTGTGTGCGTGTTTATGCGTGCATGGGTGCGTGCGTGTGCGTGTGTGTAAGGTATACAGATCGTCTCCAACATACCTTGGAGACGTCCTTCCAGTCGAAATCAAATTCGATCTTCTCGTCTTGAGACCAGGAGAGAAGGAAGCTGGTGTGGAAGTTTTGGTGAGTGAGGCGGTAGCCCATGGCCAGCACCACCTCCCGGTCCAGCACGTTCCCTGGCGGGTACACACACACACCTCTTCATGGATACACCCTTTTTTGACTTGATACAATAATATGAGAAATGGTTTGTCAATTTGCCTAATTTTTACCTCTCTTTCTACTTCATGTAATCCTCTTTTTCCCGCTATTTTTTCTTGCGCCTCCCTTTCTCCATAATATTTTCTCATCTACTCTTCATCCTTCTTATGATTATCTTACGATTCATTATGCTTTTTTTATAGTCCTCTATCCTTCGCTTTCTTCTCGCCCTCCACTATTTCTTTATCTTGTCTTTATCCTATTTTTATCTCTCTCTTAACGATATACTCAAATTATAATTATAATGCAACCTTCGATGCTGTATACCCAGACTTCCGAAACGGTACGTGTACTTCTCACTGTATATATTAAACCCGCTGGCATGTCATGCCCGCTGGGGCCTCGCCCTTCACTGGTGACGCATGCCTCTCCCCCACCTCTACCCCCCCGCACTTTCTTCCTACCAAAGCTGCTCTGATTCCAAGAAACTTTTCCCCTTTAAACTGCTGCATTCTGACACTGAAATCACAATCATCATAATTCATTAAAGATATGAAGTTTGTGTATAAATATTTATGCTCTATTATACCTTGCAATGATAAATGCACCGCAGTTGTCAATAATACTCATGGCAGGCAACATGGTATTATATCCGGAAACTATAATTAGTTTAAAAGGCATTCATACAGCATTACCTTAGTGAGAGAGGAAGAAGAGCGCGTACGATACATACCCTTGATGGAGAAGTGTGTGCCGGACTGAGCAGTGTTGTGGAGGAGGCTGATGGTGATGCGTCTGGTCACATCGTACAGGTCGAACACCTCCACCGTCGTCACTGTCTGTCACATCGTACACACACCAATATACAAACTCTCCCTTTGCAGTACTTCATAGTAGAAATACACACATTACTCGGTCATTGCACTATTACATTTGCATAAACATAGTATGATACGAACCTCTAATTCCGTATCCGTTTTAGGGTTAGTTTCTGTAGTTGAGGATATTCCAAAAGGCCAGAGGGCGTTGTCGAACTCGAAGGAAGTGCGGCGTTTGACGATGCCTTGAGGGAGCACAGCGGTGAGGCGCTCCACTTTCACCTTCAGTACAAAGAGACGATACGTGGCCCCCAACTCCATCGTCACGTCCCCCGTCACAGGGAACTAAACAAGTATACACTTAATACCCCATACATCACTCCCATATAGACCTATGACATACAGAAAGTGCTAATCAGTGTTTAATATAGAGGGAGTCGAATCTCTCCTATTCTTCAACAGTTCTAATTAACACTTTCCTCTAGAACAACTGCATCACCAGCAGCTGTCTCCCTCACCTTAAAACCATAGTCGATCTGGACGGGCATTTTCTGTGTGAAATCTCCCGTGATCTGCAGAGTACCACGGTGTCCTGACGGCAGGAAGCGATGCTTGAGGGAGGCGTGGACGGGACTGCGTTCCCAGGGCGAGGTGGAGTTGTGCCTTCGGGGCCACTCCAAGTTATAGTCACCCTCGTACCCTTCCTCCGTCAGCTCCTGAAGCCCCAAAATGACTAAACAGTTACTCAAGGCAACACTTATAAACAGTCTACTGTAATTGTTCAGTACCACAAGAAACATTTGATACACAAATTAAATAAATACCAAAGATGTTATATAGATAAATTTCACATTACGAGTCGCATCTCGGTATCGATATTAATCACTACCAACCCTTAATATTGGTAAATTATTGTTTTGTACACACACATAAGCGGAGTTCAAGAGCTAGAGTTCGATCCTGCAGGCACAAATAGATGAGTACACATACTCTAGGGGTGGTTGTGGATAGTACTGTCACCAGAAGGCCACATAAAGGATACTATGCTATGCTAATGTGCTATGCTTCCCAACTTCAGAATTGCATTTAAATACATAGATGATGAAATGTTAAAGAAATTGTTTACGACATTTTTGAGACCAAAATTGGAATATGCAGCTGTTGTTGTGTGGTACCCATATCTCAAAAAGCACATGAATAAAATGGAAAAGTGCACACATGCTACTAAATGGCTTCCGGAACTTAAAAATAAGAGCTAGAAGGAGAGGCTTGAGGTGTTAAATATGCAAAGGCTAGAAGATAAAAGAAAAAGAGATATGATCACCACATACAAAATAGTAACATGAATTGAGAAAACTGACAAAGAGGAATTCTTGAAACGTACAACTACGAGAACAAGAAGTCATAGATTCAAGGTAAGTTAACAAAGGTACAGAAAAATGTTAGAAAGTTCTCCTTTGCAAACAGAGTGGTAGACGGTAGGAACAAGTTACGTTAGAAGGTGGTGGAGGCCAAAACTATCAGTAGTTTCATAGCGTTACATGACAAAGAGTACTGGAATGCCGGAACACCACGAGCGAAGATCTCGTCCTATAACTACACTTGGGTAATTACACACACACACACACACATACCTGCTTAAAATTGAGAATGATGGGCTGTTTGTCCCAGACGAGGGAGGAAGTGACGGTAATAACCCCGTCACCTGCAGGGAAGCCTTGACCCAAAATGTTGCCTGACACTGTCGTCACCTCTGACCCCGTCTCTATGGTTGTCCTACCAGAGAACACAACTGGTATATATATGCTGCATGCAGATAACACCAGCTTGGTGAAGCGGGTTATGCTTCCTATAACTTACACGTGACTTAAAGCAACAAGCAGTTATCCCGTTTCTAATTGAATTGTAAATCACAAACATTCCTTAATACTATGTAATTAAAAAATATAAATATATAACAATGTCTGCTGGTTTATCTAGGTTAATGCAAAGTTTGTTTTTATTTTCCCAAATATTTCGCATATTTGTGCAGAATATGGTGGCACTCACCTGAACCAGTGCCTCTCGTCATGGGCCTCGTAGTGGATGTCGGCCTTGTTGGTGTGCCAGCCCTGCACCATGGGCAGGTCGAAGGTCAGGAGGCCGTCTATGGCATCTCCTTTGAACACCAGGCTGGAGTGGAGGACGACCTGCTGGGGCGCCGATGACCCTCGCTCCCAGTCCAGCGTTCCCGTCAGGTTCAGCCGACGGTCGTCTTTACGTAACTGCAGATAAGTTGAAATCAATGTAATGCCATTACGGATACACTAAATCAAAATTCGGATTGTGTCTTCACTTCTATGTGTGGCTGTGCGTGGAGGCACAAGGCGAACTCACCTCGCCGGCGAAGCTGTAGCGTGACCTGGAGAGGTCAAGAGTGATGGTGGGCTTAATGACGCGGAAGCCGTCGTGGTCGTGATAATGCTCAGCGAGGGCCTTAAATGTGATGGGTTCAAGACGAGGCCACAGCAGGTACAGGCTCAGCTCCCCCGGCGCTGACGACACCTGCAGCACCCTCCCCTTCACCACCAGGTGGCTGCACTCACAAGTTGGTTTGAGTTAATAACAACAACAACGAAATGGTAAGTGAATAGTCATAGTAGCAATAAAATCACACTATTGTTAATAAGATAATAAACGTGGAATCGCTTTGCTGTCTCAAGAGTAGGTTAGACATATATATATATATGAATAAGTTCGGTTGGATATATATAGGAGTTGCCTCGCATGGGCCAATATGCCTTCTGCAATTCCTTTAAATAATAAATAACCCTTACACTACACTACACAGTGTAGTGTATTTGTTCAAATAAATAACCACCCACTACATTTTGTTTATTAATAAAGCTGCACGAAAGATAGGTATTAGCCTAAACATTATTAACAACTTTAGAAACAAAAGTAAAATATCAAGGTCTACACAAGTTTATGTCTGGGCTAAAACTAAATGTTTTTATTATTAAGGATGATTGAAACAGCTACAAGTAACTACTCACTCCCAGTAGCCGTCATTGCTCTTGACGTCGACGCTGCCCACTACGTCAATCATATCTTGCGCCGAGCCATTGGTAAGGTCCAGCTCCACGGCGTAGGACCTGTCCGGACCCTCCTCCTGCACCACCTTCAGGGACACGTTGCCCTCCACCTTACTGAAAGAGAAGCTCTTGAAGACGAGCTCGAGATCACCGGAGCCAACAGGAGTCTCCCAAACGATTTTGAGCTGGTAAGGGGCTTGTGATGGTCTGAGGATGAGGATGAGAGGCACCCGATTAATGAGGTGTACTCGTAGGAGCAGCAGTAGTAACGTTGTATGATAAAATGGAATTGATGAAGCTCAGCACTATGATGCTCTCGATGACGCCACTTATTACATCAATGGGCTTTATTGTTGAACACATACGTCAATTATTTATAAATCAGTCTTCAATAAATTAATGGTGTTAGTTAGAATTAATGGGGCTAATAACAATTAATGATGCTAATTAAAATTTTGCAAAATATGAAACACTAAACATTGCCAGAATAGTTTTCGTAAAGTGGACATATACCAGGCGCCACATCATACTACCCTTTACATCATACAAGGCTCCAAATCACATTAAGCTTTGGATCATACCAAGCTCTACACAGACGCCATAGACACAATCAGGGAACACAGTATAAAGATCAGAGTTCTATGGCTCTTCATCAGAGCGTCACAGCTATTCAATATCCGGCCAACAAACACGAGAACAAAAGTGCAGGAACAAATATTGCAGGAACAAAAGTGAACGTGTTCAAAAAATAATTAAAGTTGGTGGGGGAAGTAGCGGAGGAGCTGTGTTGTAGTGGATATGTGGGTCGTCAGGTCGCTCCAAGTAACAATCTATGTTACCAATGTGTAACAAGTCAAGCCTGGCCCCAGGCTCAGTGTGGAGGGTTGATATTCCTGAACCCACTCCAGTAGACTCCAGGTATTGTGCCAAGCTCCACTGCATACCAGGTTCCACCTCGTACCATGCTTCACATTATACCAAGCTCCACATCACACATAGCTCACATTATACTAGAGCCACATCATCATATTTCTCAACTACTTTAAATCGCTTCAATTATTTAAGTATGTTATTATTTCGCATTACATAAGGTACTGTTAAGGACTCGGTGGTCTAGGTAGCCTGAACCACTTGAGTTTATCAACAACCTTTCATGCAGCCCGTCCTCATAAACAAAGGCCAAATGCTCGTTAATCAAGCCACTAAACCCTTTTGTTTATGACTGAAAAACTTTACACACGACTTACAAATGTACGAGACTTTGGTGTGTTAATGTGTCACCAGAGCTAATATTAGTTTAACGTACTGTGTTGGTTCTACGCAGTACGTTTAACATACTGGTACTCACAAAATTTGTATTTCTCAGACATAAATTAATGTTATTAGAAACTAGAACGTGTTGAATAGTTAACTAATTTAGGTTAGGAGGTTAGGTTCTATTAGCAAGTACTGGTACGTGGATAAAGCATTTATAGAGACACGATTCGAGCAGAAGGCGTGAACGAAGCCCTGCTTGAGACAAGTACATACGTCATCCGATGTGAGTCGTGTGTAAAGTGTTTTTCCTTCATTTGGTGGCTAGATTAACGAGCATTTGGCTTTAGTTGATGAAGACAGTTTGTGATGATAACTTGAACTACTGTCTCGTGAAGCACTGAATCACGCACCACTACTCAACTTGAAAAAATCCACAAGGGCCGTGACGAGGATTCGAACCTGCGTCCGGGAGTATCCCAGACACTGCCTTAATCGACTGAGCTGATTCGAATCCTCGTCACGGCCCTTGTGGATTTGTTCATTTGATGCATCACGTTAGTGTGATCTCTGTGTGTGACTACTCAACTTATTTCAACCATATTCCACTCTCCTATGAAACATTGGCACATTCCTCCTTAATCCAGCCTTGAAAAACTTGTGTATCTGGAGACTTACTGTAGCAGAAGATCGATCTTGAGGCTCTTGAAGGCTTGGTGAGGCGTGGTGAGGCGCAGCGCCACCTTGAGCGGCTGTGAGTGGAGGTTAGTGAGGCCGAGGTGGACGGTGTACCTGCCGTGTTCTCCCCCGTACTCCCGCTCCACCTGCAACAACAACAACAACACACGTCTTCCACATACATGCATGTGTTGTCAAACTCTACCCTCTGGCCTAGCATACATAGCTCGTTTTCTAATTCTACAAACTGATTAGGTCGTTAGGATAGGCGGGATTAGCTAATATGTTAGTTTAACTAAGATATATTACGTTAGGTTTGGCCCTAATTAGGTTAGGCTGGTTTAGATTAGACTGCATTAAGTTATGATAGGTTAGCCAGATTTTAATACAACAGAAACACAGTAGTCAAGCTGTCTTAGATAGAAAATGTTCTGTGTTCAGTCAAATTGTTTATTGGCATTTCATACAAAAATATAGGCTTCTCTATACCGCAATCTGTAAATATTATACCGTAATGAGGGTGAGGATAAAATACACAGATCGTATATGATCAAACAAACAAATTTACCGACATTTGAAAGAAATAATAAACTCTAATGCAATATTGTAATAAAATTCTGACCTGGATGTCCACCTCCCAGTCATTCTCCTCTCGGTATTTCCAGAAGAGGTCGCCTCGGTAGGTGTGTCCAGATCCCTCCAGCACCAGCCGGTTCCTGTAGCCGCCCTCCTGCGGCGTGCCCTCCAGCCGGAGTCTGGAGTGTTCCAGGTCCTCCCACGGCGTCTCAAGGGTCCCATCCAACTGACAAGAAAGGGAATCAAACTAGTATTAATATTAAGTGTTAGAGCCGTGGTATTTCTTCTTTTAAACGTTTTATTGCGGCAAAATAAGAAACAGTTCAAGAAATTATATTAAAATGTAATAAACACGCCATTCGATCAAACTTCAATGACTCACCTCACGAATGAAATTATGCTGGAATTTAACAGTGGCATCCAACACGATGTCGCCTCCTTCCCAGCCCAACTTAGTCAGCAGCTGAGACTTGAGAACATCTAAGGCTGTCAACTTCCACGCGAAGGTTCCGTTTCTGTGATTAAGTTGGTATTTAGTGTTTAGGGTATGCTAGGTAAGCATACTCTCAAGCTAGTCAAGGATGAATAGTGAACGGCTACTCAAAGCTCAACTTTTATTCACACATTGTTTGTTTGTGACTGTGTGTGTGTGTGTGTGTGTGGATAATTAACAGAAAAATACCTTTCCCTGGCCCACGGCCTGGTGAACATCTGCCGATCCCCATATCGGGGTGCAATCAAGACAATGAGAACTTGCCTTGAAAAAAACACCGAGGAAGGAAGGAATGGCAGATACAGAACGGCATTATAAAGTGATATACGCCCGAGATATTATACTTGGAGATGTTGCAGTTTACTACACAAAATGTGCCTTATTTCACAATCCAGTATATACTCATTTCCAAGTGGAAAATGTGTGCTGTACTCTACCTGAAAGGTTCAAACGGTGAGGCGAAGGAGCCGGAAAAATCTTTGGTAGTGCCAACTGTGGTGAGGTGGAAGGCTCGGCCTGCAGGAGTACTGAACCTGAGGGTGAGGTGGCCGGCCTGGTAGTCGTCAGGCAACTGGTACTCGCACGCTATGTCCAGTGTCTCGTATCCCTCCACTGGCGTCGTCAACATCAGCTGCAGCTCCCCTTCCTCCTTCTTGGGGAACCTTCCCTTCAACACCAGCTACGAGACGGTGCTAGTGTTAATATCTTTATACATTACTATTACTCTTGTTGCACATGTCGTGCACAAAACACGCACCACAACTAACACCCACGTCAGAGCCAGAACTACTAACAAGGTCACTACATTAAAAACCCCACTAAGCGGCAGTGTATAATCCCTGCAGCCATCAAACACAATAACACCATCGAACACACTGAAGCCAAATGTATCACTGGTTCCCTCTTGCTAATTTAATACATGAGCTATACATGTTATAACACAAAATCCCTCACATGTTTCTCCCTCCACTCATGCCTCTCACACCTCACTCCTCTCTCCGTTGTACCTGCTAATAAGCCTTGCCTTGTGTATATGTTGGATTTGATAAACTTTCATAAGCGGAACGCTATCCACAAATAAAGTCTATTTTATAGTGGTATTTTCTACAATGATGCCAGCAAAGTCATGTAACATGAACATTAGGAATGAACTGCACGACCCTGATCCATTTTAGTTCATATACTTAGTAAGAGGATCACTAGAATTATTCCCATTTGATGTAACATAAACTGAGACATGACATGATTCAGTCTTATCTTCTAGACTCTGATTTTCCTCTTTACAATGTATGTTCCTTGAAGATGTTCCTTGGTGGGGATGTTACCTTGGTGGGGATGTTACCTTGGTGGGGATGTTACCTTGGTGGGGATGTTACCTTGGTGGAGATGTTACCTTGGTGGAAATGTTACCTTGGTGGAGATGTTCCTTGGTGGGAATGTTACCTTGGTGGGGATGTTACCTTGGTGGGGATGTTACCTTGGTGGGGATGTTACCTTGGTGGGAATGTTACCTTGGTGGAGATGTTACCTTGGTGGGAATGTTACCTTGGTGGAGATGTTCCTTGGTGGGGATGTTACCTTGGTGGGGATGTTACCTTGGTGGGGATGTTACCTTGGTGGGGATGTTACCTTGGTGGAGATGTTACCTTGGTGGAAATGTTACCTTGGTGGAGATGTTCCTTGGTGGGAATGTTACCTTGGTGGGAATGTTACCTTGATGGGAATGTTACCTTGGTGGGGATGTTACCTTGGTGGGGATGTTACCTTGGTGGAAATGTTACCTTGGTGGAGATGTTACCTTGGTGGAAATGTTACCTTGGTGGAGATGTTCCTTGGTGGGAATGTTACCTTGGTGGGGATGTTACCTTGGTGGGAATGTTACCTTGATGGGAATGTTACCTTGGTGGGGATGTTACCTTGGTGGGAATGTTACCTTGGTGGGAATGTTACCTTGGTGGGGATGTTACCTTGGTGGGGATGTTACCTTGGTGGGGATGTTACCTTGGTGGGGATGTTACCTTGGTGGGGATGTTACCTTGGTGGGGATGTTACCTTGGTGGGGGATGTTACCTTGGTGGGGATGTTACCTTGGTGGGGGATGTTACCTTGGTGGGGATGTTACCTTGGTGGGGATGTTACCTTGGTGGGGATGTTACCTTGGTAGGGGATGTTACCTTGGTGGGAATGTTACCTTGGTGGGAATGTTACCTTCGTGGGAATGTTACCTTGGTGGGGATGTTACCTTGGTGGGGATGGATGCATCAGAAGAGATGGTAAGGTCGAGCTTGGCCTCGGGCATCCAGGAGAGGCTACCTGAGGCCTGGAGACTGGTGTCACTGAGGTGCTCGTCCAGGGACCTGAGAGGCAGCACGGTGATGGCTTGACCTTCCACCCCATTCTCGCTTTGCTGCGATATAACACCAGCTCGATATAGCATTTGTAATGCCTATATAAGCATTAATGAACCCTCCAGGTACAGTGTAAATAGCCCATGGTAACAGCTGTCATGATGCACTTCGCGAATTAAGAGTCGTAGCAAAGATACCGATATGACTCTTCTAATTACCTTATCTCTCAGACACCTGTTATAAATCTTCCCTCACTATAACCTCGTGAACTTAGTTGGAACTCTTAGTCCCAGGTGTCATTTATAGTCTCAGTATACACGCCACTTTCCACTCCTTTACTTAGGTCTACATTATATATATATATGACCCTCGTCTTCAATAACAAATGTTCTCAATTCCCGCCATCCTAATTCCTTCAGATTTCCTTGTTTACCAGTCCTATGGTCACCCAAACTTCCAAACGTTGTCACTAAAGACACAGTTACCCTACTAATAATACATTAGTTATCTACTAATAATAAATTAATTATCTACTAATAATAAAATCTGGTATCTACTAATAATAAATTAGTTATCTACTACTAATATATTAGTTATCTATTAATAATAAATTAGTTATTTACTAATAAATTAATTATCTACTACTAATAAATTAGTTATCTACTACTAATAAATTAGTCATCTACTAATAATAAATTAGGTATCTACTAATAATACATTAGTTATCAACTAATAATAAATTAGTTATCTACTAATAATAAATTAGTTATCTACTACTAATAAATTAGTTATCTACTACTAATAAATTAGTTATCTACTACTAATAAATTAGTTATCCACTCATAATAAAACTAGGCTTCTATACTAACAATAAACGTCGTCAATTTAGACAAATTCAAACCAGTTTGATATGACGTTCATAAAACAAAAAGTCTATACCTGATCAAATTTGGGAGAACTTAGTTTGTATATCATTAAACAAAATGTGCAACACCGAATATTCTCCAATTCTATTCTTACCTGGAGTTCGAGGTTGAGTCTTAGGGTGTTGGTGGGTCCGTACTGCATGGTGAGATCGTAGCTAGTATCAGTGACGGTGGAGTTGTCGCACAGGTCCAGGAAGATTGTGTGGAGCTCCGGGAGGGGCGTGTACACCTCCAGCGCCACCCTCAGGCGAGGCAGCTGGCCGTGCTCGTAGCGAGCCCCCAGTCCGTACTGTAGACACAATGATTGATTGATTGATGAAGATTAAGCCACCCAAAAGATGGCACGGGCATGAATAGCCCGTAAGTGGTGGCCCTTTTGAGCCATTACCAGTATCAATAGATGATACTGGAGATCTGTGGAGGCGCAACTGCCCCCTGCGTGACGGGAGATGTCTCCCGGACCAAATGGTGACCAAATGGTCAGACACAATGCTCGTCAAGTTAGCTTTATAATGCGCTGCACTGCACCACCGGCAACGATTATATGTAAGGCAACATCGTGTCTTAAACCATACATCAGAACTTCAAACACAGTGATCTTATGCTACCATCACACACTGCACTAACAAATCGGTACTTGGAGCTGATAACGACTCTGATAATGTTATAACTTATTGCTTCTAAAAGTCCACTGCCAACAGCAATGATAAAACTAATATTGATACGTGTAACTGCAAAAATTGACAGTGCTATATCTCTGATGACTGGGAACTGTTGGTACATTATTAAATTAGGTTTCTTGTAGGTAAGAGGACAATAGTGTTTGCTTCACACAATATATAAGACAACACTATTGACCATCTTTCACACAAGTGGTGCCAATAAGGTTCCAGAGAACTGTGGTCAGATGAAGATAATTTTTTGACTCTTACCTTTTGTTCACCAAGCTGGCCAAAGATCCTAGAGTGGACCCGGACCTCAGGTTCCAGTCGGAAAAAGTTTCTCAGCTCTCCTGTTATGACCTGAAGAACAACGTACCAATCAGTAAGTGAACGGTGAAAAAAATACCTAACATTTGTAGGAGAATGGAGAGACAGAGAGAAAGAAAAGTGAAGGAGAAAGTAAAGTACTGCAAACTGAAAATTAGTCTAACGGTTAAACAATTAATGTTATCTTAAATAATATAACTATTATCAAGAATTATATTAAAAGTACAGTAGTCTTTTTCCTTCGACAACTTCAACAAATACTCAAAACTTTTCACACACACACACACAGGATTAACACCAGTACACCAGTTGATTAACAGTTGAGAGGAAGGACCAAAGAGCCGGAGTTCAACCCCTGCAAGCACAATTGAGTACAATTAGGTGAATATACACAGAGGAGACCACCGTGGTCGCCAGCAAGTAACCTAGACAAGAAAAGAAACACTTGGACTAGCTCACCTTGAAGCCTGGGAAAGGGGTGAGGATGGTACAGCTGACGAGGAAGTCTGAAAGTGACATCACCTGACCCAGCAGCACAAACCCTACATCAACTTTATCGTTCCACTGAACTTTGGCTTCGGTCTGCAAATAACACACAATGGAATGAAGCCCTCGTTTTCCCAAACCTATTGCTTCAGCGTCAAATATTTACTGGTACAAACGTTATAGATCCCATATAAAAGATTCTGAAAACATTAAAAACATACAAGGACATATGTACCTTGAAGACGGGGTCCTTAGAGTGGCCCAGGACGATGACGGCACGTTTGAGTTCATCCAGTGTGGTCTCTATGTGTAAGCCTGCCTTGAAGTTCTGGGGCAGCGTCGCCACCTGGCCCTCAACCATCACTTCATCTCCGAACCACTTCACCATAATCTGCACAAGCACATGAATGGTGTTGCTTTAACTGCGTCTCTCAAATATTTGTATTAGCGGGGACTGACCTTCATCCTCCACACCAACTTTCCGAAATACCTACGGAAATTGCAGATCTGAAGCACTCACATTACTGCACTGTATCACTGTGTTCGGAGCAAACATACTCTCATAGGTTCTAATCCCCCTCTAGCCCTTCTATTTCACTCTCTACTTCATCTAGCCTTTCTGCTTCCCTCTCCACTCCATCAAGTCCTCCTGCCTCCCTCCCTCTCTCTACTCCATCTAGAACTCCCACTTCCCTCTCCTCAGCACGTAACGGTATGTGTGACGACACATAACGCATGATAACACGTAACAACAGATAACACAACAACACTTAATAACACGTATCAATATACAACAACACGCACCACTTCATAACAACGTGTAACACCCCATAACACAAAACACGTAACGTCACAGGTCACGTACAGAGAGTTTGTCCTCCATGACGAGGGGATCCTGGTAGACGCGGATGGTAGCTGTGACGATGTCCTCCTGCTGCAGGGAACTCAACACCAGAGAGGCAAACAGGTACTCCTTTCCTTTGTACATGTCTCCTGTAAGGAAGAAGGTAGGTAATGAAGCTTATAGACTCACGAGAGTCGTGTGTGTGTGTGTGTGTGTGTGTGTGTGTGTGTGTGTGTGTGTGTGTGTGTGTGTGTGTGTGTGTGTGTGTGTGTGTGTGTGTGTGTGTGTGTGTTTAGCTTCAGTACTACTCATTTAAGCAAGCCTACTATTCGTTGCAATGCTTAAAAATACCATCTGTGTGCTGCCTATGACATGAGCGTCGCACTGGTGCTTCAGGGGACTGTTCTAGCAACGGGCTGGGAGCCTCGGTCCTAGCAAAGCGCTGAGTGACTCGGTACTAGCCAAGGGCTGGGTGACTCAGTCCTAGGAGAGTACTAGGTGGTTGAGGCCTAACTGTGCTGGGCAGCTTAATCCTAGCAGGGCTGTGTGGCATATTTCGCCATAACTTGAGTAATACATTATATTTTTGTAGTTATACATATGTATCTATAATGTACACGTATAGTCTATACAGTGTATGTATTTGTTCTCTCGCATATTCAAAGATCGCATCGCTTCACAATAGAAGTTTTTAAGCAATGATTAATATTTAAGATGTTATTAATATTTAAAACAAATTAAATATCCTAATTATAAACAAAGTAAAAAGTTTATAATGTTACTCAGCTTTTAGCGAGGCTTCATGAACAGCTGTGACATCTGTTCCTTCCTTTCTCTACTTACAAGCTCAGTGCATCTGTTAAACTTGATAAAGCTCTTTACAGGTGAAGCATTATCTATAAATAAAGTCTACTTTTCATCTTCAGGTTTTTCGAGCGCGTCTGCTCCTCGGCAGGCCATAACATCTCGTGGAAACAAGCCTAGGAACCTTTATTTTTTATCTTTTAAATCCAGAACCGTCAATATTTAGAGAAAGATAAGCAAAGCAAGCAGAACCTTACCGTTTAAGTGAAGCTTATAGTTGTTTCCTTCCCACTTGGAGGTGGCCTTGAGGTCGAGGGAGGCAGATCTGAGCATTAGGTCGACGGCCGAAGACATCTCGCGGTAGCCCTCAATAGTAGTGAGGATCTGGCCGAACACCGAGTAACGGAGCTCGTCGTGGAAGCTGTCGTCTTTACCCTCCAAGGAAATCTCCAAGCGGTCTCGGTCCCACTGTATGGAGACACATGTTACCTGCTCAGGCTTCTTTCACAGGATTACTCTATATAAGAAAATCTCACTCTGGAGCTTCACTATTAGACTTATTAAAATTGCACAAGATGACTATAAAGTTACTGAAACATGACATAGGTAAAATGTCAAAGTCTTCCAAGGTAGGTAGCCTGAGCTCACACACACGCTTACATTCAGGTGTGAAAAGTTTTTGGAAATTTCGCAACTGTAAAATAGGTTACCGGCCGAGTTATGCTGAACCCATGAATCAAATAAATGTTTATTTTACTGCCGTGTCCGGCAGACCACGGAAAGTGGCCATCAGAGCAAGAATGTAACTGTTCCTCATCTTTCAATTGCTGCTAATACATATATGTGCAGAATAGATCAAAACAATAACCTGGATGTAGAAGTTCGAGTCGATAATGTTCGGTTTCTTCTCCATCTTGACCCCTGTGCTGGCGCTGACGAGGCCCTCGAAGGAGGAGCTCACGTCCAGCTTGGATTCGATCATAAAATTAGCAGCGTCTATCTGCTTTTGAGCCAAGAGCTGCAAGTCAATGAACTCTCCGTCGTGCCAGCGCGCCCTCAAGGTGCTCTCAATCTGGTCTACGTTGCGGAAGTATCTGTTCAGTCACACTTAAAGTCAATACAATCCAAAATCCAGACAAATATTAATAGTTATTCAACAGCATATCTCACATCCTACGGTTCCAGTCTACTACAACAATTTTCTCCATTGGTAATTATATTTTATAATTAATAATTAAAACACGAAGAAGGCACCACATACTTCACTTCCAGGTAGTTCTTGGTCCAGTGCATGAAAGGAGTTGTGAGGTCAAACTTGCCGTAGAGTTCAGCCGTGTCGCCGCGTCTGAAGCGTAAGGTCATGTTAGCGGTGACGGACTGCACCACCCGACTCGTGTCCGTCCAGCTCAAGGCGCCCTCGTTCCTGTGCTCCCACACCAGGTCCTCCTCCACGTACTCCACTGAAATGATACCATTGACATTTAGATTGTTATATTTGGCCTAGGAACAATACAGTAATTATTTACATACATTGTCGCACATTTACTACCTACAGTGAGCAAAAGTGACTAAAAGTAGTTACAGTGTAAAAGTGGTATTATTAGTATTTTTGACAATTTTTCAAAAGATATTTACCTTGTTGTGAAAAAGTTATTTAGCTAAATAAGTAAATAAATAGTAAATATTAATTTAAAGTAAATATTCCAAGCACACTTGCAATTACAGTAATACTCAGTTCCATTTTTTCTGACATGATCACTGATAATTAAGAAGTAGGTAACTCCAGTGGGACACCTGGAATGTAATGAGAGTCCGGGATACTCAAATTTGATGAAATTATGTGATAACTGATTTTACCATCCAGCAGCCGTAGTGGGAGCCTGAGAAACAAATTTTGAAACTCTGTAGGGCCTAATTTATCATGTGACATCTCGCAGTTAATATGGAGACGAAATTCATCATATGATGTGAGAGTTGTCAAAGGGAGAGTTGTGCCTATTTTTACCACAGTTGTCATCACACTTCCCTCAACCTGCTAAAGGGCTCGATTAAAAAATACAGACGAAAAAGATACGTGTTAATATTTCAACAGAGAAGCAAACAACAAGAGTGTGGGAGACATTCGACAGCATGACTGAGAGTACGGACGAAGGCCCTTACGTTGTTTAAGAGTCATCCAGTTGGCCCGATACTGCTGCCCCAGAAAGAAGAGAAGTCCACTCATGGTGAAGGAGGACCTCCTGTCGCTGGGAGTTTCATACTTCACTTCCAAGTCCATCCGTTGGTTCGGATCCCTGTGAGAATGATGTAATCATAATATCAGTAGGAATTATGTGAATTTTCATATAAGAAATCTTTCCTTCGCTTCATAACTGGTGACACTGGGAAACTTCTCTCACCAACACTACTCGACAATGGTTCTCCTCACATTCTTGTACCACATTACATCATATTGATGTAGACAAAACAAGCAGATCAAATCTCTTAAAAGTGACCATAACAGGTGTTACATTAAAAAGTAACAGGTGATGATTGTAGACCGCTCAAGGGGAGGTTACCCCTCTACCTGCCAGGTCTCACAACTCACTATCAATATTCTCAATGTAGTACACTGCATTAAATTGCTCTAATAATATTTTGAACATATTATTAATAAATAATATACAGCATTATTACTGTATACTTATACATTTAAATACTAAATAATGTGCCAAGGTCAAACTGTATAGTTTTAAGAAAATATGAGAGAAGTGAAAGTTAAGATTTGCATACTTATGTCTTGTAGACATAATGGGGAAACAGAGATCTGTCTTCCCTTTATATATATATAATACTATTGTCCATTTACAATGAATGCATAAACACGACTACAAAGTTTTGCATTAGTACATTAAGAGTGAATTCGATGACTCAGCGTATAAGAAATGTGATAGGCGTTTCACTCTACTGAACAATTCACTGAATATGGACACTGAAGGGAACAAGAGGAAGAAAACAAAGCTAAGACACTCAAGACCAAGAAGTACAGGAGCACGATTCACAAAAGGAAACTATATAAAATGATGAAGACGGAGGAGGAAGAAGACGGGAGGGAGGAAGAGAAAGCAGAGTGAACGATGGATACAGACCTGTTGGCGTCCCACTTGAGGAGCACCTGGAATCCTCTCTGCCTGGGCCTCAGCACGTCCGCCGTCACACTCATGTGGATGTCTCGATGTCTGCAGGCAGGCCACAAGTAATGTAAGTTACTGTATTCTTACATATCATCTTCATCATAACACATGGTGGGACATACTTTAGCTACTATCTAGTACCGGGTGATGGTTATTGTAGGTCATGAAGCAGGAATAAGCTGAGGTAAGGTAAGACAATTATCAGGCAAGAACACTGGAGCAAAATGATCACGTAGCACTTGGAAGGGATTGGAGGACGGAGTGAAGGAACTGTGCCCAATTATTTGGATCATCGGGGATCAAACGCCAACCTGCAAGAAGTGAGGGCGTCGCTATAAGTCCAAGTGTGTGTCCTGGTTTGTTTCATGTGCTTCTGCTTCTCTGCTGTGACCACTTGTTGTCCAGCCTCAGAGAATGTTTCCCCATACAACTTATACACACACAACTCACCTGTCCAGGTGGAGCTCGGTGGTGATGGTAACAACTGAGCCGAAGGTGATAGCGGTGTTGAGGATGTAGAGCTGGTTAGGGAGGTGGAGCTCCAGATGGAGGTTGTGGCCTCGCGTCTGCAGGTGGTCCTCCCCGTGCTCATACTCCACCCGAACGCGGTAGTTGCGTCCAGAGTTCGTTAGCACCTGCAGGAACACCAACATTACATTTCCTCACAGTGCGATCACGTCGATAAAAAAGTATATATTTATTTATATTATTTATTTTATTTCCATTAGTCATAAATTTATATTGTTTTGCTTCAGTGAGAATGTAAGTTATTTGGTTATCATGGTTGGCTAAACTAAGTGGTAGTTAACATCTGACACTCACGTCTGTGATCCCTTCCCGCCTTCCTTTTTTTCCTGCCTTCTGCCTTACCTTTCCTTCATGTCTGGTAGAGAACATCACTACGAACATTGTATTACAAACGAATATGTAAACAAAGAAAATTTACGCCACCAGGGACCCAGAGCTAGAGTCTACAGATCATAGTTTTTCACGTTCATAAGTCCATCAACCAGACTAGCAATACCAATTTGTTAAATATCGAGGCAAAGGTGATTTTTGCCATGATTACTGTAATTCCGATGTGTGAACTCTTGTTCACGTTAAAAGGATTTTAGACCAAGAGTATTTATGGAGCACTCAGATCCTACCTCAAGAGTATTCAATATTTAGGACGCACCACAAATCCTACTATAAGAGTTACTGACATTTAGGATGATCACAGACAAACCTGCATACTCCACGTTCTGGGGTTCGTGTTTAGTGGTCAGCTTGGTGCACTATGGGTGTACTCACGCTAGTGTCGAGGCTCATCTGGCGCTCGTTGGCGTGGAAGGTGGCGTTGATCCTGGTGAGACCGTAGGGAGGGAGGGTGACGTCCAGCAACAAGTTGTGTACTCGTTCAAGACGGGAGGAGAAGTCCCCATACGCCCCACCCACCTCCACTCGCCAGCTGCCCCCAGACTTGGCCTCACCCTCAAACTGTTGGTTCACATACACACAAACGCATTACAACTCAATCGCCTCACCAAACAGATAATAAACACGAGTGAATTTGAAAAGCACTATGTGATATTAAGCCGTAAATATTGAACAATAAACTATCGGTCATCAGATTAATCCAGGCAAAACAACAACTACTACATTTACAAACTTGACAACTTTCCAAGTAAAGAAAACAAAAATCAATTGTATTTTATACCTGTCATAAATGTTACTAGCTACTTTAAATAATGACAACATGAAACAGGCTTATATTCTCTCACACTAACCGTGTATATTTTGCCTCTCTTCTCTTTGATATGACCCTTGACCTCCCAGTGGACGTTATCCGGTACCTTCAGGTACCAAAAGCCCTGAGTGTCCAGGAACCCTGAGAGCTCCTTCTTCATGTGCAGCCGAGACTCCACCTGGCGATCTGTCGTGTGGAAATGACATCAGAGATAACATTGATATATATACACAAAAAATATACAAACAAGAAAAGAAACCGGAAAAAGAGAAACAGAGATTAAAATAGGTATTAACAATCTTAAAAAAAATACACTTATATAATAAAGGCCAAGACAAAATACGCTGCTTTTTAAAATACTGTACAAGCCGAGTTCGTATCCAGATAAGGGAAGAAATCAACATGGGGAAAATATCTCACTTGTGGCGTACTGGACGAGGAAGCCCGTATTGAGAACGTGGTCGTCGTGGAACCAGTCGCCGCCCACCTTCAGGTCCAGGTTACTTCTCAGGTGCTGGAACACACAGAAAGACGTCGTTCCGTCACTATGTATGTCTCCACACAACACACCATGAATATGCATGAAAATGTCAGCTTATGAGAGCTAAAGGAGGCGGGTATGGGTGAAGCTGAAGCTAAAGAAAGCAGGTGTGGGTGCAGCCGAAGGAAGCAGGTGTGGGTGAAGCTGAAGCTAAAGAAAGCAGGTGTGGGTGCAGCCGAAGGAAGCAGGTGTGGGTAAAGCTGAAGGAAGGTGTAGATGAAGCTAAAGAAAGCAGGTGTGGGTGCAGCCGAAGGAAGCAGATGTGGAGTGAAGCTGAAGAAAGATGGAGTTGAGTGCAGGGATGGACTACCTTAACACTGAAGGTGGAGTTGAGGGTGGTCCTGTGGTCGGCCAGGTAGACAGTGAAAGCCTGGTAGACATCCACACGGTGTTGTGGGTCTTCAAAATTCTCGCCCAAGTTAATCTGTAGGTTGTTCTCCACTGACCCAAAATGGCGCTGGTAAGAAGAGAAAGTATCCAATATATTGTTTACGTTTATAATTCACTCAAAAGTACAACAAAGTGTGTCACTTTTATTTTTAATCTATATTATAATTTCCCGATGCAAATCTGCTGAAAGAAACAAAAATAAGCAGATATTTTTTGCAGAAAATACATTCAAACTCCTACAAAATACCTTAAAAACGCGTGTCATACACCCCTAGAGAAAGGGCAAACTCACCCGGTGGAACCACTGGCCCTTGAAGTTAAGGCTGGGGAACTGGGAGAAGAAAAACCGCCAGTTGCGCTCGAACTTAATGTCGGTGACCGTGGAGGAGTTGGTCTCCTTGTACTCGATCCTGAGGTTCTCCTCCGGCGCCCCCACCTGCAACCCCACCGCCAGGCTGGCTGTTTAGGGTGATGATCACTCCGACACCACACTTTGACAAACACTCTCACACTGACAACACAGACATACACTCTGACGATACGCTCGTACACACTGAAAGCACTCACTGTAACAACACTGATAGCACTTTCTCTCACACTGAAAGCACTCAAGTTATAAGGTGATCGCGTATCTCTCTCGAAACACACTGGTAGCCCCGCCCTTCAGCGTCTCTTGATAAACTCTTTTCAAAACTAATCAAAAGGCTCTGTCAACACAAGCTGCTTAGCTGCACACACTCTGATCAACAAACTCAACTCACCCAACACACTCATACTTTGGACAACAAACTAAACACTCCCTACACACCCCACACTCTGATCAACTCACTCAACTCACCCTAAACATTACTCACCACCTGATCCAACCAACTCCCTTTCCCCTCCCCCCTCACACATGACTCAATGGTCTGCTTACTCACCAGTAACTCACATCAGGACATTCTCAAATATTCTAGAAAACATTCAACACTTTCTCAAAACATGTAATGCTATAAAAACAAAGTTAAATTAGAAACCCACAAAATTCAATGAAGCAGACGTTCGAAATGAGGTTAAATAAGAAACAAATTATCAATACAATAGATGAAGGTGATAATAATAATAATAATGCTATAGCAAAGATCAGAATAAAATAGTATAATATTAACATAAAAATTGAAGACAGACTTTACAGGGATTGACGGTGATTAATATGTTCAATGCCAATGTTTAAGTGTCCTAGATGACAGGGCAAGTGCCAGAGTCTTAGATCAGAGGGCAAGTGCCAGTCTTAGATGAGAGGGCAAGTACCAGAGTCTTAGATGAGAGGGCAAGTGCCAGAGTCTTAGATGAGAGGGTAAGTGCCAGAGTCTTAGATGAGAGGGCAAGTGCCAGAGTCTTAGATGAGAGGGCAAGTGCCAGAGTCTTAGATGAGAGGGCAAGTGCCAGAGTCTTAGATGAGAGGAGAGAGCAATACCGCGGGGCTGTAGGCCAGGTCCAGCTTGGCCTCCCTCTCCAGGCCGTTGTCAGTGAGCTCTCCGTTGATGGTACCGGTGGCAGGGTGCCACTGGCCGGCCTCTCCTGGCACCTGGTAGTTCACCCGCATCTCTGCCACGTACACCCGCGCCCCCCGCTTCTGCCGCAGGTCTATCACGCCTGCGTACACATCCACAGGTAAGGTAGGTGAAGGTACAAAGTTAGTACGGCTATATTGCATTTGGAACGGATATAAGGACAAGGAGTTGAGATAGAACGGAGGAAAAGAATTGTGCCCAACCACTTGGATCATCGGGGATCGAACGCCGACCAGCAAGAAGCCGTCGTTGTACCGACTAGTTCAAGTGCTACCGACATTAATGACCCGCGTGTAGAAGGTACACCACTAAGACTCGATGAATAACACGCAATAATGTTCCCTTTATGGAGGGATAGTGAACGCCAGTTTATGGAATAACAAGGTAGGAATTATAGAGAATTACTTTATAAGATTTATCATATACACATAACTAGTCATCGAATTAGTTTTTTAAAGACTGTAATAAAAAATACTGCTAGATGATAGTCGTTGGTTGAGGGATGTATAAAGTATATAAACCTGTTGTATGATATCCACCTAATGTTTATACTGACTCAATGGTAGACTTAAGCATCTGACGAATATAGAGGCCCAGATGGCCAAATAGACAAGACCTGTATTATTTTTTTCTAAAACATGGAAAAAAGATTACATATCAAGGAATTATTATATTTCTTTGTGGATATATAATATCTATATTATTTAATACTAAATTAAATTAACATAATCTTACCAATGTTTGATACATTTGCAATATGTATCAAACACTTTTACACACACACACACATGTGTGTGTGTGTGTGTGTGTGTGTGTGTGTGTGTGTGTGTGTGTGTGTGTGTGTGTGTGTGTGTGTGTGTGTGTGTGTGTGTGTTTACTAGTTGTGTTGTGTTTTTTTGCGGGGGTTGAGCTTTTGCTCTTTCGGCCCGCCTCTCAACTGTCAATCAACTGATTTACTAACTACTTTTTTTTTCCCCCACCACACACACACACACACACCCCAGGAAGCAGCCCGTGACAGCTGACTAACTCCCAGGTACCTATTTACTGCTAGGTAACAGGGGCACTTAGGGTGAAAGAAACTTTGCCCATTTGTTTCTGCCTCGTGCGGGAATCGAACCCGCGCCACAGAATTACGAGTCCTGCGCGCTATCCACCAGGCTACGAGGCGTGTATGTGTGTATGTGTGTGTGTGTGTGTGTGTGTGTGTGTGTGTGTGTGTGTGTGTGTGTGTGTGTGTGTGTGTGTGTGTGTGTGTGTGTGTGTGTGTGTGAAGATGGCGGTAACTCTGGGGTGCACAGTCTTGTTGGACATTGAGCCTCCATGAACTCCGGTAATTAAGACTGTGTAATACTCCAGTTACATTACCTGTAACCTTGACAATCTCCTGCTGGAGCCAGGTGACGGTGAAGACGGGGTTGAAGACGTCTCTGCCAGCCTTGCTGTAGGAGGTGATCCCGGTGGTGAAGGTGGCCGTCTCATGGTTGTTCACCGTCAAACTCAGGTCCAGCCGCTTGTCAATGTTCGTCCACACGTACCGACCTAAACAGGAACACATATAAACATACACATATTACATATAAATATATGCGGCATCAATGACCTAGTTGTTAAGGTCATCAGTGCTGGAAGAGGTAGGTAATGACGGGTGAAGGGTAGGGAAAATAGTGAAGGGTAGGGAAAATAGTGAAGGGTAGGGAAAACAGTGAAGGGTAGGGAAGGCAGTGAAGAGTAGGGAAAGCCGTGAAGGGTGGGGAAGATGACGCAGAGTAAAGAAGCTGGTGAGGCGTTGAAAAGCTCATAAAGGTACAATTTTGATATATATTTCAGTCAATATCTGAGTCCTACCTCTGGCTGACACATTCGTCTTGGGCGAGTGGAGATCCAGGTAGATGTTCTGTGACCTGAAGTTGACGTTGTATTTAACACTGTGTTCTCTAGGAGTGGCAGTGCCAGGTGTATTCACCGACAGCAGGAATGTTCGATATTCCTGGAAAAAAACAAAATATATCACCGGAAAATTCTGTAAATATTTCACATGCGGCTATAAAACAGGGTGTAGAACACAGTAGTGATGCGTGGCAACCATGACCAGATACTAACCACCACACAGTTTGTGAAACATTTTTACAAATCATCTGCTAAAAACTCGGGTATCTGATAGTGAAATTTAAGAACATCATTTCCCTTATACTCAGAGTAGGTCATCTTGACGGACCAGAATGTCGTGGAAAGATCAGAGAATTTAACTAACAGCGAGAAATGTGTTGATTAAAAGTACTGTAGACAAACATCTTGTCTGAAATATATAATTTCCGCTATTTTACTTCCAGAGTAAGTTTGCAGCATGATAGATGTTGGAGCATTATATCAGTGTGACAACAAAGCACAATAGAAGAGATGACTGGGCTCACAGGGCGTGTCTCCCAGGTGTAACGCAGTTGGTAGGTGGACAACGTTGGATCAGTTTTGTGCAAGGCCAGCTGGAGCTGAGACGGCCCCGTCAGCGGATAGAATGGGCTCTCTGGAACCCTGGAGGCATTAGGGTACTGCACGTTCCAGCACAGTTTGGTTCCGAGTTGCTGTTGGTAGTCCGAGCAGCCAGTGAGCTCCATGCGGTCGCTGGTCACGCCCTCCACCACCTCCAGGGACCCAGCTTCAGGCGACCCATGAACCAGTACCAAGCTCGTCCTGCACACGTACACTACACGTTACCTACGTTATTTTATTAACATCCTCACGTATATCTCTATATAAAGAGTAACTTAGTGACACTAAAATTCTTATTTCGAAGGGTTAGTCATGCAGGGGGATGTAATCAGTATCCAGAACTGGTGAAACTTTGAATGGATTATGAAGACATCCTCAAAATCATAGGAGTGGATACAGTCATTGCAAAGCTCCAGGTATTTCATACCTCCACTTAATAACTATAGACATTGCTGATATTGCTAGACGAAATTTTATTTCCCTTGGAGAGCTATGATATGGCTTTTAAAAGCATGGAAATTTACATTTCATTTAAAAAAGATAGTCAAGAAACTGTTATTGTTAACTAAAAATCTTTATTAACATATTCTCAGAATGAGTGCGAGTATTGTAAAACATTACTCTACTGTAATTTTGAGACTAACTCAATTATAAATGTAAAAACATTTATGCCATAACATTTTTAAATTTAAATTACAATTCTACTCACGTCATGTTGACGATATCAATCTTGTCCCTGGGCACTTTAATATCGAGGCGGAGGTTCTCGGAGCCTTCCACGTCGAACCTGCCTTCCACCACAGTGGAGGAGTGGAGCGTAGCCGTCAGCTGAGCCCCTGACTGTGCCGCGTGCCCATCCACCAGCATGGACCCGATCACCTCAACACCCACGCTGCCACAACAATATATATCTAGTCACATTATGCCATAATGGCACATACGGGCTACTCATGCCCGTGCCACTTCTTGGGTAGCATAATCTTCATTAATCAATCTATCGGCATAATGGGACGTTAAATTTTATAGCTGAAATATTCAATATTGAACAGAAAAGTTGAAATATTTTGAATTAAATCTCCGGAGCCTTTCACACTCCCCTCAACATAGCAGCAACTCTTGGGAATTAGTAAATGTATTGAAAACACAAAAATAACACAAATTTGAGTCCTAGCCAAGGAGCATGATAATATAATGGAACTGGAAGTCAAGATCGTTGGGCCATGGAGCCCCACCTTGGCTTCAGTTTGCCACTGATGCCTCCTTGGCCAGTAGTGAAGAAGGAGAAGATGTCAACGTTGCCGCTGGCGTGGAGGTCGAGGGCGACGCTGGCGGTGAGGCTGAGGTTGAGAGGCAGCCCTGCAGTAGTGGGGATGATGAACGTTGACTCCGCCGCCAACCATGATTTGTGAATGTTGATAGCCTGCCGACGGACAAGCAAAGTTCTAGTTCGAGGATTCACTTTGCTGATGTTTTGGATTATAGGCCTTAATGGGCTTGATTAATATACAGTTTAATCAAAGATTTTTTTTATTTAATGTAACACGAGGGACTTTGAGAACAAAATCCAAATGAAGAACCGACAGCGTATCACTCTGTCCTGGACCATTATCAAGTCGTGTAATGATGGTCCAGAACGGACAGAGACATCGTCTGTTCCTTCATTTTCCGATGTCTTAGTTGGGTGTCCAGCCGTTCTCGCGAGCGCTCCCAACGGAAAGAAACTGTCGAACTAAAGTGCCTGCAGTAGTAGTGGAAGAGGCGGAGTGCTCTCACCTGTCCCTGGTTGAGGAGACGAATCCTCTCCGCTGGGTTGAGGGTGTTAATAGCCTCCATGATCTTGTCCATCCCGTGCAGGTGTCGATAGTATATCTCGCTCCCAAACGTCTTCATGTGAAGTGACAACTGAAAGACCACAAAAATTTCAGAGCCAATAACTGTTATCAGTCTGACAAGATACACATAGGCACACTCACAAACACACATTTAGGCACGCACACACGCTTCCTGTCTCACTCAAACTCTCAAAACACACAAACGCTCCCGGTCTCCCACGAACATTCCTAAACACATACACACAGCCAGACACCCAAACATTTCATTACCTCGGCGTCTTTCTCGAGGTATTGGGCTTGCTTGCCGGCCTGTTCGATGAGACTGAGAACCTTGGGGTTGCTAATGCTAGGGGAGTCGTCCTCGGAGGGTGTACTCCTGAAGATGCTGTCAGTGTAGCGGTCCCAGCCTTCCGCCCGCGCTCCAATCTAGCCGCCAAAGTAAATAATTTCTCTGTTACTTTCTATATTCAGTGTCCCTTCTTATTTGACTAATCTTTGGTCACTCAACACTTAGATGATTAAAGATTCTACGCAAATATGTGAAAAAGGGGCCATTTACTTAAATATACAGAAATAATTTATTCATTCCAGAAACCCCATTAAACTGTACTTATAACTGAGTATTGAATGCCTATATATCCACTGTTATTGTTTAGGTTGTGACTCTGCCATCCTGACCGGTACTGGTTACCTCCAGAAGGTTGAGGGAGTGGCCGAAGAGGTCGGTAGTGAAGTTGAAGGTTGCCGAGCGCGGGATGTAAGACTTCTGCGAGAACACCATGTTGATGTCCGCTCCGCCTCCTACAAACACACACACACAAATTCTAAATCATCAGTAAGTCATCTAATTTTATCGTTTTAGTGACATTAGTCATCCAATCATTGGATTGGGCTACTTGTAGCCCAATTGGGATACTAGTTTGGATAATTGTATTCAATTGAAAAGCCTGGTATGTATTTCGCTAATTACTACTCTTTAAGGTTACTGTTAAAACAAGCTGGGCTGTGTATTCTGAATAGCGAATCGAGAAAAAAATATTAAACTACTTTTATAGTAAAGTTTGTAACTTTTAGTTCTTCAGCTCGCGACTTTCAGCAACTCCAATCTGGCATCCATGAGATTCCAATGGTCATTGTACAACAAGTGTCTTCTTCCTAACAATGCATTACTGGGCTATGAGTAACAGCTGAAGCTTTGAAGCCCCTTACCAACATTGAGATCGTCATAGAAGCCCGACCACTCGATGTTCCTGGAAAACCTTCTGATGTCTGGGGTAAACTTGGAGGCAATATCCTGGTTGGAGAGAAGCCCCTGCACCTCAGCGCGTGACGGGAGGCCTGTCTCCTGCAGGTTCTGAAGGTGAGTCCACACGAACGACCCCACTGCAGGCAAGAAGCAACATAGTATGATCTACGAGGGACGGTTGAAACGTTTTGCACACAATGGGGAAAAAACAGCGCTGCAAATTTCTAAGTTTCTTATGATACAAATTTGAATTCATGGGTATTTATTTGTTAATATGACTAATGTGATATAACTTATTATGTATATAAACAATTTTTTTAAGATAGAACAACAGCAATTAGACAACACATATAACGGTTGGACAGACAGCATCAGTATTAGGTACAGTGTCGAGCATGAGACGAGCCCACAAGCAGTATAAACTGGCTGGAGTGACAAGAAAAGTGCTTCAGTGTATAAGGATGCAGTGACGGGCAAAAAGTCACGATGCTGGAACGCTCAGAATGATGAACCGTTACCTGCAGTATTCCATAAGTGTCAGTTATAAGACTCATTTAGAGGTACCACCACTGGTGCACTAAGACCCATTTTATATATAATATATATGAATGATCTCTCAGAATATTTTTCTTCTTACTAATACTGATGGTGTAAAATTACTGAGGGGGTTAAACATGGATCATGAAGACTACAAGAAGCAGCATGATAACCTGGACCAGATATGCAGTAAGAATTGTTCCTGAGGTGAGGAGCCTGAGCTACGAGGAAAGTGAACCTCTCCACACTGGAAGTGAGGAGGAACACGAAGGGCATACTACTGACATAAGATTCTAATGGGAATTTACAAAACAGACAAAGAATGAATGCTCAAACCTAAGAACGGCAGAACAACAATGGCATATGCAGAAAGTGAGTCACAATAACGTGGCTGGTATGGGAAGTTTGGGCAACTCCGGCATATATGGGAACCCAGAGGCACAGATGAATGACAAGAGATACAAAAAATAAACTTCTTCACCGTTAGAACTGTAAATTAGTGGAAAACGGTTAGATAATGAAATGACTGAATTACAATATGTTCAAAGGTGGGACAAGGATCTCGTGCTCGACCCTGTAACCACAACTAGTAGTGAACGCACACACGCACGCACACACCAAGCATCAAAGCATATAATATACAACCATAATCATTGACCTCACCTTGGTTGACCTCCTCGTAGAGCAGCATATGTTTGACGAGCTTGACGATCTGGAAGTCTGCGCAGCGCATCAGTTCAAGGTAGGCGGCGATGCGCAGCTCTGAGTCCTGGGTAGAGTCCATGAAGAGTGTCTGCAGCGGCTGTCTTGATATGTGGCACGGGAACCGTCTGTAGGAGGAGGTGGGTACAGGAGGTGCTCACGAGAGGCTGGTATGGAAAATGTGTGTATAGGAGGTGAGGTTGGACGGAAGGTAAAGGTGGGGAGTTACCTATGGATTTCTGGCAAATGAACCCAAACTTTTAACACCGCCCCCAGTATTAGTGCTTCATGGAGACACTATGTACTTCACAGATCAAGTCAGTATCCCCACCAGCTGGGGGAAAATCCAGCAAAGTGGGTTTAATATCAACTAAAATGGCTGAGAAGAAGCAGAGTACGATATGAAGTGACACAAAAATGGAGTGTCTGGTGTAGCTCACCTGAAGGCGGTAATAGCGCCCAACCGGATCTCGTTTTCAATAATGGGATCAAAGAAACACTTGGCCAGACTATCAGGGATGGTCTCTGTAACCGCAAGGCCAGCGTTGCCAATCCCCTTCAGTGCCATCAGAACCTATGAGGAGAGACAATAGTTTGTTATGTCTGATGAGATGTTAGCTTATGTCAGTATTAGTTACAACTGTGGTGGGCTATGTTAGTAAACAATCTCGTTCCACGTGATGCTAATGGGTAGCAAATACGAGCATAACATGATAAAAGTATAAAGAAACGGCAGAAAGGCCACTGAGCCATGCTAGGCAGCTCCTGTATGTACCCAACTGAGCTCAGAAACCTCAATATCAATAACAATATCACACATATATGTCAAACCATCGCATGAATCAGTCCAGCGACCCCAAGTCTATTATGTTACAAAACAGTCTTGTATAAGTCATCTATATAGTTTACTGGGAACTCCCTCTCCCTCTTACTACCGCCAATTGAACCTATATTGTATAGCATTTCTTCAACATTTTACAAATGTATGGGAAAGGCATTATGTTCAGATAAGCACTAATGTCTGCTCGAAGTACTGTTCAGGTTCGAACTTCAGTTCGGATTTAGTGTTCATCTACCAGTAATACCTATCTCCAGCTGTCTTACAAAACGCTTCTCTCTAGACCCCTAAGAGGACCAGAAATCTCTTCAGGCGGAGGATCGAATACCTACTGACCTGGATCTTGGCTTCACTAGTATCCTCTCTGCAGCCTGTGTGAAGAAATCCCTGGAGGGCGTCCATGACGCCGCGGACGGGCGGGTCTGTGCTGCAGGAGAGGTGGTCGCGGCAGTACGAGTGCACCAAGGAACCAACTCCCAGGAAGGCATCTGCAGCCACCGACTCAGACTCCAGCAGTGGCGCCGCCTCCACTATTGTGTCCAGGTCTGGCCTGAAACACAGGGTGTTCACGTGAAACCTTTACAGCATCGAATGAGCATTATTTATACAAAATAAACAATATTTAATATAAAATAAACAAATATTTGGTGTACATAGGAGCACATATTCGCCTGTTTTTAAGTGAAATATGAGTTGATTAATATTAAATATTATTCATAAATAATGCTGTGATTCGGTTTGGTAAAGGTTTCATGTGGACATTCTGATATTATACCTGTTTGATGTTATATCCACCTAATATTATCGTTTACCTGACGGTCACTATCTCTTTAGTGGCCTCGACGAAGACAGGAAGCCAGCGGCTTGTCAAAGGACCCCCCCCCTAACGCTCTGGATCCCCAGCTGTAGGGAAGAGATGCACAAACATACCTGGGTATGAAGGAGAGGGAGGTGAGCCAGGTGTTGGTGATGATATCGTTGACCTGATGCTTCACCATCAGGTCCCGCATCACGCCCACACTGGCCCCGGTACCCACCATGGGCAGGGCGTCCTCGAACACCGGCCTGCAAGTCGTACAACGCCCTCGTGTATTAACATACAAGTAAAGGAAACTGCAGAAGGACTGCTGGTCCATATGAGGCAGCTCCTATTTATATCTACCAAAACATATTCATATATAACAATATGAAAGCATATTAGTTTACGGATTAGTCCAAAAACATACTCGCCTCATCCAAAAAAAGTTACTAAAATTAAATATTTTACAACTGGCCAAAATGTTATGAGAGATGGATTAGAGAGCGTATGATAGTTACCGTTCAGGTCCCCACTGTCGTTCCTGGGTGATGCCCCACAGCTGCTCGAAGTTCAGATGACGCAACACCTGCACTAAGTCGATGAAGAGCCGGGGGGCGTTGGTGGCCACACCCTCCCTCTGTCAGGAGAGCCACTACTCAGTACAACTACTTACTCAAACAGGTGTTTTAACATCATGCAAAAAGTGGTAATCTTTTAAAATGAAATATGTGAAGATGACTTTAAAAATATATTCTGAAACGATGGATAACTATTTTTTTTAATCTTTTATTAGGATGGTTCACAACTAATAGGCATTCAACATTGCTGACTCATTAACGGGCACGGTCATTATATTTCACTGCAGTGAGCAGCCACTGCAGTGAAATATAACAGCAGTCACTCTGATTTATAATGATCCACTATTAGGATAAGATATGCCAAAGCTTAATAGACAAAGGGCCTCGACCCAGACAGTAACTTGCAAGCAACCTGACTCGTTGACTTACAACTTTATGATAAACATATTTGAAGAGTTTAATATGCACCTTCATATTGTCAGCAATGTGGTCTAGAAGCGTAGTTGTTTGGGCTCTCCACTGGTGGGCATCGTCCACCTGGCCAGAGGTCATGCCCTCCAGGTGGATGTGGTTGTGGTGGTCGTAACGCAGGTCAGTACGCCCATGGACAGCCCCTGCAGTACAAAACATTCACGCATCAAGTATTTATTATGGTTCATCGATACACACAAGCAACGAGGACGAGAATTCGCCAACTTTCATGTTAAACTCGTAAGATATGTTGGCGTGGAGGAAAGTTATATCGCAATATGCTCGTATAATTTGCATCCACGTCTCAAGTAGCCTCAAACCTCTTCCTGCCGATCGAGGGTACTTACTGAATTTACTTTGACCAATCACACTAAAGGTAACATTTATCTTTGACTAATCACAATCTAGCATATGGGGAGAAGTGACCAATCACGTAAGAGTTACATCAGCTTATGTTTATAAACAAGATTGGATCACATGGTAACATACGTCTAAAGGTGTACCCCCGTTTTCTTGGAGCATATACACAAATTTTACTTTAACTTTGAAGTGTGTTCAGGGCAAAAGTAAACTTTCTGGTTAGTCATTAGCTTTCGTGGATGCTTTTATAACTCTCCCGAGGTTGATAGTACCAACCAACTGAAGTTACCTTTACGATCATAGGATATGAGCTTTATAGAGATTAAAAATACAGTATGTTAGAGATAGATAGTTAAGCAAATTACTAAAAATACGTCTATTATTTCGTTTATATAATGAAACCAATTTAGTATGGAAATTTATATTCTAAAAATTACATGCAAAAAAATGACATTGTCGTGAATAATTATTATAGTTATGGACAGCAGACGGTAATGTGCTTCAAATAAAATACCTAAAGGTTTGAGTCACATTAAACAAAGTAATGATGCAGTAATTGAAATAAACACTCACAAAACTTCTGTAACATTGTGTCTGTCAAACACTATAAAATATGAACACCATTTTGCATAAGGAGAAAAGTTATTGAATTTTTGAAACATGAATTTAGTTAAATACAATTTATGATATATATAATTTAATAAATATACTTTATTGGTCAGATAAGGATTCTGTCTTTGTTATTTTATCCTTGGGCAATTATGTATAATTCACCAGAACAAGCTGGTTGGGTAATAGTTTTCTTACAAGTAATCTTCATATATCAAGAAGTTAAGTTTTAAAAAGTATATTTTTTATATAATTTATATCTGAAAATAGACTTTAGAATACATTACCCCAATATAAGGCTAAAACGTAAAGTTCCAAAACTATTAATGTTAATACTTGTATATGTTTTATTATACGATTCTCTCATAAAGATCATATTACGAAAATATCAATATATAAATATATATCAACATGCCACTAGTCCCATGGCACAAATCATATAAATGGATGAAATATTTTTGCCACAAACTATGTTTTGCCATTTATTGGTGCCATGGGGGTGGAATACCAGCGGCTGCTACTATCGCCCGGGAAGGTCTCAGGGAGAGAGGGTATTGGGTAGCAGCCGATCTCGACTTGCAAAGTCCCAGTACCTTTACTCATGCCCATTCAGGTCAGGGGTAGCCACTTTGGGGAAGCTCACAATATCAATAACGGCAGTGACTGAGAACTGCGAGGCACATTAGAAGTATGTAACTCACCCATCTTAGCCTGTGAGAATGTCTGGCGAATGAATGTGAGGTTCTGGGTGATGGAGGTAATAATGCCGCCTTGCTCCGTGCTGAAGGGTGTGAAGCGGTGCTCCTCAAGACAGCTGGCAGACTTTACCAGCCCCTTTCCTATCTCCTGGATGCAGCTACTGCTGCTGTTCAACAGCGGTATGTTCTGAAGGCCCTGGAGGCGTCCACAGTAGTGTTAGCGATCTCACTAATTTAATTCAAACTGTAGGTTATGCATTAAATAAATAAGAATAACACTGAGAAGACGAGTTATAAGCATCGCCATCCTTCCTTAACCTTAAAGACCATATTACCTTTATTAGGGAATGGTGAAAGCCAGAGACAGATCAACACTACCATAACAGAGCGGCGGCTCATTCTCCAGACGGTACAAACAATAAACAACTGAACTAACACCTGCAATAAAGTCAATATAGCGAGTGTTCATAAGAAATCTACAACAGACAATTCCTTCGTCAGAGGCAGAATTAACCACAATGTACTCTACACTAATAATTATGACGAAAGATATATAGGGGAAACATTCCAAAACTTAGATGCGAGGCTTTACGCGCGCCATCAGCCCGTAATCATATATAAATCAATCAATTGTGATAATTAAAATATTCAATTATATTTATGCTGCAGGACTGTAAAAAACAGTTTTTAAAGTTTATACACAAGAAGTTGATGCTAAACCTATATTGTAATTTGTTAGCTTTTTTTTTTTAATTCCAAGAGCTTTCACAAATTAAAATGTTTGTGGTGTTTAGAACAAGAGAATCACAAACAAGTGAAGGACCAGGTGTTGTTGACTGACTTGGCGTTACTCGCAATCTTTACACTGACACTATACAATGTCATTCAAAATCTACAGTGTAAAAGTAAACGTTTAGTGAGTTAACTGTAAACTAACCTTGTTAGTATCTCACATGAAAAACACCAGACCTGCAATTCCTGCATCTCCAGAATTATATTATTGAAACTAGTGGTAAAAATGTCTTTGATAAAATGCTTTTGTTGGCTACACTGAGGAGCTGCAAAGTTAGTCGAATATTTCCAAATGTTCAGTGTGTTCGAACTAGCAAAACAATCACTGTAAAACTAGCCTATTCTCCAGCCATCATCAAAACAAAAGGCCGTCGGGTTAACAAAGTCTAAGCCAAATACGAACTTATTAATCAACGCAAGTCAGTACAGTATTTAAGTTACAGCTTGGGCTAGAGGGTGGATTGACATCCTCATAAATTTGAACCAAATGCTCGTTATTCAGACGAAGATATAAAGAAAACGATAACATAAGAGACGGATAATTATGATTATTAGTATACGTTAATGATTGATTGATAAAGATTAAGCCACCCCAAGAGGTGGCAAGGGGCATGAATAGCCCGTAATATACTTTAATATTCAATCATCAGTTTTACGGGCTATTCATGCCCGTACCACCTCTTGGGTAGTTTAATCTTCATAAATCAATCACTCACCAGTTGATAGTACAAAGACCCACACGATGAGAGAAAATGAGCCGAAAGGCGATACAAGGAATTCGATACTCACTCCAGCGAAGGCGTAGGGGACTCCTTGCACAAATGAGGTGGTGGACGAGCGGGCGGTGCAGGAGGGAATATGGCGTTTCTTGTGGATGAGGAGGCTGGTCCCCGCGGCGCCCTGCACCACGTAGTCCACCTGGCACTCCCCCACCACGTCCCTCTGAAAGTCAATCCACATTTCAGACTGCTACTCACTTTCTCTCAATGCTGTTTTGGCTCTGAACTCCATCAAACTGGACTGGAACTGAAACAATGCCTGTGAGGTTACAATGCAGACCCCAAATGTTCAAACCTAAGTAACCCACCTAACCTATTACACCTGGTGTTCAACAGAGTTAATATTTTGGTGCTTTAAATTGTACTATTACCCCGGAATTTTGACGGTTTGGTCGATTGTGTTAAAAATGCGGTGCAGTAGGAGAGAGGACGGTTGCTGAATCCGAAGGAAGAATAGAAATGTACATGCTTACACCCCCTGCTTGGTAACGTCACGGACGGCAGCTCTAACACACCATGGTGAACAGTTCTGGAGGAACGCTCACTGCAGTAAGAGGGAGACACATGAGAGTGACGAAGAGACATGAGGGTGAGGGAGAGACATGAGGGAGAGACATGAGGATTAAGGATAGACATGAGGGTGAGGGAGAGACATGAGGGTGAAGGAATTAAATATGAAAGATTCATTTACCTCCACAGCACGGTAGTCGAGGTCAAGACGCTCCATGGTGTTCTGAAGAAGGGAGACAACTGCACGCTTGAAGTTGAGGGCGCGGGGGTCTTCATCAGGCGCGGGACACACCTCCTCCACCTCCCCGTCGTGGTACGCAAACCTGGAGAGCAAGGTCAGAAACTCATGTGGTAATTGGCTTAGCTAGAACAGGTGAATGCAAAGTGGATGAAGAGGACCATCAAAATCAAAAAGAAAACAGCTAAGAAAACAAACTAAGGAGAGTGGGAGAGTATGATGTAGAGAACAGATATAGAAGAGAAAGACCAGATTTTCAGCCCTGGAGACCAAAATAGAATGCATAACCTCCATCGCAGATGCCTTTACTCTCTCGACTTGCAAAGTCCCAGTACCTTTTCCCAAATCCCCGGACACACTTCTCCCTCTGACCTGTCTCCCCTTCTTGGTTACTTCTGCCTCCTACACCAGACACACATAAACAGACAAGTCCCTCCCTCATTCCCATGTTGAGATCTCGCCAAATTCGTGCTCTTCTTCGATCCCTGAAGCCTAAACCCCACCAGAAATAGCCTCGTCCCACTACCCTCCCCTTCCCCCTTTAATAAAAAAAAAATACCTGTCTAACAGGAGAGTTAAAGAGCCAAAATAAGAAGTTCTTGACATATGAAACACTTGAGCAAGAAGAATCCTACATGTTGATGTGTTCAGATGCAAAACTTGAAACACAATATATAAGTGGATTGCAAAATAGACGAGGGATCTCTCGATTTCTTCAACCAACATTCATAAATATGAATGTATTTGGTTGAGTATGAATGAGAGGAGCTTTGCATAGATCTATACACCACTGTGGTTTCCTTTATTCTTATGTTCTTATGACTTTAAGAAACTACACAGATGGTCCAATAAACGGTTGCTGGACCTCAACCCAGACAAATGTACAGTGATGAGAATATGGAGAGATGGAAGAGACATCAAGAACAGTACACCACGACTGTATGACAGCTCCCCGAGTAAGGTGAGAAAGCTCTAGAGTACACAGCAGAATAATATCAGCAATATGCAAAGCTAGTGAACAACTGAGTAATATTTAGAAACAAAAACAAGAAAGCCTTTAAAGCCATACAATACCGAAATGGTATATACAGTTACTGCATGTGTGTATGTATATGAATGGGTATAAAGTATATATGGAAGCTGATCAGAATTACATTTCACCTTTGTAAATGTACATTAATGACACTATGTAAAAGACACATCGAACACTTTATGTAGGGGATACGTAAATCTGTGTATCTATGTATTTACGTATGTAGGTTAGCTTAGCATTTTAAAAGCACCGAATCACCTTCTGTGATTGAGTGTTCAATAAACGCCTGAACTATATGTTTAACACATCTCTAACCCTGTCCATGGAGGACAGAAGAAAATGTATATATTCTGGTTAGCATTGTAAATGTGTGGCCACGTTTGTGGTAGAAAATAATAATAAAAAAAAAACTGCATAGAGACTCATCTAAACAAAAAACACATAGGCCAAGATGTTTGCCACAAGACTGGCCCTGAAACTGAAGGGGTTTGGAATAAATGGGAAAGACTGATAGAACTTTAACTTAAAACATGGAGAAAATATGTGATAGAGAGACGTGATCACAACATCCCTGGAAACACAAACCGTACCTGTCTCTATTTTCAGCTTGTTACAACTTGTAATAGAGTTGTTACATCTTGGCTTAACGTATTTAGGATGTATTAGAACGTTGTTATAACTTGCTATATTGGTTGTTATAACTGGTTAGGAGGTGTTAAAACTTGTTCGAACGTTGTACCAACGTCGTAGTTTCAGTGTGTGTTTGGCGGGATATTATTCGTATTGGAATCATTATTAATCCTCAACCTTTGCTTACCGCAGTGGGTTCTTGGTGACGGCTTCGGTGAAGGCGGTGTCCTCAACCATCTCCTGCTGGCCTCCGCTGTCACTCTTACTCGTCTTCACGCTCAGCTTCTCTACCTGCACACAAATACTTTAGCCACATGAAGTTTCAATAACGTGGCTGAAAAATGTTAGACCGAAACGTCGTCGTCTCTTCAATTTCTAGTGTGGTTTGGTTAAATACTTTAGTCACTCCTCTATTGAAATACACAAAAACATTAGGCACTCTTCTGGTGAAGCATTCATAATTGAAACTACATTAGTCACCCCTTTATTGAAACACAACTACATTAGTCACCCCTTTATTGAAACAAATACATTAGTCACCCTTTTATTGAAACAAATACATTAGTCACCCCTCTATTGAAACAAATACATTAGTCACCCCTCTATTGAAACAAATACATTAGTCACCCCTCTATTGAAACAAATACATTAGTCACCCCTATATTGAAACAAATACATTAGTCACCCCTCTATTGAAACACAAATACATTAATCTCTGCTCTATTGAAACACAAATACATTAGTCACCCCTCTAATGAAATACAAATACATTAGTCACCCCTCTACTGAAACAAATACATTAGTCACCCCTCTACTGAAACAAATACATTAGTCACCCCTCTAATGAAACAAATACATTAGCCACCCCTCTATTGAAACAAATACATTAGCCACCCCTCTATTGAAACAAATACATTAGTCACCCCTCTAATGAAACAAATACATTAGCCACCCCTCTATTGGAACAAATACATTAGCCACCCCTCTATTGAAACAAATGCATTAGTCACCCCCTCTATTGAAACAAATACATTAGTCAGCCCTCTATTGAAACAAATACATTAGTCAGCCCTCTATTGAAACAGCTTCAAGGGTTAGAGAAAGAAAGAAAGAAAAAGAAAGAAAGAACGATCGAGCTCGATTTGTTTTCAAAGAGATAGGAATATATATATTGGTTTTCGCCCTACACACTTTTATTATGTTTACAACAGTTTAGTTTGTATTTCTGTGTTACTCCATTATTCAAATTCAAATGTTTATTCAGGTAAAGCACATACATAAAAGGTGTGATACAAATATTGATGAAATTATAGATAGAGCTAGTACATAGAATGCCTAAAGCCACTATTACACAAATTATGAAACCTTATGAAACTGTTTAGGAGGAAACTAAATGAACAGATTGAGAGAGAGAGAGATAGAGAGAGAGAGAGAGAGAGAGAGAGAGAGAGAGAGAGAGAGAGAGAGAGAGAGAGAGAGAGAGAGAGAGAGAGAGAGAGAGAGAGAGAGAGAGAGAGAGAGAGAGAGAGAGAGAGAGAGTTTTTTTTTGCAAATTATAGAGAATGGGAAACATGCAGACGAGGAGTCACAATAACGTGGCTGAAATATGTTGACCAGACCACACACTAGAAAGTAAAGAGACGACGACGTTTCGGTCCGTCCTGGACCATTCTAAGTCTATTTTTTGGGGGGAAAACATGATTAAAAGAGTAAATAATGGAGACAAATATGGATACCGTATTTAGAAAAGAGAATTAAGGCTGGAAAGAGGCTAAAGATAAGGAGAAGGATTACGAAGGGTCAGGTATGGGGAGGGAGATATAAATGCGACAGGTGAGGGGAGTGGGAAATGAGGGAAGGGATAGGGAAACGAGGGACCAGATGAGTGGAGGGACAAGATAAATGATGAGACAGATTAGGGGGAGGATTGCGGAACGAGGGAACGGGTGAGAGGAAGAGGGAACGAGTTGGACAGATAAGTAGAGGGGGTGAACGAGTGAGACAGGAACGGGAGGAGGTTGAAGGAGAGGGACTCACCACTAACTGCATCTCGCAGGCGGTGAGGGAGGTGAGGGCGAGGGTGGCGGTGATGGTGAGGGTGGTGACGGAGGGGGAGGAGCCGGCCACACGCGTCATGCTCTCCGTCACATAGTCGTACCGGTACACCCGTCCGTCCACCAGTCGCAACTTCCTCCCAGCTGCACAACCAACACAAATAACTCAACCTCTGTTTATTACAGTAAACTGCACCTGGCTTAATTTGACGTTTATGTTCTACTAATGCTCCAGGATGACCTTAAAAATCAGCTGTAATTAATTATGGCTCACAACTTAAGTCCCGGGTTCGATTCCCGTGTTAGGACCTTTTGGGCACACATCCTTTCATTTGATGGTTGTTCAATAAATCTCTGAACTGTGAGTTTGACAAATCTTTCACCCTGTCCATGGAGGACAGAAGAAAATGTATATATGCTAGTTAGCATTGTAAATGTGTGGCCACGTCTGTGGTAGAAAATAATAATAATAAAAAAAAACCTGATGTCAATATCAGTTGAATCCTGGCAATGGCCAGTATTTGGCTTGGGAGAACATAATTGTTTTGTGGCGTAATAACTCGAGAAATATGTATAAATGTAGAAAATAGGAAACAATTTATAGAATACCAAATGAAGGGATATATATTAGGTACAAGTGGTGGTTGAGGCAAGGCAAAATATATCCATATCAGGCTCGCTGGAAGGTACTACCTGCCTTGTGTAGCAAGGTATGTAGGTACACAAGTAGGTAGGTAGGTACAGGTGATGACTGAAACTAACTTGGGTACACGCATATCAGGTGCGTCTGGGGCTATAGAGTCAAGAGCCACTTACTGCCTTATCGCTGGCCCATAAAATTTATGTACCTGTGTCGAATATACATTTCCTTCACATCCTTGTTCATTTTCATTTCCTTTTGACCCATTTTCTCCACATATTCATAATTATCCCTCTCGTCCTACTTTTTCTTCTCTTCGTCAGTCCTCTCTGCTTCTTATTAGGTCACGAGATAATGTTTGCCTCAGAGCACTAGTTGTTATCAGTAGTGTTCGCTGTGTAACGTCATCGTCCAATACCAAGTGACATCACAGTATGCTGTCACCGCATTATAGTCTACCATGTGGCAACACTTCATTGTTCCACACAATATAATCATATTGTGACACGTGACACTTCTTCATTATACATCACAAAAAAATGCAATTTTTGGCTTAACAAGATGCGTTCCAGCCTAAACAAACCCCCCCCCATCTAGCCTATCCAGGCCGATGATTAAAAAAAATTATGATACTTTAATTTTTGACTAGACTCCCGCAATTTTAAGATTTGGCTGCAGTAACGTTGACCCAAAATTAGCTTAATGTTAGCGACGGTGATCTGATGTTAAACCACCGCCATTTGTGTTGGGTTGACTGCTGATGCATTTCATGCATCCATGTTAAGTCTGACAAACGGTGTCATAACAAGCAATATTATAGCATGATATATAAAACAACTGAATTATCACATTGTTATCAAAGTGTGTATACATGCTCTAAAAATCTCATTATTAATTATTTTTATGTATAACAGCCAGAAGTATGTCAAATCTTGGGAATTATAAATAAAAGCAAAATCCAATATTCTTTAACTTGTATTGTGTAAAACGTAATATACTCAAGCAACGTTTAGCCCGAGAGGGAGCCAAGCCCGCCATACGTCGTAAGCTGTCACATATGGGTTAATTTCGGGGTTTAAAAATCCCTTGATACTCACGTTGGCATTTGGTGGTGGCGCATCTCTCCTGAGGCTCCGCCTCCACCACTGGAGGCTGCTCCACCGACACGCCTTCACTACCGTCTGGACCCGGTACCTCAGCGGCTGAAAACACAAGGATAATAGATATAATTGTAACTTATAGTTATGTTAACATTAGACACAAAATCTTAAAACGGATAGCGTCTATCAGGTAAAAGTAAATTCGCCTAACCCTTAGGCTTTCAGATTTATTTGGCAAATTTACTTCTGCTGGTGTCCTTAAAAATAAAAGTATAAATTTTACAAAATATTTTGTTTTTTATTTATAGAAAACATATGGAGATTACTGCACAAAAAAAGAAAACTCAATTTAGTTGCCTTACTTTTAGTCTGACGAAATGATAAAACATGATTGGTGGCAGCAGTAATATTTACTATTTGTATCCCACCCTCCTACTTTGCTACTGTGTCCACTATTTTAAAAATTTCATTCATGGAGACCCTACTGGTATTACAATACTTAAAAACTCGCTAATATCATCGATTCATCAATGAATATTGTGTTCGTTAAAGACTCTGGGGGAAGGTAGTGGACCCATGGCGAGTTTGGCTAATTTTTCATAACATGGGAGCTCTGCCCATAAAGATCTTTGTGGTAGGAGGCAGCAACCATTCTTAAGCTGCCTTCATCTCCAGAAATCCAAATATTAAAACGCTAATGAATGCTAGACACACACATAAACCTAATTTTTTAATAAAGCTTATAGTTGTAAACCAAAGCCTAAGGATTACAATTCGTATTAATAAACTTAATAAAGATACAAAGGAACTACATAATGTCTGGCAATGCTGACACTGTTCAGGTGACAAGATAACAGAAATAATTTTATATAATTACTCCATAAGAACACAATGAAAACCTGAGATTATTAGATGTTTAGATGCCTCTCAAAGATAAAGGTATACTGTACCTTGAAGATTTTTGTTTATTAACACATTTAGGTACATCTGCATTTGTACAGTTACCCTAGACTATATGAAGGGGAAGTACAGTGTCAAAAAGCTAGCTACGTGATGCTAAAATCCCCATCACACAGGACGGTTAGTCATACAGAGGCATGTGAACAGTAGTCTGCACTGGCAGACTCTGGGTGCAATATGAGGATATCATCATCAACACAAGAGTGAATAAGGTAGCAGTGGTACTAAGAAGAAAATATAGTGCCTAAGCCACTTTCTACTGCCACAAAATGTAGACGAACGACAATATTTGGTATCATGAAACACTCAAGATATGTTTAGAAAACCAAGTGCCACTCACATTGTTCATCAGGGTCCTCATGATCCTGCGTATCTTCTGCGTCCTGCGTCCCTCCAGCGTCCTGCGTCCCGACGTCCCCACCATCGCTGCCAGCATCGTCCTCAGCACCTGTCGACTGTGGCAACACATGAGAGCCTCATAGTTTACTATAAAAACATGATGATGCATGTTGGTTGAGAAATATACAAACAGACTTCTGAGATATATTCCTAGAAGTGTTAGTATCAAAACATATTTAATGTATCCTTCAACAACATGCAACACTTGTTAGGCACCATTTACAGTAGATTATGAAGTTCAGTTATGTGGGCAAAAAGTGATGAAAAAGTTCATTCCAGACATTATTAACTTTCCTTTTGACGAGAGAGATTAAGAAATCTTGACTTACTTCTCTAAGAAGGCGAAGAACATGGGATAACATGACTAATATACAAATGTATGAAAGGGTATAGAAAGAGGGTTATTACTCAGGTAATAACCAACACAACATAGAACACGATAATATAACTTGAATACATTCAAATTCTGATAATAATTAAGTAAATATACAGGACTGGAAATAGCGTTCTAGATTTATGGAATAGGTTGCCTCATAACATAATAATAATAATCAGTTTTGTCGGCAACAGCCAGCCTTTGTATATATATTTATATACACTTTAGGATTATATAGAGGTCCCCCCCCCCAAAGGTCGAATTACTGACCTTCCCAAGGATGCAACCACACAACAGTTGACTAACTCCAAGGTACCTAATTACTGCTAGGTGAAAAGAGGCATTAGGGGAAAGGAAAAGTATACAACCATTTCTATCCCGCCCGGGATTTGAACCCAGGATTCCCGTAAGTCGAGAACGAACTCTGGATTGTTTCAAGCGTAGGTCAGACAAATAACTGTGGGTTTGGATTGGTATAAATAGGAGCCGCCTCGCATGGGTCAATTCAGCCTTCTCTTATCTTAAATTTATTCGAACTAGCTCTTGTCGGACTGGCAGATATATCACGTGACGACCCCTCTGTTGAACCTACAACACTGGTCATTCAAAGATTGATTGACTGATAAAGATTAAGCAACCCAAGAGGTGGCACGGGCATGAATAGCCCGTAATGGTCATTCAAAGAGTGAATCACGCCATAAATAGGGAACCTAGGGATAAACCAGGACTACTCCAGTAACAAGAGGTATCAGCCAGGTCTCTCACTATCCAGGTCATTAAAATAGTGCACCCACCGTACAGTCGTAGAGAGGCGGCTCGTCACTCTTGTCGTCGCAATCTGGGAACTCGTCACACACCCATTCCTTGCTGATACACTCGCCACTGGTCCTACACTGGTACTCCTCCACCGTGCAGGCGGCGCCCTCGGCTCCTGCCACCACCACACCTGCACCGTCGCCGCCAGAAGGATGTTGTTGTTATAGATTCAGCTACTCGGAACAATTTCCAAGTAGCACGGGTTATGGTGAGCACGTAACTTACCTGGCACAGGAGCGGTGCTCACCAGAAGGAGTGGAGAAGGTATGTTATACACAACACAGCCCGATTTGCGTAACAGGCAGAGTGATTTTCGTTATTTTCAAATATTTCTTTAAAAGTTGGTTTATTCCAAGTAATATTATTATATTATATTATATTAAAAACATGAATTTCTGATCTAGTTATGTTATGTTAAGATAGGATAGGTTAGGTAAGTTAGGTTAGGTTTGATATAATTTATGTTAGTTTTATCTTAAACAAATGTAATATATAATATAATGGCAAGTTGTATTATTCCATAAAAACAAAATTTAAAAATATATAATTTCATGAAAACTCAGCTTGGTAGGCAACTTGGCCTTTTAGGTATTAATGCTCACCATTTTGGAAAAAAAAAGAGATAGTTAAGAAGATAGTAACAACATATGGGATTCTATAAGGCACGGAGAACGTGAACAAACCTGACTGTCTAACATGAACAGAAAAAGCCTTTTTTTTTAACCTTTTCCAGTTTTGTCTTATGCTTGACTAGATATGGACTACATGCTGGATCTGCATACTCCAGGATTGGTCTGACATATGTGGTATACAAAGTTCTGATTTTCCCTTACACACGTTTCTAAAGGCGTTCTTATGATGGTCAACCTGGCATATGCCGCTGATGTTATCCTCTTGATATGGGCTTCAGGGGACAGGTCTGGTGTGATATCAACCCCCAGGTTGATATCTGGGGGGTTTCTCTCTCTCTCTCTGATTCTTGAAGAATTTCATCTCTCAAATGATACCTTGTATCCGGCCTCCTACTCTCTACACCTATCTTCATTACATTACATTTGCTTGGGTTAAATTTTAACAACCATTTGTTGGACCATTTCTTCAGATTGTCCAAGGTCTTCTTGAAGCCTCAAGCTGTCGTCCTCTTCTTAATCCTTCTCATAATTTTGGCATCGTCAGCAAACATTGAGAGGAATGAGTCTATATCCTCTGGAAGATCATTTACGTATATCAGAAACAGGATAGGTCCGAGTACAGAGCCCTGTGGGATTCAACTGGTGATTTCACGCCAGTCTGAGGTCTCACCCCTCACTGTAACTCTCTGCTTCCTATTGCTTAGGTACTCCCTTATCCACTGGAGCACCCTACCAGTTACTCCTGCCTGTTTCTCTAGCTTATGCACCAGCTTCTTATGAGGTACTGTGTCAAAGGCTTTCCGACAGTCCAAGAAAATGCAGTCTGCCCACCCTATTGAAAGTGTTCAATAGGCGGGGCTGAAAACTGATTCTCGTCTCTGAAGGCATACCTAGGTTAGTACATGTAGGCAAGTACACACATTAATGCATCTTGTGTAGATTACCGTACTTCAACTGTCTTTGTGTAATCTCTACAGCATTATCTAACCAAGATATTGCTTTCCAAACCCCGATGGACTAGTGTCTTCTGAGATAACACTGAACCATTCATTCAGTTTGCAAATCGTATCAAAGCTTGCTTAAACTCATATATTTACATATTAATTTTTGACAGTTGAAATAAAGCTACGAGGAATGTTGTCACTGACGGTTGGTAAGTTTTGTTGACTGATCTCCTTATGAAGGAGATGGGAACTTCAGGAACCTTGTGAGCGTGTAGAGGTTACAAGCTTTATCACAAAATTGACGTGTACTTTTGGGCGACCTTTGTAGGATAGAAAGTAGGAAATACTTTTTTACCCATTGGGCACCTGACAGCTGGGTGGACAGCGCTTCGGATTCGTAGTCCTGACGTTCCGGGTTTGATCCCCGGTGGAGGCGGAGACAAATGGGCAAAATGTTTCTTTCACCCTGATGCCCCTGTTCATCTAGCAGTAAATAGGTACCTGGGAGTTAAACAGCGGCTACGGGCTGCTTCCTGGGGGGGGGGGTAACAAAAAGGAGGCCTGGTCGAGGACCGGGCCGCGGGGACGCTAAGCCCCGAAATCCTCTCAAGATTGGGTTTTAAATCCATGGAATCACATACACGCCGAAGCCATAAATTGTGTAATTCCTAGACTCGGTGATATAATTGTTCCTTTTGGAGAAAATACAAATTTTGAATACGCAATACGTTAAAATCTTTGGGGGACGACCGCCGGTTAGACGAGCCAGGTTGTAAAATTTATTAATACTTCTTTGGGGTCGGCTACTGCATGGAATAAATTACCTGGGTTCGTATCCTGGCTGGGGAGGATTGACCGGGTGCCAAACCTTAACTGTAGCCTCTGTTCACCCAGCAATAAATGGGTCCCTGGTTGTTAAACGATTTGGCGGGTCGTATTCCAGGGAAAATTTGGATTAAGGACCTGGCCGAAATGGTATGCTTGCTGGTGGCTGTACAAAAATGTAATACCTCTTCTATAAATAAATAAATAAATAAATACATAAATAAATAAGGGAAGGGAACCATCAGGGGAAAGCACCAAGCCATTGCGACTATATAGCACTGGAAAGGGATCAGGATAAGGATTTGTGATGGGACGGGGGGGAAGGAATGGTGCCCAACCACTTGGACGGTCGGGGATTGAACGCCGACCAGCAAAATAACAATAGCCTGAGGTCGGAATGATCCACGTCAAAACACATTATTGACAACGGAGCCAAAAAAACCGCTAATAACCTACTTTAAACACAAAACTAATTATACACAAAATTATAATATAATAATAATATATATTTGATAAAATAGTTTCTTATTTCACCATTGATGAAAAATTTCTGAAAGCTGGATTTGGGGTCGACTGCAGCTTGCATGAGTGTAGCCTGAGGGTAAGTTGGGAATATTATCTTAAATCAGCCAAATAATAGGCGACTCACATTATTCCGAAACGAAAAATGGCAAAAATATAAATTACATTAATATATACGTTTTACAAGGAAACTGGTTCACTAAGCTCTTGCGTATATTATGACCGGGGTAATTTGTTACTGCATATAATACTAATAAGAAGCGTAGCCTACAATACCATACTAACTGAGACCAGGAGGGCCTAGTTGTTCACTCAAGCACAGAGTGGTGGGTAGAGATTGATTGATACAGATTAAGCCACCCAAGAGGTGTCACGGGCATGAATAAGTGGGTAGAGCAACGGCCTCGCTTCTTGCTGGGTCGGCGTTCAATCCCCCAATTGTTCAAGTATCCCAGCGGATTATCTTTGAATACCTTGAGAATGCTGTATAGTCATACTGGCTTAGTATGTTAATGCTTAGTTGGCATTACCTTACCTAACCCTGCTTATGTGATCAAATTACCTTGTTATGAAGTATAAAAATTACACATTTGAGCGGAATCAGAATTTCATGTGAAATTAATATTATAATATTAACTTCCAATACTCTTAAATTTATTGTTATTGCCAAAAAATATAACTTTTCTATTTATATATATATATCTTTATTGGTGAGCGTCCAGCCCTAAGTCACATGTACTCATGGACTGAAAAGACTTAACAACTTCACTTTCAACGCTTGATACCATCTGCCCCTACCTCTATATCAACTAAATATAACTTTGATACCGATACACACTTTTTGACAGCCTAAATGGCCTGAACTTACCGGTGATGAGAGCGAGTATGGCCCAGAGTGTCGACGCCATCATCAACTTGAACTCATCTTATGATGATCTTACTCCTCGAGGCGGCCGTTATACCCAGGTCTTCCACGACCAGCTCACTCACAATATCTAATTCCTAGTACACTGTAAACTGGGGTTTGCTTTAAGGTAATTAGGGAGAAGAGGAGGAGGAGGTGTGGGTGGCCGCGGAGGACACTTGGCAGTTACTAAGTGGTTGTCCACTTGACCGTTGGTCCACCTGCGCGCCGCTCTCTATCCCTTATCTTCCCGCCACACTAACACTATCTCCTTCCACTCGTTTACTTTCCTGATAAGGAAATCATTTTTGTTTACCTTTATTGGAAACACATATATAAAACCAGGGGCCAGATTCACGAGGCAGTTACGCAAGTACTTACGAACCTGTACATCTTTTCTCAATCTTTGACGGCTTTGTTTATAATTATTAAATAGTTAATGAGCCCCGAAGGACCAGGAGGCTGTTTATAACAATAACAACAGTTGATTGGGAAGTTTTCATGCTTGTAAACTGTTTAATAAATGTAACAAAAGCCGTCAAAGATTGAGGAAAGATGTACACGTTCGTAAGTACTTGCGTAACTGATTCGTGAATCTGGCCCCAGGCTTTTTCACTACTTCTCTTAACTTTGAAAACACAAATCAAAATGTTCTTAATAACAGTGCGACGTTGAATTTCACGTTCATTGCTGAAAAATATTTGTATGGCTAAAGTTTCCCTATCTGTATTCGGTAGGAACTTTATCTTCTCCTTAGATTAGAAACCTAAGTTGATAAAGTCTCGCCACAATTTTATGTGGCCTATTACACCCGCTGTGTGTGTATGGGCAGCCACGACATGTATTAGGTATATGAGCCTCACTTTGTGCACGGTGCTCAGACTTACCCGTACTGTAATGTCTCTGCACGGCAACCACTGCAACTTGTGTATGACAGCCACTGTGGTTTATGCTCGGCAGCTACTCTCATGTCAAGTACATAGTGGCACTGACTGAGGTTGCACAATGGCACTGGCTGAGGTTGCACAATGGCACTGGCTGAGGTTGCACAGTGGCACTGGCTGAGGTTGCACAGTGGCACTGGCTGAGGTTGCACAATGGCACTGGCTGAGGTTGCACAATGGCACTAGCTGAGGTTGCACAATGGCACTAGCTGAGGTTGCACAATGGCACTAGCTGAGGTTGCACAATGGCACTAGCTGAGGTTGCACAATGGCACTGTCTGAGGTTGCATAGTGGCACTGGCTGAGGCTGCACAGTAGCACTCACTGGCTGAGGTTGCACTCAAAAATTAAGTGCATTAAATGAAGCTGAAGGCTTCAATGAGATTAGTTGGAACACTATGAATTTAATGCTATTTGTTCAGTAGTATACAGATAACATTATAATAAATACTGTACTTGTTATCTATAATTATCCCCCATTGAATATAAAATTTAATGAATTTTGTCAGGGGGACAGGTAGCCTGTGTATGTATACAGTATATGTATACTGTATATCAGTATAGGTCCCTCCCAAAGTCTAACTATTGATACTTCCCATGATGCAACCTCACAACAAACTAACTTCCCAGGGTACCTTTTTACTGCTAGGTGACAAGAGGCATTAGGTGAAAGGGAATGTGCCCATCAAGGTTCCAAACACTAAAATGGAACAACTCTTTTTTTTTTTTTTCTTTCTTTTGGGGGGGGGGTCAACCTGAACACCCCAAGGTTGGCTTACTAGTTATATATAAAAAGCACAGAAAACCATCAGAACCAGCTGAAGTTACGAAGGATGAAGATATGCTAGTTGGCTTCCAGCCCACATCACTCACTGAGCTGGATGCGAGCAGCTACCTCGCCCTCCAGCCACCACAATTCTTCAATTTCAGAAGGCGGCAGTACATCAAACTTTATTTTTATATTTGTGTTTGTTGTTTGGTTTTTACAATGTGCAAAGAAAAGTACAGTATTATATTTTTTCTCACACATGGAGTAGAGGGAAAATCTTTCAGCACAGAATGAGGGTTAAAATCTTTGTGAAGTGCTATTTATAAGGATAATATAAAATGACAATATAAAATCCAGAAAGCATGGTGGTAAAATTCCACAAAACAAAATAAAGTAAGCAAAACTATAAGATTCTTTCTCTGTTGGTAAATATAAACAAATTCTGATGTGTATTTCTAAAAAAATATATATGCTAGCCTTTTTTTTATTTGCAAGCCATCTTTCAAAACACTGCATGTGTTTATAACCAGTACAACTTATTTTTTATGATTTTTTTAGAAGATCCCAACAACAGGTAAAATAACAACACCTTATTATATGTTAGACATCCTCTTTATTATACATTTATAACACTCAACGCATCTCAACATTTATACATTACATCTTGCACGATTAGAAAGAAAATCTTCTGATTTTCCACAAATATAAACTTTATAAGTATTATACAGTCATATCTTGATTATCTAAAGTAGTGATTAACCATAGTATCAGATTTACAATGGCACCGAGCCTGCACTTGGAAGGGGGAGGCCCATAAATACTTAAAATGAAAAACATTAAGAGCACTCATTACAATAATTTTTCAATAATATATTTATAGAATAAATCCTAAAATTGCATGGGTTTAGTTTACTTGAAATTTGCATGACAAAAACCATTCTTATAACACCAAAATTAGAAAGGCACAAAGAGTGGGTATCTGTACATGAGGTGGCATGGTTACTTGACACAATTTACCTGCAAAATTATGTGAATACGTAAATAAATGTGTTCAAAATAAAACAACGACAACAAAGCTTATCAATTAGAAAAATAAATTATGAGAGCTGCCAGTGAGCACATGACTGAGGGCAATGTTATCTATTCATGTTTTTACATATCTTTACCCTGTAGCTCATACATACTTGATCACTCTAATATGTAAATACTGTATTCCAAAGTTGATATGTAAATAATGAAAATGACACTACATTCACTCGCTAAGTAATGCACAGACTTATTTAGTTATACCCTGTTACTAAAAAAATATCTTTTTACATATTGATTATTAAATAATGTTGAGTACTTTACATACTGTATTTGTGATGGGGAAAGTGATGTGAGTACTTTTGTACTGTGAAGTACAGTATACAATATTGTATGTGTTTTGTCTGCACAGGGAATGAAAAGAAACCTGATTGTGAGAGGTCTGCACAATTTTTCTCTTGTAAGTTCAATTACTAGTACATTACAGTAGCATATATTTACTCTACAAGAGGTTTTCCAGGAGTTTTGGTTTAGTTCATTTATTATGCACCCCATACCCATCTTGTGGGCAGTAGTGGAAAGGGTTACAGAGGCACATAATGGGCTAAGGGACTAAGCCCCACCATTCATATAGCTAAGCAAGTTACAAAATTCAATGCACATCATCACATCAGCAATGGGCTCAAGACTGACCACAAGTACAGTTTTTAATTTAAGCAACTGACATATATATGGAGAGCTAGTATCACAATTTATATGTTTATCCTACACACCGCCCCCCATGTAATGGGCAACGATGGATAGGTTATAATCACTCAGATGCTACCTACAGTTAGCAAACTGGGGATATTTGGCTAAGACTTCTGGCAGCAAATCATTTTGAATGAAATATTTACATATCTCTTGAACATTTGTTATAGAATTGTCTCTGAATTCACGTATCTTTTCGCACTCCATCACATAGTGACGGAGGGTGTGCAAATAATTTTGTTGACACAGTTTACATTTGGTCAGGTCTACATCAGCATATAATGAAAATTCCCAGAGATACTTGTAACCGAGTCTAAGCCGAGCAGTAGTAACATCTAAAAGTCTGCTGATTTTATTGGATGATCCATAAATGTGTGGCTCCTCTTGCATGATAGTATGATGATAGATGAAATTACTGGTGTCAATTTCCCTTTGCCTCATATCTACAAGATTTTGTTGACGTTCTTGGTGTACTATTGCTCTCAGACTGCTTATTGACAATTCAAGGTTATACTGTACTCATTTTCTTCTTTGAAGGCAGATTCTTTGGCTAACTCATCAGCTCTATCATGCATTCGGAGGCCAACATGAGATTGCGTCCACATGAAATGAACTCTGTTACTATCATTAATAATTTTGTTGTATTTGTGTCTAGCTTCAGACACGAGCATGCTACAGTTATGTCTTAAAGAGTTGAGAGCAATTAAGGATGATAAAGAATCGCTTACAATTAATGTATCAATTTTGGAGACTTGTACACATTTCAGTGCAAGAAGCAAGGCAAATAGTTCAGTCTGAAGGGTAGAGGCCCAGTTGTTTAAACAGACTCCCCACTGTACAGTATATTCTTTGTGTAAATTGAAGAACTAATGCACCATACATAATTAAATTGTATTCAAAAACCTTCTAAGCAATGGTATCTATTATCAGGCAGGGAATTACAGGATAGAACCGTTGGGTTCATTCTTGACTCCAAATCAGGAATTCATTAATTCTTTCATTGATACATATATAAATTCATACATTTCTTCCCTGATACATACACTCATTCAATGATGCATACAATCATTCATTGGTACATTCATACATTCATTGACACATAATTGTCTAGACGTCCAAGATCAAGAGTCAGAGTGGCTCGGGCAATGTGTGAGTTGCTTACAGCACCCACGCTAGCACTGACAGATAGGGCTGGGCCGCCACACAGTCAACTTGTACGGTGCATGGAACCAGTTACAATGTACATATTCTGTTTATTTCCACTTTTCCTTAAATTTTTCATCCAAATTAATCATTCTATAAGGAAAGAATATTTGTTGGAATTTTTTTTTTCACATAGGCAGATGTATGTTAGTGGAAAATAAGGAAGGGAGACAACAAAACTGGAAACCTAGCAAAAACATGGAAGAGCTTAAGATCTTTGAAATATGATTTTTATGGAAAACAAACTAATTTTGATGCTAAACATTTACAAAAATACATATGTGTGCTTTGTGAACATTAAAGAGACCATGAAACAAGATTGAAATCCTGTTTTATACAGGGCTGGTAAGAAAGTTGGCACTGAGGCACCTGTCTCAGGTCCATTAAACTACCATGGCATCTTGTCATCATAATATCTGCACAAAGTTCACAAGAGTTTGTAGGGGAATCTAGTCTCTGAAAAATATTGAAATTTCACAGCTACAAATCACTTTTATTTTCAGATAACTATTCTTCAATATAATTATTTACATAGCCACTGAATGTAACAAGTGTACTTTATGTAATGGAATGGTGCTTATCCTTCCAAGAGCTGATGTTCATTACACACACTCAGCTCATGCTGGTTGGGTGGACATTGTTTGAACAACCGAGATTAATATATACAGAGATACCTCTGGAACCAATTACCTCAGATAATCAAAAATTAACTGTATAATGATTAGCTCTGAAAAAAAATTAAAACCAGTGTATAACTTTATCACAAAAGTAAATATTTCCATATATATATATACAGTGAGATCCTAATGAATATGCAGATATGAGAATCAACTACAACAGACCGTAACAAAGAATGTTTCATGAACAATAGTTTATTAACTACTGATAAAAATATGTTTTACTTAGGACTAATACACCATTTGCCACCAAATATCTACATATATTTACAAATCAAAAGACAAAGCAGAACAACCAAATAGATAATTAGTTTAATATTCATTTTGCAAATCTCATTCATACATTTACAACTTGCAACTCATATAAAGCTAATGAACACAACTCTTGATGAGCATTTCTAACATAATGTGACAAACCAAACATTCAAAATACTTTCCAATATCACTTTAATGATTTATGCAAAGTTACTGAATATAAAAAATTACAACAGGTGTTCCCAAAATATAGTTGCTTCTAATGCAATACACAATACAAATGACAGTAAAATGACACCTGAAAATTTATTGAACAGGAGAGCAGCGAGTATTGCAAGTACAACACCGTGTGAATCTCTTATGTACAAAAGTTGAACATTATAAGAGCAACACCAGATGCCTCTCTCACATGCACAGTTACACATTATGAATGTGACTCCCATGTCATCTCATGCATACACAGTTATGCACCACTAGTATATCACTGTATTTTTATGTACATAGTGCAACACCTTTTCGTATCTTTATATGCACAGATCTGCATCACAAATGCAAACTTTTACAGCTGCATAAACTTCATGTATAAAAAAACTGCATTAATGAGTGTATAACTCTGTACATCTTATGTTTTGTTATAAATCACAAGTGCAGTACCATTTGTAACATGAACAGCTGTGTATAAGTGAACCACCATACTGTGTATCATCTATACAGATATCACAAAAACAATCCTCTCACGGATATATATCTCTTGCACACAGTTAATTTCTAACTTAAATTTGAGAGCATCAATATATTTTAATGAAAATCTATGGAGTAGATGCAACAGCAAATTTCTTTTGTAAGAAAATAACATCTTCATCACTACTATTTCCCACAAAGATCATTCTACATTCAAAATAAACAATCCAGATAAGCATAGTCTAATAGACAAGCGTTAATTTCTGAATACATGGATTCTTTGCTCGTAAAGAGCCACATGATAGCCTTCTGAGAGATAAAGGCACACGGAACATCACAGTTATAACAGCAGCAGCAACACGCTAGTAATAGTAGTCACAGGGAAGATACTACCTCCAGTAGCAAAGATTTTATATGCAAGAGGAATTTTATGCATTTCTTCCATAAATTTAGGGCTGATCCTACTGTGACCAAAGTACACTACCTCTTTTTAAAGTTTGTGTAGAGTGAGGGTAGATTATTTGTATTAAAAATTGTGTTAAAGCATAAGTGGACATTATGAACCTCCACTGATACTGACTGAAAGTGTTGGTGTATTATTTATCTGCCATATTTCCATTAGGAAACACTAAAATTAAATTGGCACTTTTAAACAAACACAAATATTTTCTAATATAAATCTAGTATCCATTGGCATCTTTATCCAGATTACCCGAGAGCGTTGGATCTGGCCTCTTTCTCTCAAAGAATCCTAATTTCCACAAAATTAAAACAATAATTATAAGAACTAAGAGTCCAGCAAAGATTGAAACTAATATTACCCAAAGAGGCACTTCTTCAGGAGGAAGTTGATCAAGCAGGTCAGGATATGCTAAGGTCTCTGCTGAAGCCACATCGTCTGATTGATCTTGGTCTTCACGAATGTCCTTGGGAAGAATCAAAGAGGCTTTCGATTTAATACTCACATAACTAACACGAGGGTAATCTTCAACTAATGTAGAGTTCCATAATCTGGACTTGATACGGATACTTGCTGATTGTTTGGCTCCCAAGTTGCGAATATTACAACGGAAAACAAAGCACTTTGCAGTTGGAATAGCACCATCACACCTCTGGAAAGAAAAGAGAAGACACACATCTCGTGCTTTAAGAACTATTTCACAAAATATCATGTTGAGCTACTTATTTAGAAAGCAATAATTTTTGCTTTTAATTATAATGAGTTTACCTCATCTTTGTATGTGCCTAATAGCCAGAATGCACTACTTGGTGTAGTATGCAAGGTCTGAGTTGCCTAACAAGCAGAGTTTTCCTGAAATTACACATTTTTCTAAAAAAAAAATTCTTATGAAATGATAAGGCTTTCCATTATATTATATATGATTTTATTTGTTTAATTTGTATTAAAACTAATGTAGAAATATGACCAAACCTAACCTAGCCTTAACCTAACCTACAACTTCCTAGCCTAACCCAATCTATCATAACTAAGTCAGTTATTCGTGTTCTTAATATAATATAATATTATTAATTCAAATAAACCTATTTGATTTTTTTTTTAAATAACAAAAATCACTGCCTGTTAAGCAAATTTGGTCTTGCATTCTCATAGCATTATATATAGAACTTATATACTTGTATATATAGGTCAACTTATATATAGAATAAATATTCTATATATTAGAATAGAATAGAATATATATAGAAAATAGAATATAGATAGATAGAATATATATTCTTATATATAGAATATATATTCTATATACTATATTAATATTCTATAAATATATAAAATTCTCAATAAATAAAATGGTAGAGGCAAGTTTTAGCATGAAACCAAAATAAATATATTGCACTGTACTTACCAAGTTCACCACTTGCATTGTTTTGCCTGTTTGAGCATCAGTTACAGCCTGTGGTTTGATGATAAGTTCTTTTTCTCGTTTGATGCGCCTTAAGTCCCTTTTGTTTCTAATCTGCTTATCTTCATCTTGTAAGGATGATGTCGATACCCCTTGCCTGTGTGATCTACGTTCCCAGTTTTCAGGCCAACTACCAGAAAACACTCTTCTAGTGTAGACTGTAGTTATACCAGTTAAAGGATCTACCTCCACTTGGGTGTATGTACCATTTTCATCAGGGCCTGATGACTCAAAGTGAGGGATTCGTCTATTAAAAGCACTATCTGTGTTATTTCTACGAATCTGAGGGCTATTCCAGTCATCAAAGCTTCCTTGGTGCTGCATTTCACGAGTATTCCCTCTAGCTCTATTTTGTCCTCCACTGCCAGAATTTAATTCTGTATTGCTTTCATGTCTATTTCTTGACCATACATTTCTCCCATGACTTGTTCTTGAGTCTTCAGTGTTTGCCCTGTAACTATCTTCAGAGGTTCTTACCTGGTCATCATTAAAACCACGTTGCGTGTTTCTGCTGTGGTAATTTCTTGAATAATCATCAGGATCTGTTCTTGATATAAATCGAGTTCTCTCACGAGAATAATCATGGTGATCTTCAGTACCTGTTCTATGATTCCAGTGAGGGTCAGTCCTGCTGTTATCATCATGGATATCATGTAAACCATGATAATTTCTTCTTGTATCTACCGATGATATTGATTTAATCCTCTCACCTTCATGAGAATATCCATGATGACCTTCAGTTCCTGCTCTTCTGTCATTCCACTGAAAGAGGTCCCTGCCATCGTTCTCATGATTTCTATTTCTATCATACTCATGTGAAGTTCTATGTCCTGTATCAACTTTTGCTCTGTTATGTTCTGAATGGGTTATTGAACCATGATTATCAACATTCCTTTCACCATATCTATCACCATCATAATTTCTTAAATTATCTCTGCTGAGTTCTCTTCTAGATTCATGTGTATGTGTTCCTGTAAATGAATCCTCACCAATTTGTCTAGCATTTTCTCTGTTATTACTGTCCACTTTATGAGAACCATCTACTCTCAAGCCTCTGTCTGACTCATGTGAGGAAATTATACTCTCACCAACTCTTCTTTCTCCATATACATTAAATATTTCACTTCCATCTCTGTCAGGCCTTCTATCAAATCCAACAGTTTGTGTTCTAGAATCCCCACCATCAGCTGTCCTCCTTTCTTCATTAGAAATTCTTCTATAATTCCCATCTGTAATTCCATGTCCTCCAGAATGCGTTCTTCTAATGGTCCCATCTCTGGTAACAGATTCAACTCTATGAGTATTACTGTGCACTTGCCGACCATGTTCACCTCTGTTATATATAGCGGATGAGCCTGACCCTTCAAGCTCATCAATATTTGTTTCAGAATTTGCATTGTGTCGTGCACCTTGACCGGAATATGAAGCCCTGCGATTTTCCCACCGCGGCTGACCATCTTCAAGATCCCTATCAGAAGTTCTGAAACTTGAAGTAGATGTTCCCGTATTAAATTGCCTATGTCCACCATGGTCACTCCACCGTCCACTTGGTATATCTTCCTTTTTTACAGTTACGCTCTTGCTTTCATGATGTGTTTCATGGAATTTTGTTCCTCCATCAGGTGAGGTTCCAGATGAAGTGCGAGTCTCTTCATGATAACTAACAACGCCATCTCCATCTGTGTCAAGGTTATTAATCTCTTTATTCTCTTCATCAAATTTAGATCTATCTGAAGAAGAATAAACCCTTCGACTGACTCGAGTATGTGTTCTCCCATGTTCTCTAGCACCAGCTTGATCAAAGCCACTTCCTTCTTGATCTACATAAGAGCCTGAATCAGACTTGTCAAAACCAGATGAGGATGATGATGAAAAACTAGATGATGACGAACCAGACGAGAACCCATGAGATGACGATGTTCTTTCAGTGGATACAGAGAGTTCCTTGTCAGATGTTGTTTTAGAAGTCTTCTTTTTTATTGTAGTAGTATTGGTCACCTTTTTAGTTACTGTCTTTGTTATCTTTACACCTCCACCACCAGCTCCAGCTTCACCTGGATCTTGTGTTTCACTAGGGACTTGACTACCAGGGCCTAGATGGCTAGTTGTTTCTAATTCACCTTCTACATCCAGGCCCGTTAGGGGGCCAGTTGAGGATCCTTCCTGTCTTCGGAGAATCAATGGGTTTACAAATTTTGGGTCAATTTCACATTCTCCAACACCTGTAAGGAGAGAGAACACATACAATACTTAATAATTCAACATCATAGTCCTTTCAAGCACAAAAGAAGTACTAATATTAAAATTAGCTTTAAAGTTTTACATATTTAGAGATAGGGTTATAATGGAAATATAAAATAAATGGAAAATTTTCTATATAGTACAGAAATACAGTAAATAAAAATATATATATCACCTGAAATATGAGAATGGAAAGAGTGTGTACAGGGATGTCAAATAAGACAAAAAAGTATGATTAGGGATCAAATGAAAAAATGTTTTACTAAGAGTCTGACTTATTTTGGAGTCACCAGAGAAGCACAGCCTTAGGCCAAGCTGTAAAAGCAGACAAATTCTCATAACTGACTAACGGCAAGTTGCACACAGACAACAGATATCTGTAAAAGGTTTTCAATGAGCACCTCTACTTTAAATACAACCAAAATACAGTATACTGGCTTCTATTCCTGGGCAGGTGAGACATATGGATGCATTTCCTTGCACATGATGCCTCTGGTCACCAAAATAGATACCCAAGGAGCTATGCAACTATTGTGGTTTACAACCAAGGAAAGGTCATTTGTTGTCCTTGCAGAACCCCAATAAGCCTAACAGGCTTCCTGTCCCTAAAAATGGAAAACCACACAGATGAAACACCCTTTACTGATGGGTTCTCGGTAAATCCCCAAGTTAAGTGGTGGTGCGGCCAAGCCGTGGGGAGATGTACCTGGCCTCTGAGACACACCTGAGACTGCCAGGAGCGAGGACCAGAATTTAGCTGTGTCTGAGGCAAGGAAAGTTTTGGGATCACAGATCAACTCAAAATTGAGATAAACAAAAAGTTCAGAAAGCATAAGTGTAATAAACAAGCAACTGGTTGAAGAAAATAAGTCCCCAGAGGTAACAAAGCAAATGGTTGTTATGAAGGGGCACACAACCTAATTGTAATGTACCTAACTGCAACCAACGATCAGGCATATTATAGTTAGGGTGTTTAAACAACAGCAACAGGAGTATGCCTTGTTACAAGAGGATGCCTTATTTTATCCTGGTAGTGGCTTGCTTTATCAGAATTACCCTCTCTTGTGAGGTTTCTCTTGGTTTTGGGTTTATCTCTGATCCCTTAGCTCTTCTTGTCTCTTAGAGAGCCAGATTCTGGTCCCGACACCCAATAGAGAAAGATGGGTTTCAGAGGCCTGGTGCATCTCCCTAAGACTTTGCAAATCCTGCACTTAGCTCAGGAATTTACAGAGAAGCATTTGGAGAAATGTCATTTTTATGTGAACACCTAGCTTTTCATAGGCTAAATACACAACATTGATAAAATATTTTCTTACCATCAACTACTGGCACATCTGTCATGTAGAGCAACCATTTGCCCTGTTCTTTATTGTTTTCCACCTGATGAGGCCACAAAACCTCCACTTGCAGCTCATCTACTCGCCAAGGTCCACGGTTATCAACCACATACTTGTGAGACACTTCCATCCCTATTTCATCCATATTTTTAATTGCTGATTCACCAGTTACCTCTCCACCATAGAATGCTTGTTCAGGAGTCACAGATCTGAAAGTACATACAGTACCTCAAATAGTAATTTTAAAAAGAAAATGCAAAAGTATCTTCAATAAGTTGACTAACTGCAGTTGATTCTTATGTGTTTGAAATAATATTGTGTATTTTAGCTATACAAATTACAGAGAAGTTACAAAAACTATCGAAACTTAACTATGTCTTCTCAAAATTTGTAACAGAATCACCTTGTTTTATGCAAATCCAAAGAACAAGTAAATCTTAAGCAAAATTTTGGTTCTTTGAAATATGTGTATAAAAATAATAATCAAATGGTTGGGTCACCATAAGTACAGCATTATGTACTGTACGTAAACAAGAATGAGTTGGTTAGTTTCATTGAGGTATTATACCTGTACAATGTATTGGATATTATATCATACATAAATCATACGTACCCAATAATTGATATTTCTGCTTTTTTAATGACCTCTACACGGAAATGCAAAGGATCCTGTCGTGTCTTCTCTAAGGATGATGAGTTAGCAGCAACAGTAAAAAGGATGAATCTAGAATCAAATGGATGGCCAGACTCTCTGAAGCTTAAAATCAAAGGTCCTGTTGTGTCAATAAGAGGATTACCAATACCACACTGAACAACAGTGGGGGACACAGTTGAGCACTGGTATGATCCAATCTGAAAATAAGACTAAATCTTAGAATACCAACTTCAATAACCTGCTTCAAAAAGCATTAAAATATGCCAAATGCATTTTTATTATGCTTAAAAAGAAACTGCCATTCCTTTACCAAATTTATAATATACAAAAACATGACTTATGAGAAAAGATTTGAGGCATTAAACCTTTAAATGTTAGTAGATAGAAGGAGAGGAAGAGATATGATCACATACAAAATCAGGACATGAATTGACAAAGTTGACAAGGAGGAATTATTAAAACTTGCAGTGTCTGGAACAAGGATTCACAGACTCAAGCTTAGAAAGCAAATGAGCTGAAAAAATATCCAAATGTTCTCTTTTGCAAAGAGTTGTGGATAGTTTAAGTGAGGAGGTGAATGCCAAAACCATCTGCAGTTCCAAAAAGACATATGACATAGATTATAGGGAAGAGGGACACCACAAACATAGCTCTTATACTGTAAATAAACATACATTCATAGTACATATACAGAAGAGTTTCAGATTATAATTAAGCTTCCATGTGTCTGTAGCAGCTGCTATTTATCTGCGCCATCCATATCTCAACCTACAGGATCTATAATTGATAATCAACAGCTCAAAACTACTTCAAACATAAAATTACTCAACACAAATTGGCAGCACCTTTATTTAAACCCTTGAACATGCTAAATATAAAAGCACTAAACACATTCTCAAGTAAACTCAGTATTTTCAAAATTCTGATCTGCAATACCAATCCTGACTTCAAATCCTTCTTAGAAGGCTACAACAGAATCCATAAATGCCACTTGAGAAACAAATATTGTACTACCTCTAACTAATTCAAAAACAGAAAATCATGGAAGTACTTAGTTGACATGCAATCCTTTATATACCTACCACACCAAATAGAATATAACTCGAAGCCTTCATCCTAAACACAGTAAGCAAATTATGTTTCATGCTATTTTTAGAATTAAAATACAGGTACTGTAAATGTATAATTGTTATAAATTTTCCAATATAAAACCAATATACTGCTCAAGCTACAGAATCGAAGATTTGAAAGCCATTATTGACATTCTAATTAACTGTTACTCACTTCTGCTAATATCCTATATATAATACTTATAAAATAATAATAAAATCTTAAAATATAATTATGTGACTATGTATATTATTTCCGAGATGATTTTTGGTTCAGTATTTTGAGTTACATATCTGTTAATTATAAACTTAATCTCATATTCCACTGTATAAACGTTGCCCAAGATTTGCTCAAAAGGCTTTTCGTGATTAGTGGATCTATAAACAAAAAATTCATGCAGTACCATGTATGTATACAATATAACATAGCCAATTATACTTATTTTTATAATTATTATTATTATTATTATTATTAATATTACTATGAGTAATACCTATGTGTAGAAAGCATTATTACAGTATGCAAATAGAGAAACAAACAAACAATAATTGAATAATTGCTGAACTAAAAAAATTCTGAATTATCAGTCGGTCAAAATAATTGCCATCAGTGAGAGAATGGGTACTACTGTACTTTATTTTCAATATGACTCCTTATCTATTCAGCATATTAATTTGGAACTCATACCTGTGACTCCTTGAGGTTAAACACAAGGGCCTTATGATGAGTGACACGCAACATGGACTGATAAGCTGGTTCACCAGTATTGGTAACTTCTACATTGAGAGGGATAGTATCTTGTTCGCCAAGTCTCAAGAGGTAGTGATCATGTTTTGCATGACGTTCCAAATCAAGACTTCCGATTACATTCAGGTCACTATCGCAGATGTCATCTAAACCACAATCTTTGGCAAATGTTCCCTCAAAGTACCTGAAATATTACAATTCAACATTAATAAGCCTCAAAGAGAGTGATATATCTGGTTTACCTAATTTGAGAGCTACTCATAATTTACAGAAACTCAATGTAAAATTCATTTTATAATCAATTTTAATTTCTTTTACCAACTGATGGTAAAATTAAGATTCTGAAATATAAATCTCAATCACACCTGAGTGCTTCTTGTTGGTTGAGGATTGGGTAGTCATCAATGTCAGGGACCGGGTCCCCTTCAGCCACAGGACGAGGTTCTCGCTGGATGATTTCATAAGACAGCTTGAACCTGAGTGGACGAAGTATATCTCTTGGTGCATCCTGTAGAAAATATTGGGGGTACAATTGAAGTTTCTTTCTACTGCTTTATTTCTAAAGTGTTAAAGCTGAAATATTGAACAAAATTTCTTGCTGTTATATTTCAATATCTGATGGATAAGGCACATCTCCTAGGTACATTTGCTTATGTAAATAAGTAATAAAATATACAAGTTAATTCAGGTTTATTTGATGAAAATTAAATAACAAAATAAAAATTATATAATTAATTTCTCCCAGGATAAATTTCTCACATCTTAGTGGAAGTATTAGGACTAATGACTGACAAAGAAATGAACTATAACAATACCAATACCTGTACTATAAGAACAACAATACCCACAGCATCAATAACATCAAAATAACCAAAAACACAACACTAATACAAGCAACAATAAACTTACAATAAGACATCAACAACAAAACTGTAATAATAGCAACTACAGTAATATTGAGAATTACCAAGTAGGCCATTATTTATAAATAATGTTTCACCTGTAAGGACTTTATAAAGAGGACAAAACAGTGGTGCTTCCCCCCCCCCCAACTCTTCCTAACCTTCCTCCCCCCCCCCCGGTGCCCAGGATCGAACCCGGGACCACAGAATCACGTGTCCAGCGTGCTGTCTGCTCGGCAGGCTGGCCTCCCGGCCGTGTGTGTGTGTGTGTGTGCGTATGAAGGAAAAAAGAAAGGGGTCATGGTGCAGACAGAATGGTCACCACTACAACCTTTCCTCTTCCTGTGTGACGCACTGATGTGTTTATGCCTAAGAAGGGTATGCTGAACAACTACTCTTACTGTCCATTCACTGTCCATTTATGGTAGGCCCCAGGCCAGGCTCGGGGAGTAGAAGATCTCCCGAGACCCTCTCCAGGTAGTGTGTTTTGGGATGTTAGAGACTTACCCTTAACCTCCGAGTTAGTTAAAAGAAATAATTCATGATTAGGATCATTGTTTGGAGATCCTCTTTGTATGTATTGCAGTAAAGTACTATGCTCTTTCTAGAGTCAAGTGAGGATATGGATGTGCTATTACCTGATCCCACCTTTTTCATTTTTGTGGCTCTATTCCCACTGACCAACCATCATTTTGAAGTGATTTGTATGGTCCCATTAAACAACCATTGTTGATGATCCTATTGTGTCTTTTCTGATGATGACATAGTAGTTATGTCAGTGTGCAGAGGACTTTCAAGAAATATCTTGGATATCGTTCTAACATTCGTGAAATTCCCTTTTGTTTTGATGTACAGTACTAACTATTAAATTCCTGAATAAACGTAAGACAAACATCTAGTTTTCATACTTTTAAGGCAGTTTTGCAGTGACAGCAGTGTGATTTGGGAAACCATAGTCACACAAGTTTTGTAAGGCTATTGAATGAACACAGTAGTGGGTACATAAGCCCTTAATTGGTTGAATGTAAAATGTGCTAGTTAAAATGAGGTGGCATTAAAATTGCATCAAAAACATCCCAAACCATATTATCAAATCTGTGACAAATATTGAGATGTCACAAACATCATCAAATTTGTGAACAACACTTAAACTTACGACAGCAAAGGCAATATTATTTCCATGCAAAATTACCTACACAAACTAAGTAAATGGCAAAAACTGGCAAATGATATTTGATACATAAAGATGCAACACCTTGCATGTGGAATACAACAATGTACATCCAAATTTTCACATTTAAAATGCTGCCTTGCTCTCTGTGGGAAAAGAAAAGGCCCTTGGACTAACAGCCCACCAATCACTGACAGCGGCACAGCAAGTAAGAGCAGCCTTAAAATAAAGCTAACCAAACTCTAAGACACATCAAACATGCCTTTGAAAATATTGACTAGAGAACAATCATACTGTTTGAAAAAATCCCTGTGCATCCCTACCTCAACTACTGTAGTCAAGCAAGGCATCCACACCTACAGAAAGATATTTCATCACTGGACTAAGTTCAATACTATGATAGGTTCAGGGCTACAGGACTGTCATCTCTCCCAATAAGGCATGACAGAACTGATCTCAAGAGTGACAGTTATCATACTGAACAAGTTTTAATACTTAAACCCCAACCACTTTGGGGTTTAAGTATTAAGTATACGCTCAACAAGGCTCAACCACTCCATCGAGCCTGGCCTCCGGCTGGGCTCGGGAGTAGAAGAACTCTCGAAACCTTCTTCATGTATGCTCCAGGTATGCACTTCTTTAAAAATTAAGGTGGCATATGAGAGCCATCAGCTACAAGTTTATTAAGCCGCAAAACAAAATAATAATAAACCTATGGAACAGCCTACTTGATGAAGATACCTAAACAGGGATGATAAAAAGATGATAAAAAGATGATAAATGATGAAATACTCATTGAAGCTTCATCAGTCAAAACGAGGGAATCCTTTACAAAACCAAGAGGTTTCTTAACTCTGACAAGGCCACGTAAAAAGTGTAAAAGCTGTCAGATAAATTCAGGTAAAATAAGATGGAAATACAATATTAATTTAATAATGCATTTTCCAAACAAAAATTAATTAAAATTTATACAACTTTAGTACAGTATACAGTAATCCTCGGACTAGTATTCAAAGATTAAAATGGTCCTGTTGCCCAGTACCTAACTATAGATACTTGGGATTCTGTATACTCTGTAGCACTTGAGTTTTGACATAACCCGTGGTTAGCATTGTACTCAAGCACACGCACTAGGTGAGTACTAGGCGAGTACACGCAGCTTGCTAGCCTTATTGAATCATGCTTTGTTATCATCAACATGTTATACTTTATTCATATTTAATGTGTTGTAAATATGTTATACATTACTCATATTTAATGTGTTGTGAAAATTATATATTTTATTCATATTTAATATGTTGTGAATATGTTATACATTATTCATATTTATGAGCTGTGAAAATGTTAAACTTTATTCATATTTATTATGTTGTGAATATGTTATAGATTATTCATATTTACTCTGCCTTCCTGCTAAAATTAAATAAAAACATGACATTGCTCTTCATCAGACTTAAGACAGTCCACTGACTATGCACTAGAACACAGATCTTGTTAAGTAGCTGGATAAGGAAGAGTCTGGCACTATGTTAGATGGCAACTATGGTATTAGATGGTATTTGAAGCACAAATATTCACAGTATTAATCCCCAAAGGAAGTAGTTCAAGATATTCTATGCACAGATTGATAATGAAATCTTTTTTGGAATATGGAAGAAATTGACCTGGTGAAGCTTTTCAAATTTCAACAGCACTCATTAAGTGGCTCAAACAGTACATGAATGAAGTTGCACCACTATCTTGCCCTCAAGTAACTTGTAAGCTTTATTTTAAGGAACTAATACATTTGTATTAGTTGTATTCAACTGTCACAGCAATCTTACTTTTTCAGTTTTATGCAAAAATGTAAATCCAGCAACTTGCTGGCCCATATTTATTTGGATTCTCAGGAATATACCATATAGTACATCAGTTTAATTTCAAGATAAACATTTAAATTTCTTGAGGACCTACCAGAAGGTAAACTATTTCTCGGGAGCATTGAAAAATGCCCATATCCTCTGGTCTTAGATTGATGTCACGCTGCACAACGCTGGGCCGGTCATGCAGGCCATCAGAAAAGCGCACCCTTGCAATTGGCTGGTCCTTATAAACCCTTTCTTCAATAGTGTACTTAAGTCGTAGACCGGTTCTTGTTCCAGCATTATTGTCCATTTTGAAACATGCATCAAATGAAAAGCTGTAAAATTGTATACATTTAGTTGACTGATTTACTGTCTTCATAGAATTAAGGTTTTTCATAACTTTATTAAAAATGGGTTTCTGTCATTAACCACTTATAATTATACTCAATACAGCACTAAAAGTTTTCCTATATTTGCATACAAAATTACAAAGACAAGCATTATATATTTTTGTAACTTACTAATAAATACATTAAATATATGAAGAACTCAAATAAAGAGTATCATATATATACAGGAACATATTATATAAAAATAAATATAAAATGGGTGTACCTGCAAACACCAACATAGTGTTTATAATTTCTTTAAGAAAAACACAGTGGAAAAATTTAAATTATAAATTTAATACATACAATACTGTGTTGAATGTAAAAATAAAGTTTGAAACAAATGTCAGCATTAAAACTATTTGAGCACCTATCCCAACTGGTGTGAGAACTTTATTGTTGTAACATTTTCTAAAAAGTAGTTACAATATATAAATCAATGAATCAATAAAATTATTATGATCTACAAACTCAAGTATTGTTTACCATGTTTCTGATGCTCCAAGGTCTTCTGTGCAGCCTTTTTTACTGGGATCAATATTCTGAAGCTGACCTTGTGATTGTACTTGAGTCTGAATGTCAATAATTGGCCGAGCTCTGCAGTAAAGTGAATGCTAATCACATATTTGCTTTGTACAACATTTCAATTACAGTAAATGCATTTATATTAATAATAGAAAAAATAGATGCAACACCAACTAAGAGTTCAACGTGCAAGAAGCCTCGACGAGGTGTTCCACAAATACTCAGGTCTGGTTTACTCTTATTTCACCTATACAGTATTGCATATGTATATGTATATGTATATATATATATTAACATATCAAACTAAAAACTGCATTTGCATTCTTTGGTTACCTGATCAAAAGAACCCTGTCACTGCAAAAAGATGACGTGAGCAGATCAGGATAACCATTCCCATCTAGATCCATACCACCACTCAAGGAATAACCAAATGCATCATAGGGTTTACCAGGCATGTCCTCAGCATGAATAACCTGAAAGAAAAGAGGTATGTGTCACACAAACATTAAGTATAAATAGGCTAAAAACTAAAATGACACTCAATATTCAAATACTATCAGATATCACAAATTAGATCATCTGTAGGTGTTTTAATATTGCTAGTGCAAAATGTATTAAATTAAAAATGCACAAGTTTTAGTATTCATACCTTACAACACATACAATACTAGAGAATGCTGGTAAGTAAATATAACTGCACCATATATACATATGGTTTATGATCTACTAAATCTATGATAATGGCTCTTAACATAAATAAGCTGATTATCTACTATCAAAAACAGCAAGCCTGTTTTTGTCAATTTTCAATAGCATACTTTATAGAATAGCACAAAGCAGAGTACCTTACTCAAGGCTTTGGCTCTAATTCCATGAAAAAATACAAATACAGTATAGAATTGTAATTTGCTAAGGCACTGCAAGAAAACAGTTAGGCATTTAAATAATACTAAAACTGCAAAGAAAAATAAAGTACAGAATATTAAATATAATTTAGTAATAATAAATTATACCTGCACAGGTTCCTTGATTAGCCCATTATTGGATCCTAAATATATGTAAATTACTCCTCTTCCTTCATAGGGAGCTCCAATAGCAACATCTTTGTATCCATCATGATTCAGATCACCAAGGGACGTCATGGAAAATCCAAACCGACTTTCTCCCGGAGCACCTGGTCCAAGGAAGGGAGATAGAAGTGGTTAAAATACAAGTTCGATGCACTCTCTCTTCACCATATTAATACTATACGTCAACAGTATACTAAATGCACAAAAATAACTGGTTTAAACTTTTAATTCCAAGGGCCCCAATTGGCTCTAAAATTTGTATTCTGAAAACTTTAACAAAGGCATTAGCATTTACTCAGCTATTCAATAATATCTTAATGTTACTGCGAGATAAAGAACAGAAAACACTAAAGAATGTATTATTTTGTAATTTCTTATCTACAGTCATACCATAATTGAAATACAAGACAATATTTTTCAAAATGCTATGTGTGTGTGTACGACAAAAAAGAACACCTCATTACATCAATGTACATTACATTTGTCCTACAGTTTATGCAATTTTCTGAGCTACTTAGATGCTCCCTAAGACAAGCTTACTGAATGTTCCATATTACAGGATCAAGATATCCAGAATAGGATGATCTTCTGCCGGGTCATGCTAGTGCTAGGGAGGCACTGGAAACTGTTCAATCCAGCCCATGAGTGAATACATTACTGACATCCATAAACATTTACACCCACACCAAGCCCTACCTGGTATCACAAGAGTTGCCCAGTAATATACAGACCCACCTACTAATCTCTCAACTGGCCACCTCCTCTGGCCCTACTCAGATATTACAGCCAGGTCCCCAGCCTCAAGACATGTTATATTACAAATTTAGTGCACTGCATCATAACTGATGACTTTTGAACATAAATTCCTCTGTCTTTTCCACTTAAATTCATTGCTAACAGAAGCTCTTCTCATTCCAACTAAATTCTGAGTGGAGTAAATTGAAGGGGTTGAATGTATGTTTTTGTTTCTAACAGGTGGGTACTGGGGCAAATGACTGCAGACTTCTGTCAGCAGGCTTAGAGCTTACCCATCCCATAGCTTATAAGGAATTACCCATTCTAGAGCTTGCCCATCCCACAGGATCCCATAGTGCACCTAGCTCTCCTTTCCCCTTCCCTATTGTGGACCCCAAAGCATGATAGGTCTTGGAGGCCCCTTCTTCCATATCTGAACTGAGGGTGTTTGGGGCCTCTTTCGGTTAGTGAGATTCATACCATCCTCTGGAATCCTAGTTTTATTACCTCCGAGCATGATGATAAGTTTTTATGTTTCCAACCTAACCCATAGCATTCTAGCCAAAAATGAATTTTTTTTTTGCCTAACCTGGTTTGTCATTAGTTTATCATACTTCTCTGTGTCCAGTAGCAGCTTTATGCTGTTACTTCCAAAATCAAGCTAAATATTTTACCTTAATTTTTGCATCATGATGCCCTGTACATACTAGGCTTGTATAGCTCAGTTGCTTTGAAGAATGTTCAAGCTGAGCTAATTACAAGAATATGCTAGTCACCAGTCTGCCCCAGCAAGCATGATCTTTGAAAGTTAACCAATCTCAAGGTGTGCTTCTTATCAATTCCATGTTTCGTCATCTGAGCTTGAGGATTTTATCAGTTCAATTTCAAATTCAATGCCAGAAATCCTGGATTTCTGGCATTGGAAATCCAGGATTTCCAATGAGAACTTGGAAATCACCAAGTTCATTGGTGAATTGAACTTGGATAACATTCCTCAAGGATATTCTTTGTTTTCCTGCTTGGAAAGCCTGTTGAGTCCTGCTGCATGGATACAGAATGTCATCCAGCACTGATTATGGGCCTGTCCAATGGGACAGTCAGTATGCTTGTCTAACTAACTATATATTTTATAAAAGTAATTTGTCATGCTTATACAGTGAGCTCCTGCCTGAACAGAATTTGTTTCTTCAGAAAGCCATATACAACAGTACAGCATCAACAACTGCCAGTGGTTAACCAGAAATATGTATAAAATGTTCCGGTGGAGAAGATGTGTGTGTTCATTAACTGGAACTTGCATGGAGAACTAGATGTGACGTGACCGTCAACACTTATATTTCTGTTCATATGCCAGAAAGGTAAATATAAATTTAAAATTGAATTTTTATCATATTTGTACTATTTAAAAAATAGTATATATTATTTATATACTGTAATATATAAATAAGAACCCCACAACATATGCCTAACTCCTTGGTACCTATTTACTCATAGGTAAGCAGAAGCATTAGGAGAAAGCAAATGTGCCCAACCATTTTTGTCTCCCCCAGGAATCGAACCCAGGATACCTGATTGTAAGTCGAGATTGAAGCCAACTGTACTATGAGACCCTATTTATGTGTAAAAATGCACACAGATGTGTTCTATCACTTGTAATAAGAATAACCTTAAATTTGGTGATACAGTATACAGCAAACTTGAGATGCAACAGTTCTGTAATTCAGGTGTAGTGGAAGGGGTCTGGTAAAAATCTGTCTGTTCAAGCAGGAGAGAACTGTATTGACAGAACTTCATAACTAGAATTCTAACTGGCTACACTACAAGTACATATACATATACAGAAATGCTTGTATAAAAATAGAGAAGAGCCTTTAGCACAAAGCCATAGTCACTTCGAACAGTATGAAGTCATCATAAAAAAAAAAACTTAGAACAAAGAGATACAAAATGCATATGAAAATTTGATGTTAGTTTCACTACAATATGTACTGTTCTGTATTATACAATATATAAGATAGTCATATTGTTGACTTTAACATACAACTAGAAGAATTCCACATAAAACTAAATACTTAACACATAACTATCCTGTCTAATCACGCTTCACCTTGAATATCTGATGGAAGTGTCCTGGTAATCTTGTCGTATGTAAGACCTAGACCTTGGATAAGAAAGTAGCATAAAGTGACTATTTTGATACATAATTAATAGTTTTGCATCACGTTTGTACAGTCAGTTACTTGACAAAACATTGATTCTGGTATCATGAGATCCTGAAAATTTACAAATTAGGCTGAAACGTGTTTATTACAAGTACACGTGTACAGTATATATAATAGTTAATGCATGAGTGTATATGTTTGTACATATGTATTATGTATGTTTAGGCAGGCTTTGATTTACACAGTATTATAGAACGTGAATTCGGTGAAACTCATGTAAGCACTTTTATACCAAGTTTTAAAATGTTCAGGTGAATTTTAAATGCATTAAATGAGATTAGAGCACAAATTAATACATAATAGTGCAGATAATCTGCAGTGTCAGACTCACACTGATATTAAATTCTTATGCAGTACTTTAAAAAAATTTTTAATTACTATACTGTATATTCTTACAAACTTTCACATCTCAAGCATTCTAAACTTCATAATGGGGTGAATTTGTGGCTGAAAATGGAAAAAGTGTTAAATATTAATGTTAATATAAATTAAGAAGCTAAATGTAGATGACAAGCTTATTTTTGTGTTGGACACTCAGTCACTCTCATAAGCAAGACCTGCTTACCCACAAACTTACCTTACTACCTCTAGTCAGGGTCAGAACAACATTCTCACCTCCTAAGCCAAGCATGGATCTTTGCATAGATCACTGCCAATCACAAAGAGGAAGGGAAACACAAGGATTCTCAATACTGCCCTGAATAGCAGTAAGATGATACAATTCTTTACACTCAGCAAATCTCATCAAACCAAAATTTGACATAAAACAAATGTCAAGTAAAGTTCTGCTTATAGGAACTAAAAGCTTATTTTGGCCACCTGACTACTGCCACTTGTCCCCAAACACCAGGTGGCAGCACCAGACCTGTTAAAATTGAGTGGTGATTTTGGCTGTTTAGCAAAAATGATCAAAGCAGGCTTTTGGAACACATAGAACACAGCACGCCTGCAAGGCAGGTGGGTAAGAAAATCGCTGCCACTCTCACCGAGAAAGGATGTGAATGAACAACTTGTCCAAGCAGTTTCAGCAGGTGTGGTCAGCAAAAAGAACAAGGAATCTGACCCATCAAGTAAACAACTTAGAATGAAGTTGAGAAATGATCTCAGAGCAGGACAAGAACTTAAGAACATTCACTAAACAAGAGTGAATTTTATATTGAACTCCAATTAGATGCTGACCCACAGGGAAAACCTGAATGTGGAGCTGCCAAGAAGCAATGCCACATGACATACTGAGTCCAGTTGACAAACACAAGAGTGTCTCCATCTTGAACCATACCAAGGATAAGTCAACTTTTTTTCAGTTCCTGAAATCTACGAGACGGACATAACAAAAAGAGTAAGCACAGAAGAAGAATGATGGAGAGTAATGTTCTGTCAGACACCCTGTCAAGCCCTACATACTAGTGATGAGAGAGGGCCTAAAGATGTTGAATTATTAAGGAAAACAATCTGATCTTCATAAAGAAGGCAATAGATTCTCCCTGTAAACGCCACATACAAAGATCAGCAGAAAGCCTCAAGGTGTTCATGCAATACTAGATGCAAATTGTCTGTGACTAGTAAAGAAGGAAAAATAGGGTGGTTTTGTGCACCAGGGGAGTATATTTATAAGCAAAATTTGAGCAATACTGTGGAACTAAGGAATAGCACACAAGTGGCTAAGAATACAGTACTACTCAAAATTATTTGTAAACAAAAATTATAATTTCTGGAATAAATAGAGTAATATTTTATCGCTGACCATGGCAATAAAAACACTACAGAAGCTCTTGTATTTTCTATAACTAAGTTTCTTACTAAATACTACAGAACAGCTAAATAAAAAATTACACGTTCAGTACTGGTATACTTTATCATATTTTACATTATTAAAAATTCTCACATTGCACTGTTCAACTGAATTGGAATGAGAAAAATCTCTAATGCCACCTGAGCTTTTCTTCCACTTACTTGCCATATTATTACATTCAAAACAATGTGTAGGTAAAACAAATCAAGATTTCTTCGGAGACAAACCTTCAATCTTTGTATATGGATGATTGTGAACGAAGCCTCCATCATTATTCATATAAACATACACAGCTCCGCTGGTAGTGCTACTGTAGTAAAAGGGAGCACTAACAATAAGGTCATCACGCCTGAAATTAAAACACATAATTATATATATACTCTCTATATACATTTTGTTTACAGCCTGTACAATATCTATTTTTTCACATATAGTATTTATTATTTAACACAAACATTAAACAGTCAATTATGAAATTACTACTGCCCACAGGATGGATATAAGACGAATAATAAATAATACCGTCGAATTATATCAAATAATACTGACCTGTCCCCATTAATGTCTAGAGCAAGAACTTCAAATCCAAAGCTTGAGGCAAACATTTCCCCACTGAGTATCAGGTCTACTCGCAGAAGACTCACACCAATCTTCTCACGAGTGAAAAACACTACTTGGCCAGTTTCATTAGCTCTTGGGGCACCACCAACGTAAGACATGTAGTTACCGAAGAAATGTCCTGCTGTCACCGAGTAGCCTGAAAAAAGTAAATTTAATAAGTTTATGAAATCGAGGAAATTAATCCAAATACTTGTATGATTCTTCATGGAGCTGCTCAAAGGTTATCTTATGCCATACATTTTTCCTTTAATGAAGAATATACATAAATTACTACTAAAAGATGAAGATCAAACATAAATTTTACGATACATTCAAGCATAAATAACACAAGTTTTTATCATCCTGATGATTTTGTCAGAAATTAAGGATGACTGTTGTGATAAAAAGCAAATGACTTCATACCTAAGTAACTGTACTTGTCCACAGGAGACTCATTTTCAGTAACTGGGCCAAAATACTGTGTTTTGTCCTTGAGCAAAAAGTTATCCGAAATATTGGAAGTGTGGACCGTCCCCCGCCATGTGTATGGTCCAGGCACCCCAAGAACTGCTTCATCATCCAATAGTAAGCCACTCGTGCCAGCCTGACAGAACCCATACTGCTGGTGACCTCTGAAAATCATTAATAAATTATTACTGCTATTAAAACAGCAAAAGAAACAAATTATAAATGCTGATGCTGATCAGCATCACCTGAACTGATGCTTAAGACTAATATTGATATAATTTTGTTTGATATTTTTTTAACTGTAGAGATTCACAAAATCATTTGTAAAAAATCAAGTACAGAAGGTAACAAAATGCCCTTTTATGAGAGAGCCCCTCAGTAGTCTTCCTAGCCGCCCACCCGGGTAGCTGACATACTTAACTACTGCACCAGATCTCATTGATTCATGAGTGCCTATCAGAACCAGGACCAGAATACTCAAAACTTTTGTCCAGAATACCCAATCTGACTCTCCTTTCTTTTTTTAACTTTGAAAAACTAGAAGAATGTGCATTAGGTATGCTATTTACAAATACACAATGTCTATATTTCTAATATGATAAAGGAATAACTTATAAATGAACTTATAAGAACTTATAAGTTCTATAACTTATAAGTTATAAGAACTTATAACTTTCCCAGCAAAGGGCCTAGGAAACAGAAACTATTCATCCTCAACAAGGGCTTGTTTCCCAACCCATCATTGAAGGACTTATTCATCAAGTTCAATATGCCTATCCCTCCAGTGCCACTGTGGAGAGACTCTTCTCACTGGGAAAAGATGTTCTCAAACCAAAGAGATCAGGACTCAGTGACGGCTATTTTGACATGCTAGTCTTCATGAAGGGAAAGTTGACCATTTAACTTATCAGTATATTTTCCTAGTTTTGTTATATTAATTTTGTAATAATAACATTAGAGCATTTAGAATTGAACTTTAATTTATTGATATTAAATACTAATAATTTTCAGTATCTTCAATTGTATATTTCAACTAAAATATTAATTATTTCAAAATTTCACTTATATTTAATGCAAGGATAAAGGACTGAGTTTGGCCAGTTCCTTTCTTCTGAAAGGACCTTCACAGAGCCCATTGGTCTATTTTGAGGAAAAGGCAGAGACCGGGACTGTCAGATCCTTTTAAGGAATGAATGCCCACGTTTGAGAATAAGTACACTCATGTTTATTAAAACACTAAACTTACTCATTAACAGGTTTTCCTCGACATGGTTCCAAATAGTCTACAACATCAAGACTTTGTGAAAGAATGTAGCAAAGGCCAAAGCCCCACTGGAATCCCTTGCCCTTGTGCATGTAGCGATGGGCACATACCTAAAAGATAGATAAAATTGAATTATGCTTAAATATTCTGAGGGGAAATACTGTTCAGACACTGATGCAAAGATTACTTAAAGAGCAAGAGAAATGGTCCATACTTTATTAGCAATAAGAGTATACTACTGTATAGTATCTCAATATACAGTACTCATTGGCCTGATATTCAATTATCTTGGAGACCAAAAGCATTTCACTAAGTTATAATATCAGATTAAGTGACCACAATATTATCCAAATGCAAAACAGTAAATTAAAATAGATAACAATAATTACATGAAATTTAGATACTAATCAAAATGAGTTGTGCTGATCCATTTAAAATAAAAATATTATATAGATGTTATTGGAAACATTAATTTGTAACTGCGGTGAATTCAATGAATTTATAACTTCTATAGAGGAGCTGGAGGAGCTCTACAACTTGTGACAAGTAGCCTTGTACCCTGCATGTAACCAATGTTGTAACCCTTTTTGTGTAATGACATTTTAAATAAAGTTAGATATATATGCACACATACAAAAAGAATAGGAGTGGTAGGAGAAGAAAATATCAGTGTTCATTGAGGATCCACAAGGTCTTCTCTGAGTACTCTTTATTTTCTTCTTCGAGGCTATAGGTCCCTACAATTGCACCAGAGGTGGTACCCCTTATATATATATATTATATATATTTAAATTTCAATACTGTACACATATTCTTCCCTTATTTGAGCGAAGATTAATTTAGCAACCTGACCTAATTCCAAAATTCTGCCTAATGTAGGTAAAACTACTGTAAGTTTTAAATAATTGAGTAATTAATGTTATCAATATAATCTGAATATTTTTTTAAAGATAAGAAAATGTATAAAACCGCTCTAGCTATTAAAGAAAATGGACCTCTGTCTCCCAAGACAAAGAGTGGTGTATTTAGGAAGCCTTTCTCATGAGTTGCCAAGCGTCTAACATGATGGGTTTTTTATTTTCACAAAAGCATCAGAATTTTAAGGCTGTGGTCGATAGTCAAAATTCCGGTGTAATATTTATTAGGTCAAGATACTAAAGCTATCTGATTGATGTCCCCAAATATTTTTAATTACAGACTACTAAACTAACTTTGGAAACGGTTAAATCATCTACCCTATCACATACTTAATATCAGCAGGTTTACAAGAACGCCTTACCAAAACTTTACCACCAGGCCCTTGGCTTTTAAGAGTAACACCAAGCCATTGGTCATCCTTGATCTCATCTTCTGAAGGTTCTGCCAAAGTATCATCTAAATCTGTAAGAAGTGAAGTGTGTTAGACGGGTGTTAAGGTGAAAGATGGTGTTTGTCTAGTTTCTTCCTTTTGTTAACCTACCTTACAGTAGGGTATTTTACAGCTGAGGGAACTTACTTTTCAGGCGTGTCTTCTTTAAGACTTAAATATTTACAAAATTAAAATGCACGGTAAAAGTTCACGTGGAACTAGTCATAATGATGACTGGATGAGATGCCTTACATTATATACAACTTTATGATACTCAAAACAAGCAAAAACTTTACTGAACATTTTGCAAACAAAAATATATCAAAGCCTGTACTCTACATAATACAGTTTAATGCTAAGCCTCAAGCAATATGAATACTGATAATAATGCGAGAATATAATTCACCAAATGACAGACCACTATTACAGCACAGTGGGTGCCATCACCAAGACGCATAACCAAGCATTTCATAACATCATAACAAGTGCACAGGCATAGCACGAAATGTCCAGAAAAATCAAATCTGAATCCGATGGGCTGACTTATTATTAAGTCAACAATATCAAAGTTACCAGCTGAATGTCATATTAAGCATCATTCAGCCTATGTCTCTGATATTGTTGCTCAAAGCACACATGACCCATCTGATGAAGATTTATATTCCCTATACATAACATCATCACATGCCACACTGACTAAACTGGAAATTGCACAAAGTAATGTTTAATTTAGTTTTTCATGACAACATTTTTTTTTTCATTCCAGTTTAGTCATACATAAGAAAAGCGAACCCTCCAAGAGTGTCACACTTAAGCTTGTATCACATACGGAATTTTGGAACCCTTGACTGCTTCTATACAACGAAGCATGAAATTCAAACCTAAAAACATCAGGCAATGAAAAATAATACAAAATAATGCAAAATAAGAATAAATTCTTGCTACTGGTGTTCTTGAAATCAGTAGGCTTATTATGCATACTGACATAATATTTAGTAAATATAGTGCAAAATTTTGCCACAATTTTAAGGTACTGTATAATTAAAGCTTACAAGTCCGCTACGGGCTCACCATAGCCCGTACTATTTGGAACTTTTGTTCCCAGTAGCTGAATCTAAAACAACATAAAACTCTCAAATACAGTAAGTACCCTACTGTGCTTTACTGTACTTCAGCTCAACTTGCTTTCATTAAGTAATCAAAAACACCAGAAGCAACTTGCCATAGGGTTCCATCATGCTCATAGTAATTCAAAATGCAAATGAAATAAAAAAGGAAACCTTAACATAACATAAACCACTTATAAAAACAGCTCTCAGCAACCTATTCTGGAGTAGGCGATGCAACTGAAAAATATACTGTAAGTCATACCAAAAAATAAAAGATGAAAAAATAAACAAAAATAAAAGTCCTGTGGAAAAGGACAGACAAGGAAGTTTGAAAACTAAAGAACATCAGTACCGTGTAAGGAAAGACAATTTGGAAGTGGTGATGAGGAAAACGAGTTAGTAGGATGTTTGTGGGAGAAAAATGGTAGGGGAAGAGGAGAACGGACAATAAGGGAATGGCGTGAATTTTAGAACGATGGAGAGAGCTCAGAGATGGAGCTCGGGGTATTAAAGGTACAAAGGAATCGTCGGGAATGGAGATGTGAGCACAATAGGAGATATGTAACACAGATGTAGATAAAAAGATTACAATAAATTATTACATTTAAAGGTAAAACATTGGCCGGAGAGTGCGGTTGAGAAAGGAAACAAGAAGGTTAATTAAACAGTGGGTAGGAGGTGGAAGGGAAGGTAAGGTAAGGGGAGGAGGAACAGGAAAAGGCTAGGGAGGAACTGATGCAGGTACCATGCAATCATCAAAAATGCAAAATATACATGCATATCCCTTGCAATCATTTGTTGCAGTTATAGCCATTCAAAAAGCACAATCAGCATGACAATCGGATGAAATCTGTGTTAGTTACATTTTAGTATTTATAAAAGGCAGATATGAAAACAAGGTATGGTACACTGCAGCTGGGACATTAGTATAAGCTCGGTGAGTGTAACTTCCTCAGCATGCACACTCCGCTGCAAGAGGTGCAATGTTGCTTAAGGTGAGGTTGGTCCAACCCTCACCTTAAGTGTACCTGTTCGATTCATTTCCCTCGAGCAAAGTTAGTTAAATGACGTTGGTGAAACAATAAAGCAGCGTTGATACCGTTGAATATTTGTTGTTTAAACGTTACTTAGAGCCTATTTTCCTCGCTGGCTTATTTGACTTCTACAACTATTTCTTCGTTAAAAGCTTTTCAAATACGGGATAATATTTTATACAATCATAAAACAAAGGACAAGAGAAATGCATAAAATTCTATGCCTGTTTAACAGTACGCGATGCTTGAAAAAGCAAAGTATATATTGTTGATAACCGAATGTCTAATTCTCTATATGAACCAACTTACTCCCAATGAAAAAGGCAATTGCATTTAAAAATAAATAAGTTGAGTAAAGTTCAAGGTTTACAACTTTTTAATCTAGTCGTTAGAAAGACAATTGGGAACAAAGCCTTGCTAAAGGGTATACCAAGGGTTAGGTTACCTCTGTAAAGACGAACACTTGAGAAATTTAAAAGGTAATTACATGAATAATTATTTCTACAGCGATAAACATTTATAACATAGCATTATCAATGTGGCTTTTTCAAATCAAATTAAATTTCATCCGCAATTTATATTTATCAATTATTTCCACGATTATTATAAATTAAGTCTAGTTTTAAGATTATATGTTTTGCTGACTATAGATGACCAACGAGACAAATCTGGTCGTCTTGTCTCCCGGCCACAGCCCCGCTCCTGTGCCAGGTAAGTCCATTGCGGGCTCACCATAGCCCCACCATAGCCCGTGCTACTTGGAACGTTTTGTTTCGAGTAACTGAATCTATAACAACAACAATTGTCTTACGGCTGATCTTTTGAAACGTTTCTAAAAATATTAGGCTCCACTAAGATGCCACACGATTATTTACCACTAGTCACAACTACACACAACATATTTAACATATGATTTTAAATTATTTTAACGCAATCCGTCGTTTATAGAATGTAGTGCTGAAATACGATTTAAATTTAAATGTTCTATCATTTATAAAAGCCAATACAATTGGCAAATGATTACGTGTTTAAATAGTGTAGGAGCAGCACACTGGCCCAGTACAGCAGCACTCACCAATCACTATAATTGTGATTTATAGCACGTGAGTAGGCAAGCGGCTCGCATCACCACTCACATTACTAACACTGGAAACTTTCTGTCATTTATCTAAATAATTCATTATCTAAATTATTCAAAACAACTAGATTAGCTGCAATACAATAACGATGGGAATAAACGAATAGCAATGACAACAATTACTTTCCGTGTAGCTGGTATGTATAAAAAGACTTACCTACCCCAATATCAGCTTTGGGCTGGTTCCAAGGTGAAATTACTCACTCAAGTCAAAGACTTAACGAAAATTAAATGCATACAAATATTCTCCTTAGCGCTAATAGATACGCATTACTGTAAAGTTCTCTTCAACTTCCAGTTCCTTAAAGTTACTCGTAAGTCCCTCGATAATATGCATAAGTATATTGATCTATAGTCTGCTATATCTGACAGCTGCGGGTAGAGCAGGACCAGCCCTGAAGAGCTCTCTCTCTCTCTCTTTCTGTTGGATATTCTGTAACTGCATGAGTTAAGTCGAGCACTCACGCACGCGAGAATACTTTGAAACACCGATTAAATTAAAAGTAGCATATGTTAGGACTGGGTGGTAAGCAGGGTGTAGCATGAGTTTAATATACTGCAACACTGTTGCAACCCTTGTGCCGTTAGTGTGGGTTGAGAGGCTCAACCACTCCAGGACCAAAAAAGTATCCGTAGGGTGATCGCCTGCTCGGACAGCTACAGCAGGTTAGTGTCTTAGATTGGGGTAATAAGCAAATGCGACACTGGCATTCAGAATCGCAATATTAGTCATACAAGAAAACGGGATTAATATTTTAGATACTGGTAACATTAGATAACATGGAGGAATGATATGAAGAGGAATGAGTGATGGGCCATGACAGGGTGGATGAGTTGTGAGCAGACGGCAGAGGTTAATTCGTTCTTTATTACGTGCAGTAGTAGTGTACGCTCCCTCAGGCAAGTTAAATACGAGTTTGACCTCCGTCGACCAATTAGATGAAATATATGACCATGTAAATCTTGGGTGGTGCATGCCGCGGCCGCCCCAGCAAGCAACCCAAAGGGTGTGGAGGGGAGGAGGACTGCAAGATGCCTTAAGTGGCACTGGCGCAGGCAAGGGGGGTAAGGGGGGAAGAGGGGCAACAAGGTGGTGCCCAGAGGGGTAGGAGATGCTTAGTAAATATAAGGTGCTAAATGTAACGCGAATGCGTATGTTAGTCAATCCAAGGTGGTGAGGCCACATGCTGGAGAGAAGCCCCGGGCTGTGCGATGCCACGGGGTGCGGCGACGGTGGTGGTGGTAGTGGTGGTGGTGGTGGTGGTGGTGGTGTGGTAGTGGTGGGGGATGATGGGGGTTAAACTTACAGTCAAAGTTGTAGAGCCCTGTTTCCGGATCTGTAAGAAGTAAGCAACATACATAACGTAAGACAAACATATTTCTGAAGAGTGAATATAAATCAAACATTTAAAAGCAAACATAAATGAAAGTGCCATTTGTGTCCGAAGCCATCCTGGAGTTTCCTGATCCTCTTGCCAGTCCTTAAATCACTCCACTTATGCCTTGTTGGTACACATTATAAGTAAAAGTAATCACCAAAAGCCCTTGGATGTCTTAAGCGGTGTAAAGCGAATGTCGGATTTTCCTACTCTGTGCTGTCACATATAGTCTACATATGTGGTTGTTAAAACTGTCAAATATTCTTGTGTTTAAAATGTAAGCTGCAAAGAAAAAAAAATCAGCAAATGTAAGACTCTACCTGTACCCAATATCAGCAGCTCAAAATTGAGGCTTCCTTAGTGACTGGATAATTACCTGTATAAATTTCGTTACAAAAATTTCTTACTGTTATATTTAGTGAACACGAGTGTAGGAGGAGCCTTGGCAACAACACCACGTTGGTAATGATGATAAACTTCCGCCTTAAAATTATGTATTAAGTATAAAAAAAAATTAGGCTATCATTTTCATTTGTACCCTTGCACGACATAATTATTGTAGTTAAGCAAATATTAATTTATATTTAAGCATTAATTACCACTGCGCCTCAAAACCCATGTGCACAATCACCGCCGGCACTCATAATCTGCGCCATGTGCAAGGCTCGTAACCAACAAAATATCTTTGCCAATAAAATGAACGTTTTTACATTGTGCCAAACATTGGTAGGCTGCATGTACACCAACTGAAAACATTTGTTTTTAAATTGTGGAAAACTTGAATACTTCATGTTCACTACGACTAAATGCTACTTAACAGCTTAAAGAGTGGCAAGAGGAGTATCAGGGGACACTTTTCGCAGGGTTCAGACACAAACTTCACTTTTCAATTCATGCAGAGAGAGATGAGCAAATTAAGAAAATCTTGTATGTAGAACTTAGTTAGACTTTTGTAATACTCTTTGGTGTCACTTGTAACTGGACACATCCAATTGTATTTCTGTACATTTTAAATATTGTTAAACATCTTTCTAAAGTGAGAAGAAGAAATAAAAGTTATATAATTTTAATGCTACAAAGAAGACACCAAGTATGGCTCTCGCTCCGAACTCGTGGGCAGTTGCCAGTAAACTCTCGGTAAAACTGACTAGAACACTTTGTAAATCATAATGCAACATGCAAATGACAGAAGTAAATGAAGGTCGACGGCCTTGAGGACGGAGTGAGAGCCGTGAGCTTTACTGACAGAGCGTCAGGGGGAAACAGTCATGAGGAAGGAGAGTCAGAGTGCGGTACAAGTCAGGTGTGTGCGGGACGCACGAGGCGGTTCCGTAGTAGCCAGTCGTGTGGCCACCCTCGGCGCCTCGTACAGCAATAGCCGTCTCAGCCACATCCGGCAACATTTTTACAGCAGCATGCAGGTCATGATATACACTGGTGGATCCAGGAGGGCTGTCAGTGGGCCCAAGTTGTCAAAGGCGGGGGAGGTTGCTGAGCACGTTCACTGACTTGCAGAGACCCGTTGCATGTCTCTTGTGCTAAGTAAAGTTTTGTCTCAAACCTTATACTGAGAGTTGGTTATCATCAGCACCTGGATTCAAAAATAAATACGAAAAGGTATGTCTTCAAGACACTAGTAGAGGGCCTTGAGGACCACTGATTATGTCAATAATTGATACCGAATCATTCTTACAAAATAATACCAATGTTCAAACTGCGTGGACTATGAAGTTTGTTTGCGTTTTTTATGAAGGAAAACAGGAGAAAATAACCTGTTTCTAAGGGCGTGATATATTTGTGAATCCGGGTGTGTGAGGGCGAGGCAGGTGGTCTCCCACAGCTGGAGTTCTGGAGTCCGTCACTAGCGCGGCCTTGTCCCAGCTGGCGTTACTACATACACCTCCGTCATTACCGCTCCCCAACCACTACAGTACCTCTACATTCCCACTACCTTATTAAACCCCAGCTCTATGCCATTTATCGTTAATTCCCCTACATAGGCTTGCCAAGTGTTATCGACAATCAGTTTACAGCCGGTCTCTTGCTTAGAGATGCCTCTGCATTGACAAGATTTTGCATACATTTATGCTAAACATTTCTGAGGTTAGTATACAAATTAAACATGGTTGACTCTTCATGGTGAACCTTAAATAGTATTAATAAAGGTTTGTTTGGACTTGACAGTTTGTAATGAATTCAAAATATATTATGAACAATTAAGATATAATTGTGCATAAACATCAGCTACAGTTTCATTGTCATGCAGCTGGGTCAAGGCTAGGAACGGTTACACACAACATTTTACAATAATTCATAATCAGAAGTAAGCCTATATCCTAGCACCGATATAAAATGCATCACGCATGTAGTCATTGCCGTTGATGACGCTTCATGTCAGAGCACCAATCATCACATTAATCCAGAAGAGTATTGGTGCTTAATCTGTCACTAGTTGTGGATGCGGCCCGTAGCAGTGCTGTACAAGTCTGGAGAGGATCAGGTGTGTGGGCAGTCGAGCTTGGTCGCGTCCAGTAACAGTGGCAGACTTGTCAGCAGTACACATGCTAATACAGTACCAACTCCTTGTTTTAAACTAACAAATATACGTAAACAAACACAAAAATTGGGAGACAACTGTATGTGATGGTCAGGGAAGGCTGGCCACAGACCTGGTTGTGGAAATCGTCAAAAGGTAAAAACAGGTTTTGCTCAACCACGAGACGCGAATAAGTTAAACCATGAAATAAAATCTTCTTAACCTTCAGTGATTATTTAATTAAAAAAAATAGTGAATTAAGATAATATAAATCCCTAAACTGTAATTAATGCAAGCAGATATATTCACGTTACCTTAGCAACATTAGGCTAGTATAGCCTACTACTACAATGCGTATCGTCTCGCTCATCATGTCTCTCCACAACTCTTATAACAGTTTATAAATATAAAAACGTGAATGTCCCTTATTGCTGGGATATTACACAATGTCTACTGTTTGCAGTCTATAATAGCAACTGGTCTGCATAGATTAAAGAGGAAACAGTGAAGCTCGGTAGTGAAGGGTAGCGTTGGGTGCCTCAGGCAAGCTACTCACTCTTGAGGCCATCGGTGTGAACCTGCTGACAGTCCGAGGTTAAGGTAGTAAGGGGACACTTCCACAACGCTCCAGACCTGTTCGTCCCCGGCTGCAGGTTGTGGTCCTTAGGAGCACCTACTAGTATCCTGAAAGAACAAAAACAAAATCAAATAAAAAATCACATATTATGAAACAAGACAAATGGTACACACAGAAATAACAATAGCGTGATATATCAAATGAACAAATAAGGGCCGTGATGAGGGTTCGAACCTGTGGCTGGCAAGAGGCTGCCTCCTATTAAATCACCGTTATTTCTAAATAAATTATTAGCTATATTACATGCTCTAATGCCGATGATTAGTTTTTGACATCAAAACACACTATTGGCCTGTGAACAGCACCGGAGACCGCCCCTCCTCCTCCTGTCCCTGTCAGTGGAATACTATTGCACAATAACAGCCCCATTCAAAGCTGGAGAACTTGCTTGCCTGAAAAGTATGCAAAGAACCTTTACTGCTAGAAACCACTCAATAAAACATCTAAATTATTTTTGAATCTGTATTCTCTAAAGCGCAGTCGAGACATAAAGTTGTACACTTCAAAAACATTAAAGGAACTGGTTGCAAATCTGCACACGAAAATAACTCTGCATGAAACCAGGAGGCATGGCAGGATGTGCAAAACAGCCCCGTTAAAAAACAGAGATGCAAATGGTAAGCTAAGAGAGCTCTGTCAACATCAAGGCTACAAGACGTTTCAACACTCTCCTGCTACACATAAGGGACATAACTGGCCGACCCTCACAATGTTCAAGAGAGACCTTGATAAACACCTCCAAAGGATATTGTTATGACCCAGCGTATACATGATATTATTATTATTATACATTTTGTCCTAACTTTGTAAATAAATTGTATAATTTATGCCATTTATTAATGTATAATGTGTTTGTACTACGTGTACGGCGGACTATTTTTTCTATTTAATACAATATAAATCATATATACATAAATTTTACAAGGCAATACTCTATTACATATACAGTAGTCTAATTCTCAGTAAACAAGTGTTTCATATTATCACAGAGCATGAACTTTAAACCCCTAAATGTTATACTTATTTTTCTTTAAATGATTTACAATTTTAGAGATTATATTTACATTAATTTACAGGGGAAATTATTACATTTATATAACGGCGGACTATTAAATGTTTCAAGGTGTTGTTGATAAACATTCTGGGTGCTTTGTCCAACCGTTAACTGTATGTTGAGTGCGAGAGCGCTGGCCAGCGTGCGTGCGTGTGCGTGTATGTGCGTGTGTGTGGGGGGTGGGGAGGGGGGGACCTGCGTAGTGGTTGGTTACTCCAGGTGGTAATGAATTATTACTATGGTTTTGTTATAATTACATTTTATAAACATCTGCGTGTGTTCCAGCACAGTGAGTACTACAGAATGTGATACTTAAGTCGTTATAAGTATACCCCCGAGAGAGTAGGAAGTATTATTCCAGTTGGTAATGCCCGAGGTTACCTGTAGGGTGGTCGAGGAGTCGTCCTCACTGGTCTAGGGAACATGGGAGTTTGCGGTGGTGTTTGTATTGAGCTCTGAGGAGCGAAGATAAAGTTATATACTTGCATGTAAGGTAAGATTATTGACTTATTGTGGTTCTGTAACATTATGTTATGAGTGCATATCCTTTAAAGTGACGTTATATTTGTCCATGTGGGAGACTTATTTTGTCAAGCCATTTGGGACTTTTCAGTGATTGCTGACATTGTCAGTCCTGAGGGACTTAGATTTTGAGGGACTAAAAGTGTCTAGTGACTGTACGTTGCCAAGGCCTAGATACTATGTTGTTGTTGTGCCTATAGAGACTTTGATTTGATAGTCCTTGGGGACTTTAAAGTGGATAACATCACACTGAGTTCAACTTAACCATATCAACTTGGATACACTTCAACTGCCGTCTAGTGTACCAATGTTCCAAAGTTTTATTACAATAGGCTCGGGAGTAGTTTAACTTGAGAGCATCTAGTGCGCCAATGTTGTTGAGTTTCGTGTACCTTAAGCTTGACCTGTTTACCTCTTGTAGCATTTAGCTTCAGGGATAACTGCCAATGTTATTAACTTTATTGTCTTGTAAATAATGTTGTAAATAGCTGTTATGTGTAATAAGTTCACCCAAGTAAACTGGTAGTTTCTTTTACTGTAGACTTTTACTATATCCATAGAGAAAATAAAGTTGTAAGTTCCTTTAGGACAGGACTGTCCACTATTAAGAAGGGGCGTATGGGGATCATCAAAAATTCCTGATCAACCAGGCTGTGATTCATACGTCAGGCTGCGAGCAGCTGCGTCCCTGCTGATGTGTTCCTATATACTACCTCCTGCTGGTGGAGAGGTCCTGTAACAACTAGCTCCCTGCAGGTGGTGTGTGCTCCTATCCAGCACCTGAACACGCACCACCTGCAGGGAGATAGTGTTCCTATCCAGCACCCGGACGCTACCTCCCTGCAACCGGGGGGAGGGGGAGGGTGTGTTGCTATCGGGACTCCTCACTCAGTGATAAGGTCGCGGCGTTAGTTACGAGGCGTCGTTTAGTGAGAGTGACAGCCGGTGGCCGCGCCCTTGACCGCACACGCCAACACCGTCAGTCACGGCTCAGCAGCGATAGCCTAAATGAAGTCGGAGCTGATGTGCCTCAAGATCATTACTAAACATAAAGTCTAAATTCGCACGTAGCCGAAAAGAATTAGGTAATATGTCGAGACTAACGAACAAAATTGAAGTCGATGAGGAGTAAGGGCAAACCTGTAATGTTGCCACAAAAGACACACACATCCCTAAATATACTAGACAAGACTTTCCTACTTCCTCAAGTTCCTTCACAACTTCACAGCTTGTTAAAAAGGCAAGAACTTCTAACATCAAGGCCTGCGAGACGTCTAATTTGACACAAACTTCGGCAGTGAATGCACTGACTCTGGGTAGTTGCAAAGCTGCACAGGAGCTAACAAGGCAACACACTTGACAGACTGCAGGCACCAAGCCTTAATTGCCACACAGCAGCTCCCTCACTGAACTCTGCAATACTATGTCACTATTTGTATTATTATTATAAAGATTATTGCTTTTTGTGTTCCAACCATCGTTCAAATCAATATATAAACAGTTAACAATAATCATAATACGTAAATGTATTTTGATCGCAGCCAAGCATAATATGCCACCCCCCGGGCTGGTGTATTTTACGATACGACCACCAGCAGGAGGTACGGTGCTTACAGGGTGTTGCTACGACAACAAGTAATATAATGCGTTCTGGCTGGTGTGATTGGTCTCTTGCAATCCATCCTCCAAAAGTCATAACCTATGGCGACTGTGGAGTTAATGTACGAGATTCTTCCCCTCCCCCCCCCCCCCCCCAAAAAAAAACTTCTGTATTAATAATTTTGTGGCGGGTCGGAGAAAGGAGATTCTTGCCTAACCAAACCAAACCTTTTCTATGCCAAGTATATAACATATACATCCTAAATTAATCCTAAAATTACGAATATTAGACCTAGGATTGGTTATTTGGGCCTACAATAGGATAGGTTAATGGTCAGGCTGTTGCTATTTTCAAATCCTTTGGTACGTCAATAGAATAAAACGTTGGAATTATATATTTTGCTGTGCAACAACATTCCATCCATAGTCGCTTGAATACTATAATTTTCGGAGAATGTGTTGGTTGTAAAGTAGTGTGAGTGGTAGCAGAAGTGGGACTGGTGGTGTGGTAGCCTAGTGTGGCTAGCCTAGCCTAGTGTGGCTAGCCTAGCCTAGTGTGGCTAGCCTAGCCTAGTGTGGCTAGCCTAGTGTAGCTACCCCACCACACCCTCTACACAATTAACAGCGCAAATGTGGATTTGTTACAGCAGTCCATATTGTGTACTTGCATCCATTAGTAACGATAGGTAGCGTAGTGGTAACACACTTGCGATTATGTCTGGGTTCGAGTCCTGGTCAGGATGGATTGACTGGATGGATTCGCAACTGTTCACTTTCCCACAACTGTTTACCCAGTAGTAATTGGGTACTTGGTTGTTAACCGAGCAGTGAAACTAGTGGGTAAGGCTTACCATGAGCTATGGGAAGGGAAAGCTCTCAGCCTGCTTGTAGGTGTCTGTTCCTGTACCGCCTGTGTAAACAAGTCACTGTTCCTGTACCCGCCTGTGTAAACAAGTCACTGTTCCTGTACCCGCCTGTGTAAACAAGTCACTGTTCCTGTACCCGCCTGTGTAAACAAGTCACTGTTCCTGTACCCGCCTGTGTAAACAAGTCACTGTTCCTGTACCCGCCTGTGTAAACAAGTCACTGTTCCTGTACCTGCCTGTGTAAACAACCCGCCACTAGCCAACAACGGTGAACGTAACACGTGAAACAATCAACACACTGAACAAATTTGATTTGATTTGTCGTGATTTGTTCATTTGATATAACACGCTATTGTGATTTCTGTGTGTCAATCAACACACTCTTTGACGCGACGCAAGACAAATAAAACATTACCAAACACCGAGAGAATTAAAGAAAACACCCCGGCAAAAATATGGTAAATGCAACCCGTTCTCGCAAATTCGTAAAGTCAATATTGACTTATTAACTACGTGCATAGGTGATATACTAAACATAATAGATACCCTTAAAAAGATTCATAGAAAACACCGACCTTACCTAACCTTGTTAGTATCTTAAGATAAGCATCTTATTGCTTCGTAATTACAATTATTACTTAACCTATACCTATTATAGGTTAAGTAATAATTGTAATTACGAAGGAATAAGATGCTTATCTTAACATACTAAGTAGGTTAGGTAAGGTTGGTGTTTTCTATGAATCTTTTTAAGGGTATCGATTATGTTTAGTATATCACCTATGCACGTAGTTAATAAGTCAATATTGACTTATTAAATTTGCGAGAACGGGTTGGGTAAAATATAAGTCAATAAATCTAGAGAGGAAAGCAGTAGATGATTATCATTACACGGAAGACGAAGAAGAAGAACACGGCGTGTAATCATAGAGGGAAGAAGAGATGACAATCAACCCAGCAAACTACCAGAAAATGGAGAGGGGGGAAGGGGGGAGGGAGTAGACAC